ACGGGGTGAGCTCCCGTTGCTCGGTCCCTGCTCCTGCCAACCTAGCAGTTCGAAAGCACGTCAAAGTGCAAGTAGATAAATAGGTACCGCTCCGGCGGGAAGGTAAACAGCATTTCCGTGCGCTGCTCTGGTTCGCCAGAAGCGGCTAAATCATGCCGGCCACATGACCCGGAAGCTGTACGCTGGCTCCCTCAGCCCATAAAGCGAGATGAGCGCCGCAACCCCAGAGTCAACCACGACCTAATGGTCAGGGGTCCCTTTACCTTTTAAAAGAGAGTTTGTTAGGAAATGTAGAATCCAGACAGAAGACTTACCCAGCAAACCGGCTTGTTCTTCATCTCTTTTCTGCTTGATCTCTGTGGCCAGCAGCCTCTGGTCAGTGTCTGATGCGGCCTGTCAATCCGCCGTGGAGACGTTCACTGCTGCCTGGTCCTGAAATGGTGCTGACACCTGAAATAGCAACATGGAGTCGCTTTTGAGATGGCAGGGACAGGCCTTAGGAGGGTTGAGCTCTAGTGGCAACATTATGATCCTACACCAGTCTACTGAGAAGTAGACTCCTGAGTCTGTGGAAGCAGACATACCCCAAGTCAAACCCGCAGGTACCACACAGACCCATCTTATCCCAGTCAGCATCTGTATTGGATCAAATCCGCACTTTGGACTATGCTGAAATGGCAAACTCACCGGAAAGCTCAGGAACCAAAAAGACAAAAACTTCAAGAAATAATGGGGGGGGGGATATAATTTATTTAGGAGACCACTGTAAGCAGATGAAAACATTAGCAGGATTTTAATATCGCTTGTAACTTAAGAAGCACTTTGGACAATATGGACAGATACAAAAATTAGATTATGGAATAATATGCAATTGAAAATGTTGACAATAAGACCCATGGAAGGGATGGTGGGAAGTCTTGAGATTCAGAGAAATCTCTATATAAGGATGTGCATTTGTTATAAATTTATATTTGCAAAACCAAATAGAAACGATTTCGGATCAAATCCGCACTTTCCTTTTAAAGCCCTCTTATGCCACTTTAAAGGGACGCGGGTGGCGCTGTGGTTTAAACCACAGAACCTAGGGCTTGCCGATCAGAAGGTCGGCAGTTCAAATCCCCGTGATGGGGTGAGCTCCCATTGCTCGGTCCCTGCTCCTGCCAACCTAGCACTTCGAAAGCACCTCAAAGTGCAAGTAGATAAATAGGTACTGCACCGGCGGGAAGGTAAACAGCGTTTCCGTGCGCTGCTCTGGTTCGCCAGAAGTGGCTTAGTCATGCTGGCCACGTGACCCGGAAGCTGTACGCCAGCTCCCTTGGCCAGTAAAGCCAGATGAGCGCTGCAACCCCAGAGTCGGCCACAACTGGACCTAATTGTCAGGGGTCCCTTTACCTTTACCTTTATGCCACTTTAAACTTTTCCCCTCCTAAAGCTACAACTCTCAGAGAGGATTAATAATCAAACCCTCTTTCCAGGGAACTCTGGGAATTGTAGCTCTGCGAGGGGGATAAAGGCTGTTTCCTAACTACTCTCAGCACCTTTAACAAACTACAGCTCCCAGGATTCCTTGGGGGAAAGCCATGACTGTTTGAAGTGGGATAAGGATGCTTTAAATGTATAATGCAGATGGGAGTTTCACACATACCGACCGACAACCTCACCTCTTTCCCTTGCCTCTGGGTCTCCTGCTGCACCCGAAGGAACCCCTCGGCCAGAGTCACTGCCTGGGAGCAGGTCTCTGGGCTGCACTCCCTCACCCTGCTCTGGATCTCTGGCGGCAGGACGGTCAGGAACTGCTCCAGGATCAGCTGCTCCAGGATCTGCTCCTTGGTGTGCCACTCCACTTTCAGCCACTGGGAGCAAAGCTCCTGGAGTTGGCTGTAGGCCCCTCTGGGCCCCTCGGACTCCTGGTAGCAGAAGCGCCTGAAGCGCTGGCGCTGCATTTCCCTCCTCAAGGCATCCCTGCGCAAGATGGCTGCCTTCACTTTCCCATAATCCTCTCTCCGGTCTCCAGCATCTGAAAGGCCCGCTCCTTTGTAATGCCATCTATTATGGATTTGAACCTATATGTACAGTACTGTATTAATTCAGAATTTAAATAACATAAAGACGCAGGGATGAAAAATTTGTATGAGTCACCCCATAACAGAGGCCTGTTTTATCTTTTTCCTTACACAGTGGTACAATCAGTCCTCTTGAACAAGTTGCACAACTGCAGGATGTACTGAGTTGGATGAATAAATGTTTTAAAAATATTTTTTTCCTTAATTATTATTCAGGGATTATTTAACAGCTTCATTCACGGATTGTGGCATCACATGGGGGAGAGCCTGGCAAGCGCACCGGTGTGATACGGAACGGAAGGGGGGCCTCCTTTCCCCCCTTCTTCCTAGCGACATCCGAGGCGATGACCTCGAGGGTGCCCGCCACACGCTCACCCTCAGCCCCCTCACCGTTGCATAAGCACCACACTTCTCCCAGACCCCAGCGAAACTTTCCTTTCCCCTTCTTTCCACGAGCGAAATAAGCTCATATATATATATCTCTATCTCTTCCTATGCCTATCTGCGCTCCATACTTAGAACGAGTAGACCGTGTATCCCTGCTTTCCCGCTTATTCCTATGGCCGCGCTTTAGCCAATCACAGCCATGCATTCGTCCTGCAGGAGCTAGCTCAGGGAGCTACTGCACGCCTCATTTCACTCCTGACAAGCTGCTGACGGCCCCCCACTGCGAGAACAATGGATCCGAAACCAGAGACCTCGTAAAACTGTCAAAATCCTGTTACATTGTATCCATTCTGTTTCCGCTTGTCAAAATCTTGTCACATTGTATCCATTCTGTCTCTACTTTTGCCCTATGGTACAGAATGGGTTTGAGATCATTGAAATCTTTAAAATTGGTATAAAATCAACTGTAACTCCGATTTTCTCACTTTGGGTGTCATTCAACTCAGCTCCCCTTGGACTCCATAATGCTACCCCTACTTCCATAATCCCCGAAGCGGCAGGTCACGTATACAGGAACTTCTTAATCCTGCCAGATCGTTTCCCCAACCCCTTCCTCCGGGCGATACGAAGTGGCAGACGATGCATATCTCTGGCCCATTGTCTTGCCACCACCGGTACTCAATAAATGTTTATCTATGTATATTTCTTGCTCTGCATATTCCCCCTCCCTCATCCGAAATGTAAATGAATGTAATCCCACCTTTCCTTAATCTATTCATGACGTGTAAAATATATTCATGATGTAATTCGCGAAACATGACCTTCCCATAATGTATTCATGACGTTTCCTGCACTGTATTCTGGGTTATGGAGGGAACTTTTAAAAGCCTATGTCACCCCATTCTCGGGGTTCAATGCCATTTTGAACCTGTTGCGCAATAAACTCGGATCTTCGTATTTTGCTCCTGTGTCCGGCTGAGCTCCTTTCTCCTCCGCTAGGACCCCGCGGACTTTGTCCGACGAGCTGGGTGGCTGTGCACTCACGCACCCAGATTTTGCCGTCTCAGGTGGCACACTGTGGGTGCCACGACAACCCATGGGTGCCACCCTGGAGAAGCCAGAGGGAGGCGATAATACAGTGGTACCTCGGGGTTAAGAACTTAATTCGTTCTGGAGGTCTGTTCTTAACCTGAAACTGTTCTTAACCTGAAGCACCACTTTAGCTAATGGGGCCTCCTGCTGCTGCTGCGCCACCAGAGCACGATTTCTGTTCTCATCCTGAAGCAAAGTTCTTAACCTGAGGTAGTATTTCTGGGTTAGCGGAATCTGTAACCTGAAGCGTACGTAACCTGAAGTGTATGTAACCCGAGGTACCACTGTACTGAGCTAGGGAGAGCAATGGCCTTATGGGGTTCAAGGCAGCACCCAGCAATTGTTGCACAAGATTTAATCTGGTTTAATCTTCAGAAATGACAGCTGAAAGGATCCCAGGCCAAAGCTATGTAGGTGCAGCAAACAAAGGAGCTCTGACTAACCTTAATTTCCTTTGGTGGAGCTGGTGAGGTTTTCTCAAGACACCCCCTGCGAAAGCAATGAGGAGAACTACAGGGCTCAAGTGCCAACCAGCTTTAAACCTATGTGAAAGCATTTTTAAACCACTTAATTTCTTATTCTTTTTTTTTAAATCTCTTAAACGGTGCACAATATAAAATCAATATGGACTATATGGAACTGGCAGAAATGACTGGCAAAATCCGAGACCAGGGAGAAGAAACGGTGGATGAAGATTGGAAGAAATTTAAAGACTATCTGCAGAAATACTGTAAAATTAATGAATGTTAAAATGATGTTGGACTGAAAATAAGCGGTTTTGGTAATAAGGTTAATAAGAAAAGGTAAATATAGATAGCTATATGGATGAAAATATACAGTTATAATAGGTTAAGATATAGAGTAAAGAGAAACGAAAGAGGGTAGGGATTTGCTGAAAAGACTTTGTCAACAGGAATACAAAAAGGGGAGGTGTGAGGAGGTCAAGGAAATAAGCAAATGAGCCTAAAGATACTGAAAAATGGATTTATTCTTTCTTAAAACATTTTTTCCTATTTTTTAGCTATCTGTTTTTTGTATTTTGTATCATTCTCTTTTTTGAATTACTCTCTTTTTCCTTTCTCTTCATTCCCCCCCTCTTTTTAGGTCGCTTTTTTAGTAATTCTTTTGTTAGCTTTCGTTTGTTAGCTCTTGTTTGTTTTCTCTTTATGTGTAATTTTTGGTTTAAACTTATGCTTACTGTAAAATCTCAATAAATATTTATTTTAAAAAATCAATAAAGCACGGTATTAATAATACAAGACAAATGGTGTAAAAGCATAGGAAAACAAGGAAAACAAGGAAAAATTCAGGGAATTCCTCTCTTTTTTTAAGAATCTATGCCTAGCCACCTTCCCTGGAAGGAGTTAAAACCAATAAGAAGCTCGTTGCCAGAGAGGACTGAAAAGGGGGACTGTAAATAGTGCAAAGTCCCTTCCTGTTCTCCTTCCTTCACACCCCCCTCCCCACCCCCTACTCTATGCCCGGGATCATCTACCTTTTGAATTTTTGTACCTTCGGCTCTTGAGTTAATGAGATGCTGCCTTAAGAAGTCTTTGCAGCAGATCTCAAGTGCAGGTAATTTTTCAAAAAATAATATTATTATTTTTAAAGGCTTGGGTGGGGGTGGGAGTGCCCTGTTCATTTTTGCGGGTGGGGAGGAGGAGAAAGAAAAGAAATTCGGACCCCACCCTCAACTCAGGCATTTCCCCTCTGGCGGATTTCTGAAAGGCGTTTTGGTGTTAAAAACTTAGCAAGGCGAGAGAAAGCACAACTGGAATGACTGCAATGGGTCCTAGTAAGGAGACATAAGGGAAAAAATATAGATACACACACGGGGGGGGGGCTTTTGTTGCACTAAGGGGGTGGGAGACCCCATACCTTCCTAGATCAAGAGTGATGAGGAGAAATTTAAAAGCAGTTTATGGCAAGGGTATAACCACAGACTTCAAGATCCCTAGCTGCATTCAAACTATACATCTAAAGTACATTTTCTCCACCCCCATCCCTGAAACCTTGGAATAGTAGTTTGTTAAGGGTGTTGAGAAATGTAATTCTGTGTGTGGGGGGGTGTTAAACTACAGTTCCCAGGATTATTTGTGTGTGTGTGTGTGTGTGCTTTAAATGTTCCAGAGGTCTGTTCTTAACCTGAAACTGTTCTTAACCTGAAGCACCACTTTAGCTAATAGGGTCTCCTGCTGCTGCCACGCCACCGGAGCCTGATTTCTGTTCTCATCCAAAAGCAAAGTTCTTAACCTAAAGCACTATTTCTGGGTTAGCGGAGTCTGTAACCTGAAGCGTATGTAACCTGAAGCCAGTGGCGTAGCGTGGGGGTGCAGGGGGGCCAGCCGCACCGGGCACAACATCTGGGGGGGCGCGCTCGCACTCGCAGCTCTCTGCCCCTACCTGGCTACCACGGGTTAGGGGGCGCAAATTACTTGCCTTGCCCCGGGTGCTGACAACCCACGCTACGCCACTGCCTGAAGCGTATGTAACCCGAGGTACCACAGTACACAGCTTGGGTGTCTCCAGACAAGGCACTTTATTGAGCATTCATCCCGATTCGTTGGCAATTTAAAGAGCATTCATTTGAAGGTTAGATGATGTTGCATCAAAGCGGGAAGCGGGTTCAGCTGTAATTTCGCAACCTGAATTTACCAGTACAGTGCTACCTCGGGTTACATACACTTCAGGTTACAGATTCCGCTAACCCAGAAATAGTACCTCGGGTTAAGAACTTTGCTTCAGGTGAAGAACAGTTTCAGGTTAAGAATGGACCTCCGGAACGAATTAAGTACTTAACCCGAGGTTCCGCTGTATGTGATTAGAAGCCACCTGCAAAGTTCCTTGGTGCTGTTTCAGAGCTGTGGAAAGGGAACTGGCAGGTAATCCTGGTACCGATTTCTGAGGACTGCCCCCCCCCCCCATGGACTTCCACTGTGCGGCTTAAGTTTTATCACCTTTTTTGCCAGCGAAACCGATGATGGGTTGGCAGGTCACATGACCGAGCTGAACAAGTTTAGGATCAGAGTAAGTTCCCCAGAGTAAGTCCCTCAGATTGCCCTGTTTCTTCAGGGCCTACGCTGGCATGAGCCCCGACTAAGATGGGATGGGAGGCTTATGCCTGGCTGAGCCGGGAACCAGCTGGCTGAGCCAGAGATCCGCTGGAGCCTCAGCTGCTCAGCCCAGCAGATCTGAGCACAGGATTGTGCCCTGATTCAATAAAATTCTGTTCACAAGATCAAAAGCACTAGAATGAAAGTTGAAAGCTTAGGTAATAAATGTTGGAAACGTAAAGAAAAAGAAGGAACGTTTTATCACATGTGGTGGAAATGTAAAAAAGTGAAAAACTTCTGGAAAATTATTTATAATGAGATGAAAAAAATGTTGAAATATACATTTATTAAGAAACCAGAAGCATTTTTACTTGGCATTGTAGGAGATGATATAAATAGAAAGGATTGTAAGCTGCTTTTATATGCAATGACTGCAGCAAGAATATCACACTGGCACAAAACTGGAAGCAAGAAGAATTACCGATAAAGAAGAATGGAGGATGAAACGGATGGACTATGCAGAATTAGATAAACTAACAGGAAGGATTTGAAACCTGTGGGACCAGAGATTCTCAGAGGACTGGAGTAAATTTACGGACTATTTGAAAAGTAATTGTGTGATGAACAGATTACGCTAGTAGGTTTGCAAGAAGTTTTGTAAGGTGAATTATTAGAAATATTGCAAAAAAAAAAAAGATAATGAGAAGAATTTTTAGTTAAAGATATCTAATGGTAATATGAAATTAAGAAATGCATAATAAATGATAAGTAAAGAAATCATCAGAGGTGTTGACGGAAGTCCCAAATAAATTGTATAAGATGAGAAGTGCTGTTGTATGAATGTTAATTAATATGTTAAAAATTAATAAAAATGTATAAATAAAAAGAAAGTTGAAAGCTTAGTTTCTTTCCCTTTCCGACAGGAATAGGAGGAAATCCTTCAAATTTCCGGAAGAAGATGTGGAGTACAAAGAGCCCTTCAGGCTGTTTGGAGTAGTCCTTTGGCGACATCCCCTACGCACTGAAAACACATGGCAGAATATATTTCTGTGGCATTTGCAGAAAACAGTTGGCATGCACTGAAATCCTGCAGGAGGCGGAATTATTTGCTCTCTCCTTGCCCTGCGGTCCGAGGCTGCGCTGGAGCAAAGGGGCCGGATCCCGAGGTGAAAATGGAGGAGCAGGAATCGGCAAGCCCGGAGCTGGAGACGGGATCAGGGAGAGCAGGAGAACCCCCTGGCATCCTTCAAGCGGGGACCCTCACGCAGAGTCCCAGAGAGATGGCACCTCTGCAGCGCATGAAAGAGGAGCCGGAAGAGGGCCTGTCGTCTCAGCGCTGGGAAGCCCAGTGGCAAGAGTTCCTCAAGGCCGTGCAATGCCCTCAGCCTGGATGGGGGAGCCCACTTCTTCCACATCCTGCGCCAGCAGGCCGCACAACAGCTCCTCTGCTCCCTGGCAGCTTGGAAGGACGGCTTCAGAGCTTCAGGCATTTCTCCTACCAGGAAGCCGCAGGCCCACGGGAGACATACAGTCGGCTGCGGGAGCTTTGCTACCAGTGGCTGAAGCCGGAGAGGCACACCAAGGAGCAGATCCTGGAGCTGGTGATTCTGGAGCAGTTCCTGGCTGTCCTTCCCCAGGAAATCCGGAGCCGGGTGAGGGAACAAGGCCCAGAGACCTGTATCCAGGCTGTGACCCTGGCAGAGAGCTTACTGCCGAGACGGGAAGAAGGAGAGCAGTGGAGAGAGCAGGTGAGCCCCTTCCGGCGATGGGATGTCCCCGTTAGTGTCCGCCTTCTGCATGAAAAACAGGTGTTCTAGTGCCGAGCTATGGCCCTTCTTGTTTGTTTTAATTTATTTAATCAATTTTTCGATACAAACATCAACCGCAAAAGACACATATCGTATTTTTTGCTCTATAAGATGCACCTGACCATAAGACGCACCTAGTTTTTAGAGGAGGAAAACAAGAGTAAAAAAAATTCTGAATCAAATGTTGTACTAAACTACAGTGGGACCTCTGGTTACGTACTTACCGTAATTCGTTCCAGAGGTCCGTTCTTAACCTGAAACTGTTCTTAAGCTGAAGCACCACTTTAGCTAATGGGGCCTCCTGCTGCCGCCGCGCCGCCAGAGCACAATTTCTGTTCTCATCCTGAAGCAAAGTTCTTAACTACCTGACTTTTAGAAGACATCGGAAGGCAGCCCTGTTTAGGGAAGTTTTTAATGTTTGATGTTTTATCATGTTTTTAATATTCTGTAGGGAGCCACCCAGAGTGGCTGGGAAAACCCAGACAGAGGGAGTAATAATAATAATAATAATAATAATAATAATAATAATTTATTATTATTTGTACCCCGCCCATCTGGCTGGGTTTCTCCAGCCACTCTGGGCGGCTTCCAACAAAGATTAAAAGATTTAAAATAAATTAAAATGTCACACATTGGGTGGGAGGGCATTCCACAGGGTGGGCGCCACTACCGAGAAGGCCCTCTGCCTGGTTCCCTGTAGCTTTGCTTCTCGCAGCGAGGGAACCACCAGAAGGCCCTTGGCGCTGGACCTCAGCGTTCGGGCAGAATGATGGTAATATAATATACGTAATAAATAATAATATAAGTAATAAATCGTTGTTGTTGTTGTTGTTGTTGTTGTTGTGCTACCTCAACTAAAACTTTCACTATTGTTTCCAGGGGACAGAGAGGCTGAACCAGGAAGTGTCTGCAAATATCCCAGTGGAAGGTGACGCAGTGCTGGAAATCACCCAGAGGCCGCTGTTCAGAGAGGTCAAGCTAGAGGTCAAGGAGGATGTCAGCTCGCTTGGTAAGTGTAAGCAGTCCATGGATTTTAGTTGCGGCTGTGGGGTGCTCGGTGGTGCTCTGTCTCCTGCTTGTGGGTTTCCCGTGGGGACATCTGGGTGGCCATTGTGAAAACAGGATGCTGGACTAAAGGGGTCATTGGCCTGATCCAGTAGGCTCTTTTTAAGCTCTTAAAAGTAAAGGGACCCCTGCCCATTAGGTCCAGTCGTGGCCGACTCTGGGGTTGCGGTGCTCATCTCGCTCTATAGGCCGAGGGGCTTGGCAGGGGTCACTCACACACTGCTATCCCATGTTTCTCGGTGATGTCAGCTGCCAGGTCCAGGATTGTTTATAAGGCCCGGTGCCTCTGCAAGGAAAGAGAATCAGTGGGATCTGCAGCAAAAAGTTGCAGCGTGGAACACTCCTGTTCAGGATACTCTATTCCATTTTCTGCCCCCATGTTTTCCATCCCACCAATCAGCAGCCAGCATTCTGTGCACACTGAGCATGCTCAGTCCTCAGAGAACTGTAGCTCTGTGAGGGGCATAGGGGGTCTCCTCTCAGCACTCTTAACAAACTACAGTTCCCAGGATTCTTTGGGGGAAGCCATGACAGTTTAAAGTGGAATTAAAGGTAAAGGGACCCCTGACCATTAGGTCCAGTCGTGGCTGACTCTGGGGTTGCAGTGCTCATCTCGCTTTATTTGCCGAGGGAGCCGGCGTCCAGCTTCCTGGTCATATGGCCAGCATGAGTATGCCACTTCTGGAGAACCAGAGCAGTGCACGGAAATGCTGTTTACCTTCCCGCCGGAGCGGGACCTATTTATCCACTTGCACTTTGACGTGCTTTTGAACTGGTAGGTGGGCAGGAGCTGGGTCCAAGCAACGGGAGCTCACCCAGTCGTGGGGATTCGAACCGCCGACCTTCTGATTGGCAAGTCCTAGGCTCTGTGGTTTAACCCACAGCGCCACCCGCATCCCCAGCACCGCTCTTAACAACTAATAAATCAGGACAATGTTTGGACAGTCCATTATAAATCCACTACTAAGGCACTAACCTACCACACAGAATTGTTGTAAAGATAAAATAGGGAGGAAGAGAACCATATACAGTGGTACCTCGGGTTAAGAACTTAATTCGTTCTGGAGGGTCGTTCTTAACCTGAAACTGTTCTTAACCTGAGGTGCCACTTTAGCTAATGGGGCCTCCCGCTGCTGCCGCGCAATTTCTGTTCTCATCCTGAAGCAAAGTTCTTAACCCAAGGTACTATTTCGGGGTTAGCGGAGTCTGTAACCTGAAGCATCTGTAACCCGAGGTACCACTATATGCCACCTTGAGCTCCTTGGAGGAAAAGATGGAATATGAGTGCAATCAATAAATCAATCTATCTATCAATAATATTATTTATTGAATTTATACACCGCCCTATACCCAGAGGTCTCAGGGTGGTTCATGAAAAAGATCATAATATATAAAACAAAAATAAAAGCAATAACCCAATAATACATACACCCCCCCCAGAAGAGCCACTTTTAAAAAGGGTATAGGATGTTGATCAGGTCAACCAAAGGCTTGGTTAAAAAGGAACGTTTTTGCCTGCTGCCTAAAGCTGTATAATGAACTCTCCCCTGGGGAGGAGCATTCCACAGACACAGACCCACTGCAGAGAAGGCCCTGTTCTCGTGTTGCCACCCTCCGGACCTCTCAAGAAGGAGGCACACGAAGAGGGCCTCAGATCTCAGGGTCTGGGTAGGTTCATATGGAAAGTATGGCAGTTCTGATCCGTGTAAGGCTTTATAGGTCAAAACCAGCACTTTGCATTGGGCCCGGAAACTAATTGGTAGCCAGTGTCGTCGGACCAGGATCAGTGTAATATGCTCAAAGCATAAACTAATCCACCTCGTCTCTTGATTTCAGGAGCTGACGAATGGCCTGGTAAGGATGAGAGGGAGCTACATGGAGTGTTGATGGAAGTTGCTGATCATCAGGCAGTGGAAGAAGACGATGGGGACGTGGATGGGCCAGAGTGGGAGCAAGGGAGCAAAGTGGAGGAATGGCCAAACAAATCCATTGCTTATGAAGGCGGCCACTTCCACGAAATCACAGTGCATCAGAGAAGCCACAGCAGGGAAAGGAGGAACAAGTGTGACGTGTGTGGGAAGGTGTTCAGAGACGAAGCTTACCTTAATAAGCACCAGAGAACCCACACCGGGGAGAAACCCTACAAATGCTCAGACTGTGGAAAGAGCTTCCGTTGGAGTTCAGACTTCCACAGGCACCAGAGAACCCACACGGGAGAAAAACCATACAAATGTGCCGACTGTGGGAAAAGTTTTCGCCGGAGCTCGAACCTCCATAGGCATCGGAGAATCCACACGGGGGAGAAATCGTACAAATGTTCGGAGTGCGGGAAAAGTTTCCGATGCAGCTCAAGCCTGATTAGCCACAGGCGAACCCACACCGGGGAGAGACCCTACGAATGTTCAGACTGTGGGAAAAGCTTCCGGCTGAGCTCAGACCTTATCAGCCACAAGAGAACCCACACCGGAGAGAAACCCTACGAATGCCCTGACTGCGAGAAATGCTTCCGTCGGAGCTCGCACCTTAATACCCACAAGAGAATCCACACGGGGCAGAAACCCTATAAATGCTCAGATTGTTCCAAAACCTTTTCGGACCGATCCAACCTTCTCAGCCACCTGAGAATCCACACCGGGCAAAAGCCGTACACGTGCTCGGATTGTACCAAGACGTTTTCCAATAAATCTAACCTTCTCAGCCATCAGAGAATCCACTCAGGAGAGAAGCCGTATGAATGCTTAGACTGTGGGAAAAGTTTCAGCGTGTGCCAGTACCTAACCAGGCACCAGAGGAGACACACGACAGAGAAGCTGCACGAGTGTGTGGATTGTGGGAAGAGGTTCAGTCAGAGCCAGTATCTTATCCGCCATCAAAAGCATTCACACAGGAGGAAAATGGGAGTTTGCACCGTAATAGACATACAATGAACTTTACAGGAGATGGGAACATTATCAATACTTGAATTGTCGGAAGAGATGTTGAACCTCAACACAAATCTTAATAAACACCAGAGATTCTACACAGAACTGGAAATCCTACAAATCTGTGTCACAGGGTAGTCTTCTTTTCATGCAACTCATATTCCTCATAGAGAATTCCCTGCCTTCCAGATATCTACGTACAGTTAGAGAGAATTATAAGCTTCTAAACAAACAGCGCAGGGCTGTTGTCCACATGGTTAGTGTTTCATGTAGCCCATTTGCCTCACTGGATACTGGAAAATCAGCCCTAGAAAGAACAGGTAGCTAGGTTCACCTTTTAGCAGTTGAAGTCTTAAAGCAGGGATAAGGAACCTGTGGTCCTTCATCTGCCGCTGGGCTCCCATCTCCCATCATGGTCCACCGGCCAGGAGATGCAGTCCAGCAACATCTGGAGGGCTTCTAGATCCCATCCTTGCCTTACGGCAGGCATGTCCAACTCCCAAGAGACTGCAATCTACTCCCACTATTAAAAAGTTGTTGAGCTTTTTTGGGGCGGGGCGGGATCACATGATCCACCGTGATCGACCAGGGACGCCCCGCAATCGACCAATAGATCGCGATCGACCGGTTGGATGTATATTTTTCTTTGTTTGTGGTTGTTGCTGTTTGTTTGTTTTGTGTGTTGTTGTGTTTTTGAAAATTTAATAAAATATTATTTTTTTTTAAAGGGATGTCAGTAATTACGTCCCATCTGCCATTTCCCTCACAGAGCTGCAGGGCCGGCCCACCCATGAGGCAAGGTGAGCTGATTGCTTCAGACAGCAGGATCCACAGGGGCAGCTGATCCAGCCTCCATCATGTGCTGCTACCTCGGTGACAGCGATGGCTGAGGCACACTCCTTGGAGGCTGAACCTTCTGCCTCCCTGGCAGCCGTCCCACAATGCAGCCTCTGCTGTGGCCTCTTGGTGAATAGGAGGCACTGCTAGACTCCTCCCAAGAGCGGAAATGGCGGGGGACGGGACCTCCTGGAATCCACACCCACCTGGCGTGATTCAGAGTGGGCCCCTTCCCCCCCCCAACGGCCTTTGATTCTCATTTCAACCATAAGGAAAGGTTGACGGAGATCGCCACTCACCCCTTCTTCCCTGGCCGGGAGGGGAGACACCATTTTGTGGTTTGCCTCAGTCGCCAAAATGTCTTTGGCCTGCCCTGCAGAGCTGCCATTTGCAGAGTGGTTTAAGAGTCAATCGCCCTCCCCAGGCAACTCTGAGAACTGGAGCTCAGTGAGGGGAGTAGGGGTTCTCCAACAAACTCTCTGCCTCCTTCACTGCAGCTCCCAGGAGTTTTCCAGGGGAAGCCGTGGATGTTTAAAGTGGTATCGGAGTGCTCTGAATCTAAGCACAGATTGGGGTCGCACACAGAGACATTTGAAGGCTCCATTCAAGGTTAGAGATGAAATCTGCCTGAGGTGGGCGATCTGTGGTCCTTGCTCTCATTCGGGCCCACAGAGATAAGGTGGCAGAGAGAGCATGAGATAGTTTGTGCGGGAGCTTCAAAGAACTCTGCCCCAAAACCATCTGATTTATAGCTATCTAGCCTGTTCGCCTACATGCCTTGCCCGGTGAGCTGTGTGCAGATTATTCATCAAGCTAGCCACCTCTTCTCATGCCGCACGTTCTCCAAACAATGTCTAACATCAAAAAAGGTCAGAAGGTACCCTGCATTATCACTTACTTCCAACAGATTAAAGGCTGTTCTCAGCCATCAAAGAGCTGAACAAGAGATAGGGGAAGCAAACAGAGACAGGAAGGAATGACCATGCTAGATCAACTAACGCCTCAAAGTATACCGTATTTTTCACCCTCCCTATAGGACGCACTTTTCCCCCTCCAGAAATGAAGGGGAAATGTGTGTGCGTCCTATGGGGCGAATGCAGGCTTTCGCTGAAGCCTGGAGAGCGAGAGGGGTCGGTGTGCACCAACCCCTCTCGCTCTCTAGGCTTCGGGCAGCCCTCCGCAAGCCTTAGGAGCCCGGCGTGACTTCCTGCCGGGCTCCCTAGGCTTGCGGATATCAGCCTGCTTCCCGAAGCCTGGGGAGTGCAGCGGAGCGCGCCCTGGGCTTCGGGCAGATATCTGCAAGCCTGGGGAGACCGGTGGGAGTTCCCGCCGGGCTCCCCAGGCTTGCGGATAGCAGTCTGTTCTGGGGGCGGGGGAAGCTCGGGCTTCCCCCGCCCCAGCCCCGCGCCTGGGGGGAAATACAGTGGTGCCCCGCAAGACGAACGCCTCGCAAGACGGAAAACCCGCTAGACGAAAGGGTTTTCCGTTTTGGAGGCGCTTCGCAAAACGAATTTCCCTATGGGCTTCCTTCGCAAGACGAAAGCCCATAGGGAAATCTCCGGAACAGCGGGGAAGCGCAGCACGTCTTCCCCACTGTCCTCGGACCTCCTCCGAAGGCTGGCGGCGGGGCGGAGAGACCTCCTCCCGCCGCCAGCCTTCGTTTCTCCGCTATCCCGGACGGCTTTTGAAGGCAGGCGGGGGGGGAACAAAGACTTTCGCCCCCCGCCAGCCTTCAGAAGAGGTCCAGGACCTCTTCTGAAGGCCGGCGGGGGGCAAAGGTCTTTGCTCCCCCCTGCCTGCCTTCCCGGGGGCTTTTAAATCGCCCCGGGACAGCGGAGAAGTCCTCCGCTGTACCGGGGCGATTTTAGAATGCTGGCAGGCTCCTGCCCGCCAGCATTTTAAGATCGCCCCGACAGCGGAGAAGCCCTCCGCTGTCCCGGGGTTTTTTAAAATGCTTGTGGTGGGAAGAAAAGCCCTTGTCCCATCCCCCCCAGCCTTCAGAAGAGGTCGGGGGGACAGACTGTCCCCAGACCTGGTCTGAAGTCGGTTTCCATAGGAACGCATTAATTGATTTTCAATGCATTCCTATGGGAAACCGTGCTTCGCAAGACGAAAAACTTGCAAGAAGAAAAAACTTGCAGAACAAATTAATTTCGTCTTGCGAGGCACCACTGTATTTCCCCCCCCCTTTATTTCCCCCCAAAAAGAACTAGTTGCGCCCTATGGGCCGGTGCGCCCTATAGGGCGAAAAATACGGCAATTGTCTTCCAAATAGATTGCCCATTAACCCAATGCATCAGGTCTACGAGCATTTTGTCTTTCATCAAGGCTGGTGCACATTTTGTGATATGGAAGCTCTCTCTCCCAGGCTGCACTATCCTTGGAAGGCTGGGGTTGGGTGAACCTGTGGCCTTTCAAATGGTGCTGGACTCCAACTCCCATCATCCCTGGCCATTGACCATGCTGGTTGGGGCTGATAGGAGTTGGAGTCCAACCAAACCAGTGGAAAACCACAGGTTCCCCATCCCTGTATTGCCTGGAATGTTTAATTTTGTGTCAACCATGTACAACCACGATCCCTTACTTGAATAAATACGCTCTTGTGTAGTTTGAAGTGCTGGGGAAAATTCTGGGTGGAAAGGCCTGCATCCTTAAAGAAATCTGCCTCATAATTCCTATCCAATACTTAAAAGGAGTTTATTTTGCAGTAACACTTTTAAGGAGGATGGAGACAAATTGGAAGCAGCTCAGAAGACAACGAGGATGCTTGAGGGATTTGGAAACAAGCTCTGTGAGGAAAAGACAGGGATAGCACCTCCCCTATGTATGTGAAGAGGGCAAAAACTTGTGCCACATCTGCAACATACATTCAAAGCACTATCATATCACACTATCATGGCTTCCCCCAAAGAATCCTGGCAAGTGTCGTTTCTTAATTGTTAGGAAAACCCTCATTTCTGTGAGGGAAATAGGGATTTCTCTCACACACAAGATGGCTCCCAAATGGCCACCTACTCTCCCAGTGACCAGAGCGAGCAAGATGGTAGCCTCATGCGCCACCTCAGACTATACTACTAGCCATTGCCTTTTCATTCATAGCCATCCACAATTTGGCGGCCATCACCACATCTTGTGTCAGCAAATGCCATTTTTTAAATTGTGCAAGTCTTCCTTTCGCCTGCTCTGAATCTCCTGCTGTTCAGCTTCAGCCTTGGGGTCCAAGCTGATGAGGGAGAAAAACCTTTCCCTATCCATTTTCTCTCTGCCAGTAGTGGCGGCTGGTGCTCATTAGGGCTACATTTGCACCATATATTTAAAATACTACATTACCCAATGCTTTCTTTCTGGGGCGGGGGGGGGGGCGCAGGGGTATGCATACCCCTAAACATTTTGTGAATCTAACGGAAGAAGAAACTAAAATAATAAAAATTAGTTTCTTCTCCAGCGCGGTGAATCGTCAGTTCTGTTGCTACCCCTGATGGCAGCCTCACTTCCTGTCACGAGGGAAGTGAGCGTTTAATGTGTGAAGTAGGAGTTGGAATCTAGCACAGTGATTGGTCAGTTTCATTGTTACTACCTCTGACGGCGGCTTCCTTTCCTTTCCCGGTGATTTTCTTGAGTCAAAATGAGAGTACCCCAAAACATTTTAAGAAAAAAAAAGCACCGATAATAGCCCCTGAAAAAAATTAAACGTAAAGAGTGAATGGGCAGCTGATGAAGAGCTGTTAACAGAAGAACAATCGGAGGCCTCGGAAGCAGTGTCAGGTGTTCAGGTTCCAAAGAACGTTCGCAAACCAGAGCATTCACTTATGGGTTTGCAGCGTTCGGGAGCCAAAATGTTCCAACTCACAAGGTGTTCAAGAACCAAGGTTCGACTATAAGTGTGGTCCTCATATTGGGGAATCAAGCAGTTTGGGTCTGGGTCAGAATGCTGCAAAACCCACATGACCCAAGGTACTGATGTACAGGTTAGGGCTCTTGATAAAGAAGGCCTGCACACAAAACAACCATCTGTTTATTACCATGAAATAACATACAGTAATGCATGAAAAACCCATTTCTTTATTTTTTGCACCGGCGGTTCGATTCTGTAGCTGTTTCCCTGCCTGCAGTTGCTCTTGCAGCTGCGTCTCTCCTCGGCACCCAAAATCCCGTGACCCAGAGTGCCTTAGCACAATACATGCTCTGATCCCTTGCACGAATGTGTCGTTGGGTTCCATTGATATCGGTAGGGCGGAAGGCAGGGAGGCCGACAGCAGGTGGCGCCAAAGAGCCAGCGACAGGCACAGCCAACTAACACCGGCCTTGATCCCCTGTTACAGAGTTCTACAAGGGCCACACTGAGACCAAGGAGGAAGAAGCCGACAGACAGCGCCATCCCATGGACTGGATGCAAGTGGGAACACATGTCAAGGATGGAGGTTGGTGGGATCGCGCCCCATTTGCCCTAAAAACAGGCCGGGGGTCCACTGACTGCGACGAGAAACCTGGTCAGGTTCACTTTGGCGTTACCGCCTGCGTTACTCAGCGAAGCACAGGAACAGGCCTGTGTGGAAATGTTATGGCTTCTTTCCTAGCTGGGCAGGATCCCCCCCCCATGCATAATACGATTAAATTGGTTACAGTGGTACCTCTGGTTATGTACTTAATTCGTTCCGGAGGTCCGTTCTTAACCTGAAACTGTTCTTAACCTGAGGTACCACTTTAGCTAATGGGGCCTCCCACTGTTTCCACATGATTTCTGTTCTCATCCTGAAGCAAAGTTCTTAACCCAAGGTACTATTTCTGGGTTAGCAGAGTCTGTAACCTGAAGCGTCTGTAACCCGAGGTAAAGGGACCCCAGACCATTAGGTCCAGTCGTGGCCGACTCTGGGGTTGCGGCGCTCATCTCGCTTTACTGACCGAGGGAGCTGGCATACAGCTTCCGGGTCATGTGGCCAGCATGACTAAGCCGCTTCTGGCGAACCAGAACAGCGCATGGAAACGCTGTTTACCTTCCCGCCGAAGCACCACTTCAGCTAATGGGGCCTCGCGCCGCCGCTGCGCGATTTCTGTTCTCATCCTGAAGCAAAGTTCTTAACCCAAGGTACTATTTCTGGGTTAGCGGAGTCTGTAACCTGAAGCGTATGTAACCCGAGGTACCACTGTACTAATTTTTTCTGCTTCACACACTCCTCTAAAAACAGGCTCCACATTGTTTTCATAAAAGTCTGGTTTAAGCAACTGCATAGTACGCTCCTAAGCATAGCTGTCAACATTTCCCCTTTTTAAAGGGAAATTCTCTTATTCCGAATAGGATTTTTCGCAACAAAAGGGAAAAGTTGACAGCTATGCTCCTAAGATTCCCTCTCTTTTTTTTGCATGGGATCTTTGCTGCTCAGCTATGTCAGACTGGGGAGTAAAGCTGTTTCCATTCCCTATCCCGCAGGAAGCACACCCCACACCCCTCAAAAAAGCCCCCTAAAGGCCAAAACAATTTAGGCTTGCAAAGCCTCCCGGTCTTTGTGGGTTCTTTTATGGACCACGAGGTGCGCGCTGCAGGTGAAGCACCTCCCGCAGACGAGGCACATGTACGGCTTCTCCCCCGTGTGGATCCTCTGGTGCTGCATGAGGTGTGCGCTCTGGCTGAAGCTCTTCCCGCAGGTGCCGCACTTGTAGGGCTTCTCGCCCGTGTGGGTCCGCTCGTGCTTCACCACGTCCGAGCTGGTGGTGAAGCTTTTCCCGCACAGCGAGCACTTGTAGGGCTTCTCGCCCGTGTGGGTCCTCTTGTGCTTGACGAGGTCGGAGCTGGAGCGGAAGCTCTTTCCGCAGACGAGGCACTTGCAGGGCTTCTCGCCCGTGTGGGTCCTCTCGTGCTGCGTGAGGATCATGCTCTGGCTGAAGCTCTTGCCGCAGTAGGAGCATTTGTAGGGCCTCTCGCCCGTGTGGCTCCTCTGGTGCTTCACCAGGCCCGAGTTGGACGCGAAGCTCTCCCCGCACGTCAAGCAGGTGTAGGGCCTCTCGCCCGTGTGGGTCCGCTCGTGCTGGATGAGGTTCGAGCTGCGCTTGAAGCTCTTCTCGCAGAGGGAGCAGCTGAAGGGCTTCTCCTCCGTGTGGGTCTTCTTGTGGTTGACGAAGTTCGAGCTGGTGCTGAAGCGCTTCCCGCAGTCGGGGCACTGGTAGGGCCTCTCGCCCGTGTGGGTCCTCTGGTGCGTCATGAGGTGGGCGTTGGAGCAGAAGCTCTTGCCGCACAGGAAGCACTTGTAGGGCTTCTCCTTCGTGTGGAAGCGCTCGTGGACGATCAGGTAGGAGCGCTGGTTGAAGCGCTTCTCGCACACCGAGCACTGGTACGGCTTCTCGCCCGTGTGGATCCGCTCGTGCTTCACCAGGTCCGAGCTCTGGTGGAAGCTGCGCCCGCAGTCGGAGCACTTGTAGGGCTTCTCCCCCGAGTGGTTCCTCTTCTGGTGGCTGATGAGGCTCGAGATGCTGCAGAAGCTCTTCCCGCATTCGGTGCAGATGTAGGACGTCCCTTCGACCGAGCCGCCTTCGTCCAAGACGGGGAGGAGGCCCGGTGGGCCTTCCGGGAGATGGCTGATCTCGCAGATGCCTTCCATGTCGTGAAAGCTGGAAAGGCCGCCGGGCGCCTCCAGCAAGGGCCCACACGCTTCCATGAGGTCGGGGGTTTTCGTCTCGGTGGCCTCCTCTTTGCTGTCACTCATTTGTTCTCCGGCGGCGGGAATTTTCTTTGAAAAATACGTTTCTCAGGCTAAAAAAGGAAAACGAGAGTGAGAAGTGACCTAAACAGGACAGGTGAGTTTGACCATGGGTCCCTTAATAATAATAATAATAATAATAATAATAATAATAATAATAATAATTTATTACTTATACCCCGCCCATCTGGCTGGGCTTCCCCAGCCACTCTGTGCGGCTTCCAACAAAACACTAAAATACAATAACCTATTAAACATTAAAAGCTTCCCTAAACAGGGCTGCCTTTAGATGTCTTCTAAAAGTTTGGTAGTTATTTTTCTGTTTGACATCTGGTGGGAGGGCGTTCCACAGGGCAGGCGCCACTACCGAGAAGGCCCTCTGCCTGGTTCCCGGTAACTTGGCTTCTCGCAGTGAGGGAACCGCCAGAAGGCCCTCGGCGCTGGAACTTAGTGTCCGGGCAGAACAATGGGGGTGGAGACGCTCCTTCAGGTATACTGGACCGAGGCCTCTAACTCAGTATTTCCCACACTATTGGCAGTGGCTCTCTTGCAGGGTCAGATTAAGACCTTTAGAGGCCCCTGAGCACTTCAATGATTTTGGTGCCCCCAAAGAGATCTAATTCAAAATAGAAACAATAGAATAAACAATAATACAGTGGTACCCCGGGTTACAAATGCTTCAGGTTACAGACTCCGCTAACCCAGAAATAGTACCTCGGGTTAAGAACTTTGCTTCAGGATGAGAACAGAAATCGCCTGGAGGCAGCAGCAGGAGGCCCCATTAGCTAAAGAGGTGCTTCAGGTTAAGAACAGTTCCAGGTTAAGAATAGACCTCCAGAATGAATTAAGTTCTTAACCAGTGGGACCACTATAAACCGCAAAGTAAAATTTTATTTTTCGAAATGAAACAAAACAATGGGAAAGATGGGAAAAAATGATTATTTTCATATACTTCCACTTCATTTATATATATATATTTAGAATCCCCTACTTTTCTAGTTGCAAAGTCACGTCTGGATCTAATGGTCAGGGGTCCCTTTACCTTTACCTTTACAGGGACTCCTGACCATTAGGTCCAGTCTTGGCCAACTCTGGGGTTGCAGCACTCATCTCGCTTTATTGGCCGAGGGAGCCGGCGTACAGCTTCCAGGTCATGTGGCCAGCATGACAAAGCCGCTTCCGGTGAACCAGAGCGGCACACGGAAACGCCGTTCACCTTCCCGCCGGAGCGGTACCTATTTATCTACTGGCACTTTTGCCGTGCTTTAGAACTGCTAGGTTGGCAGGAGCAGGGACCGAGCAACGGGAGCTCACCCCGTCGTGGGGATTCAAACCGTCAACCTTCTGAGAGTCCTAGGCTCTGTGGTTTAACCCACAGCTCCACCTGCGTCCTGACGGAATGACCGTTAGCCCACCCAGACACAAAAGATGCTCTTTTGAATATGCAACACTTGACATTGCAATGACCTCCGGAGCAAAGGATAAGTTATGAAATGGCCACAGGAACTCGCTCCCCAAAAACTTTCCCCAAGGCTGCCCCTTATACCTCATACACAGTAATCTGCAAGTTTCTCCCAAGGGGCTCCTTAAAACCAGGGCTGACTCAAGTTTGTGGGGGGGGGAAATAATAATAATAATAATAATAATAATAATAATAATAATAATTTCTTTATTTATATCCTGCCCATCTAACTGGGTTTCCCCAGCCACTCTGGGCAGCTCCCCTAAAAATATTTAAAAACACGATAAAACATCAAACGTTAAAAGCTTCCCTAAACAGGGCTGTCTTCAGATGTCTTCTAAAAGTCAGAGAGTTGCTTATTTCCTTGACATCTGATAGGAGGGCGTTCCACAGGGCGGGCGCCACCACCGAGAAGGCCCTCTGCCTAGTTCCTGGAAGCACCGTAGCTCAGGGCCAGAGCGTCTGCCTTATCCTGGGTGCAATTCCCAGTGCCTCTGGGCAAGAACGGGAAAAGCTGCTGCCCCAAACCCTGGAGAGCCTCTGCCAGTCAGTGTTGATTTTCCGACATGGAATAAGGCAGCTTCCGGTTTTGTTCCCGTGTCAGTGCTGTGCCGCCTTGTAGCAGAGTTCTGGACCACTGGTCCATCCAGCTGAGAACTGTCTGCACTGATTGGCAGAAGCTCTCCGGGTGTTTCAGGGAGAGCAATATTATTGCTATTATTTAATTAATTAAATCCACATCCTGCCCTTTGTCTGAGGACCACACGGTGACTGGAGAGGCCACTGAGGCTCAAAGCTGGCAGCTTCTGCTTGCCTTGTACAGAGAAACAGGAAGCTGTCATGTAAACCGCTAAACCGTGAACTGTCTCGCCAGAGTGGTGAATGCTCTAGTTATCTCCCGCTTGGACTACTGCAATGCACTCTACGTGGGGCTACCTTTGAAGGTGACTCGGAAACTACAACTAATCCAGAATGCGGCAGCTAGACTGGTGACTGGGAGCGGCCGCCGAGACCACATAACACCGGTCTTGAAAGACCTACATTGGCTCCCAGTACGTTTCCGAGCACAATTCAAAGTGTTGGTGTTGACCTTTAAAGCCCTAAACGGCCTCGGCCCAGTATACCTGAAGGAGCGTCTCCGCCCCCATCATTCTGCCCGGACACTGAGGTCCAGCGCCGAGGGCCTTCTGGCGGTTCCCTCATTGCGAGAAGCAAAGCTACAGGGAACCAGGCAGAGGGCCTTCTTGGTAGTGGCACCCGCCCTGTGGAACGCCCTCCCATCAGATGTCAAAGCGATAAACAACTACCTGACATTCAGAAGACATCTGAATGGGAAGTTTTTAATGTGTGACCTTTTAGTGTATTTTTGGTCTCTGTGGAAGCTGCCCAGAGTGGCTGGGGAAACCCAGCCAGATGGGCGGGGTACAAATAATAAATTATTATTATTATTCACTGAGCTCAGGATTGTCTACACTGACTGGCAGCCGCTCTCTGGGATTTCATTGCCAGCGGAGATGGCAGGGATTTTGGACCTTTTGCATGCAGGACAGCTACTCGGCCACTGAGCACAGGCTCTTCCCTGGGGCATTTCTCAGATCGACCTGCGTTTAAAAGGAGGAGGAAGGGGGTAGGTAGGAGGGGTTGCTAACTTTTCCAACACAGCCTGCAGCTGTGCCTCTGGACAGCGTCCCGATCTGCAGGCGTCTTTGTCCCTGTGTGGCAAAAAAGCTCCACACCTGCTTTTTTCTTGCACATTTCTGCACATCCAGCCGCCGTCCGAGAGCCAAATCAGGCTTTCGCACACTGCCCAGTCCATTGGCAACCTTAAAAAGGCCCCCTTTGCCATAATCCTGGATAATATGAAGGTTTCTCTTTTCCCACCTCCTCCCCTGTTCCAGACAGAGATCTAAATATTTGCGATCCAGCTTTTCCAGCCACCCAGGAAGGGAAGGGGAGTTTCCTATTGTCCCCCCTCGCTGCACTACCTCGCCTTTTGTCTCTCCTCCTCCCCCACTGGAAAAAAGGAGAAAGAGAAGGAAGACTAAGCACGATTTTAAGGGAAGCAACTTTCCTACCTCCGCAAGCCCTCCGGACGCACCGCCGCCTGCAAGAGCGCAGCGCGCAGCAACACGCGCACAAAAGAAGCGGCTCTGCAACTGCCGATTTGCAAATGGGTTTTGCTGGAGCGATTGAAAAGGAGACAGAGAGAGAGAGGAAGGAACAGGAAGTGGCCGTCGCTGTTTATCGTCCCCCTTTGCAAAAAAAAAAAAAAAGAGACACGAAAACAGAGTCTCTCTAGCAATCGTGGATTTTGGGCGACTCCTTCCAAAGGCGCAAAGGGAGAGAAAATAAATAAATTCCAAATTATCCGTGAAACTGCAAGGAAGTTTATGGTGAAGAATTCTGGACAGCTCCCAAGCTTGCTGGCTTTTGGGGGCGGAAGGGGGGTGATGTTTGGGGTGAGTCTAACAAAGGAAGATGCCATATACAGAGTCAGAAAATTGGTCCATTTAGCGCAGTGTTGTCTACACTGACTGGCAGCGGCTGTCCAGGGTTCCAGGCAAGGCGCCTCTCCCAATCCTCTTTTTTTAAAAAAAATATTTATACTATTCAGATATATACATTTCACTGATTTTACAATCATTTTGACATTTTAAATCTTGACTTCCTTCCCCCGCTTTCTGTGGTTCCTTAAATTTATTTTTATTTTAAATATCTTCTGCATATTCAAATTAACTTAACTTATTTGTTTATCTCCTTTAAATATATACAGTGGTACCTCAGGTTACATACGCTTCAGGTTACATACGCTTCAGGTTACATACGCTTCAGGTTACAGACTCCGCTAACCCAGAAATAGTACCTCGGGTTAAGAACTTTGCTTCAGGATGAGAACAGAAATTGCACGACGGCGGCACAGCAGCAGCAGGAGGCCCCATTAGCTAAAGTGGTGCTTCAGGTTAAGAACAGTTTCAGGTTAAGAACGGACCTCCAGAATGAATTAAGTACATAACCAGAGGTACCACTGTACAGTACTCTTAATGTAGCTGCAGGTTATTACAATAATCCTGCCAGTGTTTTTATCTGTTTACAATTTATCTGTAAATATTCAATAAACCATTTCCATTCTTTTATAAAAGTTTGTTTTCTTGATTTCTTATTCTTCCGGTAAGTTTCGACGTTTCCATAAGTTTTTGTATTCCTTTTTCCTTTGCTGGGATTTCTTTCCATTTTGCGGAAAGTAATATTCTTGCCACTATAGTCATATAAATGAATAAATTGCTATACAGTGGTATCTCAGGTTAAGTACTTAATTTGTTCCGGAGGTCCGTTCTTAACCTGAAGCACCACTTTAGCTAATGGGGCCTCCTGCTGCCACCGTGCCACCAGAGCACGATTTCTGTTCTCATCCTGAAGCAAAGTTCTTAACCTGAAGCACGATTTCTGGGTTAGCGGAGTCTGTAACCTGAAGCGTATGTAACCCGAGGTACCACTGTACAATTTAGGTAGTTCTGTTCCTATGATTCCCAAGAGGCCTCTCTCATCCTACCAAGAGAATGTTACTGGGGACTCAAAGGGGAAGGCGAAGGGGCGACTTGGGAAACGTTTGTGATAGAACATAGGGTAGCATTCAACTACTATATGCATTTAAAACACGATGATTACTATTATAAACAGTAATGCCTCCCCTCCCCTGCAAAAAAAATAAAAATCTAGGAGTTGTAGTTTGTTAACGGTGCTGACAGTTGCTAGGAGACCACTGTTTCCCTTGAAATAAAAAAAATTAAGGTCATACACACACACACACACACACACACACACACACACACACAGTGGTACCTCGGCTTAAGTACTTAATTTGTTCCGGAGGTCTGTTCTTAACCTGAAACTGTTCTTAACCTGAAGCACCACTTTAGCTAATGCCTCCCACTGCCGCCGCGCCGCTGGAGCACGATTTCTGTTCTTATCTTGAAGCAAAGTTCTTAACCTGAAGCCCTATTTCTGGGTTAGCGGAGTCTGTAACCTGAAGTGTATGTTAAGACACAAATCCTGTCTTAAGGGTATGTCTGTGTATGAATAGGATGAGCCCGTGACCTGGCTCAGGAACTAAGTATTTATCATTACAAAAGACTGGCCAGGCTCCCCAGGTAATCCAATCAAGTGACCATTAACAGGTAACCTGCCAGACAGGAGATGAACAACGCACTCAGATTTCTGTTGTGGACTGCCCTTTCTGTGATGTAGTGTGCTCATTTGAAAACAGCTGTGGGTGGTCTCAGCAATGTGGGGTTTATCCACACCTGCCAGATGACTGCAGTTGGGTGAAGCATCCCAAGACTGCTTCTTTCTCCTTTCACCTGGGCATGTGCAGAGAGGAAAAGGTGTGAGCATAATCAAGGGGAGGGTTTCAATTCACACACACTTCCAGACAGAGGCAAACATTTTTTTCTTCTACAGATGGGTTAGTGTGTAATCTGTCTATATCTGCCCAGATTTGTAAGGTTGGCAGGCCTTTGGTTGATCTGACTTACATCCTATGACCTTTTAAAATGTGTGTGTGTTTTTTGAGGGGGCTATTGGGTTGTTGTTTTTATTTTGTATTAGGTATTTTGTGGTTTTATATCTTGATTTTATTCTGTGAACCGCCCTGGGACCCCTGGGTATTTTGTTGTTGTTTATTCGTTTAGTCGTGTCCGACTCTTCGTGACCCCATGGACCAGAGCACGCCAGGCACTCCTGTCCTCCACTGCCTCCCGCAGTTTGATCAAACTCATGCTGGAAGCTTCAAGAACACCATCCAACCATCTCATCCTCTGTTGTCCCCTTCTCCATGTGCCCTCCATCTTTCCCAAAATCAGGGTCTTTTCCAGGGATTCTTCTCTTCTCATGAGGTGCCAAAGTCTTGGAGCCTCAGCTTCAGGATCTGTCCTTCCAGTGAGCACTCAGGGCTGATTTCCTTCAGAATGGAGAGGTTTGATCTTCTTGCAGTCCATGGGACTCTCAAGAGTCTCCTCCAGCACCATAATTCAAAAGCATCACTTCTTCGGCGATCAGCCTTCTTTATGGTCCAGCTCTCACTTCCATACATCACTACTGGGAAAACCATAGCTTTTACTATATGGACCTTTGTTGGCAAGGTGATGTCTCTACTTTTTAATACCCCTGGGTATAGGGTGATATATAAATTCAATAAACTATAATTATAATTAGCATTTGCGGGAAATATACTTTTAACTGCTGGTTTTATTTAGAATTTATTCCATATCAATTTATTTTTAACGTTTGGCTTTTCCTCTCTCATGACACAGAAATTATAGAAAAGAAAGGGGGAATCCCTTTACTCTGTGCTCTGGTTGTCACAAAGGGTTAAGCTGAGAGAGTCGGGATTTCCAGAGCGGCACTTCGGATGAAATTGTTCTGACTATTGAAGGCCCTCCTCTTCCTTTTCTCCCCCTTAGCGACTCTATGGTGCTTTTCTTTGCTGCAAAGTACAGGCTGGAAAAAGAGATTTTTCAGCTCCTGGGAGGGAATCCGGTAAGTGAGAAGCGCCTTGAGGCAGGAGCAGAGAGCTGGCCTGGACTAGGAAGGTTTGCGTTAGGGATCTGCTGGATCAGACAGACCCCTCCCAGACCAGCCTCCTGCTCCCAACAGTGGGCAGCCAGACCTCTCTGGGATGCTCAGAGGCAGCAAGGCAGCAGCAAACCTCTTGCTGCTCTCTGCCTCCAGCATCTTGTGATCACAGGTAAACTGCTCCTGAACATGCAGGTTCCACGGAGCTCTGATGAGTTTTAGAACATCCTCTGTGGATTTCTCTATCCCACCCCCACCCCTTTTAAACATAAAGTCTATCAAGGACTATTCTTCATCATGGCTATGTCTTCAGGGACATTATGTCAGGGGTGGTCAGAAGTCAGACGGGGTGCTTTGCAGTAGATCACTAAGAGTCTCTAAGGCTCCTTGATTGCCAGTTGATTAGAAATATCAGCAACAACTCCTTCTCCCGCCCTGCAGAAATGAAAGGACCATTCTGAATGTGAGAAAGCACAGTGGGAAACCAGGACTGGACTCGCATGTGAAAGGGCTGTAATCAGGGGGCCATCTGCACTATGCATTTAGCGCAATGACGTGGGTGGTATTGTGGGTTAAACCACAGAGCCTAGGACTTGCCGATCAGAAGGTCGGCGGTTCGAATCCCGTGATGGGGTGAGCTCCGGTTGCTCAGTCCCTGCTCCTGCCAACTAGCAGTTTGAAAGCACGTCAAAGTGCAAGTAAATAAATAGGTACCACTCCAGCAGGAAGGTAAACGGCGTTTCCGTGCATTGCTCTGGTTCGCCAGAAGTGGCATAGTCATGCTGGCCACATGACCCGGAAGCTGTACGCCGGCTCCCTTGGCAAATAAAGCAAGATGGGCGCTGCAACCCCAGAGTCGGCCACGACCGGACCTAATGGTCAGGGGTCCTTTACCTTTAAACTGTCATGGCTTCCCCCAAAGAATCCTGGGAACTGTAGTATGTTAAGAGTGCTGAGGGGAGACCCCCTACGCCCCTCACAGAGCTACAGTTCTCTGAGGACTGAGCATGCTCAGTGTGCACAGAATGGTGGCTGCTGATTGGTGGGATGGAAAACATGGGGGCAGAAAATGGAATAGAGTATCCTGAACAGGAGTGTTCCACACTGCAACCTTTTGCTTCAGCTCCCTCTGATTCTCTTTCCTTGCAGAGGCACCGGGCCTTATAAACAATCCTGGACCTGGCAGCTGACATCATTGAGAAACATGGGATAGCAGTGTGTGAGTGACCCCTGCCAGGCCCCGGAGTTAAGAGAGGTGATGGCGTCCGAACGCAGGAATGCAGCTGTCTGGACTGTCCCCCGAGATGTCCTGCTGAAGGAGGAGGCATCGGAGTCTGAACCGGAGGAGGCTGCAGGAACAGGCCCCTTGGCCGTCCACTCAGAGAGCCTCAAGGAATTGTGGGAAGGGACCATAACAGAGCACATTAAGCAGGAACCCGAGGAAGGGCCTCAGGAGGAGTGCTGGGAAGCTCAGTGTCAGGGGCTCCTGAAGGCTGTGCGGTCTCCGCAGTCTGGGCCAGGAAACCTGCAGCTGGCCAGCAATGGCCCAAGGGACGCTCAGGCTTCCTTTGAGGGGCGACCAGACACTGGGCGAGGCAGGGTGATCCGCCACCTGCCCGGCCCTGGAGGAGACGTCCCCCCGCCCACCCACAGCGTTTTGGCCCTGGATCGTGGGGAAGTGAAGAAGGAGGCTCCCAGCCAGGAGGTGGAGCGCCTGTGCTTCAGGCAGTTCCTCTACCAGGAGGCCGAGGGGCCGCGAGATCTCTGTGGGATGCTGTGGAGGCTCTGCCATCGGTGGCTGCAGCCGGAGAGGCGCAGCAAGGAGCAGATCCTGGAGCTGGTGATCCTGGAGCAGTTCCTGGCCGTCCTGCCCCCGGAGATGCAGAGCTGGGTCAGGGAAGGCGGGCCGGAGACTTGCGGTCAGGCAGTCGGCCTGGCGGAGGATTTCCTGGAGAGGCAGCAAGAGAACGAGCACGAAATACAACAGGTGAGAGGGCAGGAGATCAGTCCTAGGAAGAACAAAACGAACAGTGGCAGGGAGCCCAGAGGACTAGCCATTGGGGCAGTTTTTGCTGGCTGTAAATATGCATTGGACTGACTGCTCCCTTAGATCAGGCATAGGCAAACTCGGCCCTCCAGATGTTTTGGGACTACAATTCCCATCATCCCTGACCACTGGTCCTGGTAGCTGGGGATCATGGGAGTTGTAGGCCAAAAACATCTGGAGGGCCGAGTTTGCCTATGCCTGCCCTAGATGGTTCAAAAATAGGATCTGGCTGAATCAGCAGGGGTTGGCTGCATTGGCAAAGTAGAACCTCCAGGTTCTGAACGCCACTTGCTGGGGGAAGACTAAGGATGGTGGACAGCGCACACTCTGCCCTAACGGACCAGCTTCCACTGCTGTGAACAGGCAGGCAGTGTTGGTTGGAGAGAAGCTATGTGGACACAGGAGTGATGGTTTCCTGTGCTCCAGTCCCTGTCTTGCGATGGGCTGCCACCTTCTGCCCCAGCTGGTTTAATGCATCCGCCTTCAAAGACAGCGCAGAGGACAGCCTTTGCCTGAAGAAGGTCTCCTTGAGATTCTGGAGAGCTGCTGCCAGTCAGTGTAGGCAATACTGTGAAAGATGGGCCAATGGCCTGACCCAGTCAAAGGCAGGGAGCCTGTGGCCCTCCAGATGTTGCTGGACTCCCACTCCCCTGACCCTTGGCCATGCTGGCTGGGGGCTGATGGGAACTGGAGTCCCACAGTACCTGGAGAAGCTCCAGATGTTCCCCACCCCTGAATCTCAGGTGATTCGCACCCATTTCTTTGTCTTGTTCTTTCTGCTGTTTCAGGTCCTCTGGCCCTTCAAGGAGAAAGCGGATGATTCCCCTGAGGCTGACGGGGCTCTGTCAGACTCTGGTGAGTGGCCGCTCACCAAAGTGGTCAAGCAGGAAGATACAGCTGCTGATGCCCCTTGGCTGGGTAAGGAGTCTTTGGCTGGGGGGGGGAGCTCTCTTGCAGAGCGAGTTATGCAAGTGAGGGGCCACCACAATAAAGGCTCTGGCTGGAGATCTAGTGCCCACCAATCTAACTGACCTTACAGGTGCACTAGCAATCAGGATCTCTGAGGCTACACTTAGGGCCTGTGTGAGTTCCTGTAGGTCAGCCTTTCTCAACCTGTGGGTCCCCAGATGTTGTTGAACTACAACTCCCATCACCCCTAGCTAGCAAGGCCAGAGCTCAGGGATGATGGGAGTTGTAGTCCAACAACATCTGGGGACCCACAGGTTGAGAACGGCTGCTGTAGGTGGTTCTTCAAATAACTGGGCTCCAAACCCCTTATTTGATTATTATCCAGGCCCTCCTTTTTCTTGGGGAAGGAAAATCTCTCTTTCTAAGGATCCCTTTCCCCCCTCTAACAGATGGTGAGGAGAAGAAGATTGTGCCAGTCAATTCTGAAGAAGCTGAACCACATTGGATGCTGCCAGAGAGAGCAGAACGGACTGTATCCCGATACGCCGACTGGGGAGAAGCATCCGAAAACCAGCAGGAAACTCACCCCCATAATGAAGAAGGCAAATCCATTCCTTTCCACCTCCCTGCCATGCCAGTCCAGCAAAGGTTCCTCAAGGGTGAGACATGCGCTGAGTGCGGAAAATCTTTTCGCTGCAAGGCGGAACTCACCGAACACCAGAGAATGCACTCAGGAGAGAAACCCTACATCTGCTCCGACTGTGGGAAGAGCTTCTGCAGGAGGAATGTCCTAGTTGCACATCAGAGAATCCACACGGGGGAGAAGCCCTTCAACTGCCCGGACTGCGGGAAAAACTTCAACCAGCGATCGCATCTTACGACACATGAGAGAACTCACACGCAAGAGAAGCCCTTTGCTTGCCTGGACTGCGGACAGAGCTTTAGTAGGCGCACTGGGCTTGCGTCTCACCAGAGGATCCACACGGGAGAGAAGCCCTATCGCTGCCAAGACTGCGGGAAAAGTTTCAGGCAGAGATTCGATCTTATTCGACATCAGAGAATCCACACGGGCGAGAAGCCACACCAGTGCCCCGACTGCGCCAAAAGCTTCAGGAACAAATCCGCTTTCCACGTGCACAGAAGGATCCACACTGAGGAGAAACCGTACCCGTGCTCTGGGTGCGGGAAGAACTTCCGGCATCGCACCAACCTCCTCGCGCACGAAAGGATCCACACGGGAGAGAAGCCCTACAAGTGTGGAGAGTGTGGGAAGAGTTTTGGTGACGGGTCGTCCCTCATGAAACACAAGCGAGCCCACACGGGCGAGAAGCCGTACAAGTGTGCCGAGTGTGGGAAATGCTTCTCTCAGAACGCCGGCCTGGTTCAGCACGAGAAGATCCACACGGGAGAAAAACCCTTCCAGTGCCCAGACTGTCCCAAAAGCTTCCGGGACAAGTCGGCCTTTGTCGTTCACCACAGGACACACACGAGGGAGAAACCGTTTCACTGCTTGATCTGCGAGAAGAGCTTCAGCCATCGCTCCAACCTTCTCAAACACGAAAGAACCCACACTGGGGTGAAGCCATACAAGTGCCTGGAGTGTGGAAAAGGCTTCACTCAGAGGGCAAATCTCCTCGTACACGCGAGAAGCCATTTGAAAGAGGAAGGGGAGATTGGCTAAGAGGGTGGGGAGAACTACCTCAACGGGCATCCCCGGTTGGAAAGTAAAATAAGGTCCTGAGTTTTAGAGATCTCTATTTTGTTGCCATTTGCCACTGTTATTGAGTGGCAAAGAGGAAGGTCAGGGGAAGTATGTGCTTTTTATCTGTGGCATAAAAGGAAGGGGAGGATGTCAGGCTGCGGTCAAATCTCATAAAAGATGGAGAGACTACCTTGAAAAGGTCCTTTCCATATCATTCAGTAATTAAATTAAATTAAGAATACAGTCATACCTCATGTTATGTTCCCTTCATGTTACGTTCTTTCAGGATACGTCCTGTGGCGACCCGGAAAGGGTTACTTCCGGGTTTCGCTGCTCGCACATGTGCAGATGCACAAAATGATGTCACTCGCGTGCGCAGAAGCAACGAATCACAACCCGTGCGTGCGCAGACGTGCCACTGCAGGTTTTTCTCTTTTCATGTTGCAAATGGAACTCCGTAACGGATCCCGTTCGCAACCAGAGGTACCACTGTACAGTCGTACCTTGGATCTCAAACGCCTTGGCTCCCAAACTGCCGAAACCTAGAAGTGAGCGTTCCGGCTTTCAAGCGATTTTTGGAAGCCGAATGTCTGGCGTGGCTTCCGCAGCTTCCGATTGGCTGCAGGACGATCCTGCGGCCAATCGGAAGCCGCACCTTGGTTTTTGAACACTTCCGAGGAGTCGAATGGACTCCCGGAACGTATTCTGTTTGAGAACCAAGGTACGACTTTATCAGGAAAGCCAAAGGTCTGTTTAGTCCAACATCAAGTTTTGCACAGCTGAGTTTAGTTTCTTCTTCAAATGTCGCCGTCCCAGGAAGCTTTGCCCCAAAGCCACTCACAATGAACATTAATGTCTTCTCAGTATACATTACAGTTAATTTATTTTAAAACAAAAACGGAAACCTGCGCATCTGCTGCAACAAATGTCAATGGTGGGGGGGAGGTGTCTTTATTCCATGATGTGCCACCACCCTGTGGAAAACGCAGGGAAAGGAGAGCAGGCTGCAGCGGTCAGTAGTCAGTGTCCCTAATAGTGGAGCCAGAGTGAGTCCTGCCTGATCTTTGAGTGGTCAATTCCACAGGCATGTGTTGTTCCAGCTGTTAGTATCCAAGGAGAGAAATCAGATGCACCTGGTGCCGAAATGACGCTCCTTGGGGGAGCACTGTGTATTAGGGGTGGGGCTCAGGAACACAGGGAAGGTGCCCTGCGTAATGTATGGGGCAGCACAGCCCATGGGGCCCCTTCTGGAAGCTGCCAGACTGCAACTCCCACCCTCTCTGACCCCTGGCCATGCTGGACAAGCATGAGGAGAGGAGCTGGAGTCCAGCATTATCCAGAGGACACCCCATTTGATGCCCCCGATAGACAGAATCCAGCCTGTGAATAAGGAACGTTAATGCATCCACTCAAAACACATTTAACTGAGCAGAAGCCCCACTCAATGCAAGAAGGTTTACTTCTGACAACGTGTGGAGATGGCGAGGCTGTATTTGCAGAGGGCATTTGAAGATGATGCCCTGTTCAATTTATTTTTCTTCTTCTTCCTGTCTTAGGTCTCCATGCTATCCTGCCTGACGTGGGTAAAGGGGCTTATTTTTCAGTTCTCTATTAATTCAACGATGCATGCATTTTCACAGCTGCATAAGGTATTGTGGGGAGAGGAAGGTTTCCTAGAATTACGGAGTTGCGAGGGATCCTGAGGGTAATCTAGTCCCACCCCCTGCAGTGCAGGAAACATTTGCCCAACGTGGGGCTCAGACCCACAACCCTGGGATTAAGAGTATCGTCCTCTGCCAAATCAGACACCTCAAATAGAAAACAAGATTGAAGGTGAGAAAATTTATTAGGACTCCTAAAAGTGTGACTGTCTCTTTAAGAAGTGAGCTCCAGAGGGAATTCTGGGAAAAGGAAGGAAAACGCAAAGCAAGAACAACTCATTTTTGTTTTGTTATTTCTGCTGATTTTGACTGGAATGAATCCTCTCAAAGGGCCCTTGGAAAACTGCCCAACCTGCTCTTGGCGGGTAAATGGTTTTTATGTCAGTCACTCTGGTCTGGAGAGAAACTCCTGCTGGGCCTGAGAGGCAGATTTAGTCCCCTCAGGAGATAATGAGGTGGGCTTCATATCCCCCCAGATAAAAGAAAGGGAGGAGGGTCTCTCCAGAGAACGAGGCTCCTGAGAACGTGTAGAGTTCGGCTCCTGAGTCAGCGTCAGAAAAAGACACACGTCCCACTTCATGGTCCAGAGTCACCTGGATCCTCCTGGGCTTCTCCCTCAGGGACAGAGGAGAGTAATGAGGGGAGGTGCAGGCCCAGTACTCCCCTCCCCTCTTCCCCACAGCCCAGATCCCCTCCTTGGGGAATATGGAGAAGCAGCCCTTTCTCTCCACAGACTTCCTGGCAACCCCCAAAGCCCACTCTTCCCCACTTTCCACAGTGACTTCCCAGAAATGTCTGCCTGCTGTGAATCCCTCACGTCCCAACACATAAAGCCAGTCACTGAATCTCTCAGGATTATCAGGCAGGGCTTGAGGTTTGTATCCCTTTCTCACACTTTTCCCATCCTTGGACAGGATGAGTTCGGGATGGGCTGTGTCTGGATCCAGAGTGACATTTGCTGTTGGGGAGAAGATGAGGGAAAGAGAATATTAGGCAGAGTCAGCTGAGAGACAGAAATGGACATCTTGATAAATAAGTAAAAAACACCCCAAAAACCCAGATTCCCTCTCATATCAAGGGGATTTCTTTGCATTGCATGCAAGACTGAGACTCCTTGGAGACTTTCATCAGAATAAATATCTTCCTTGTTGGTTTTTAAATCAGTTCCCTTCACATTATTACAGAATGAAAAAGAAAAAGGAAAAAATACAAAATAAAAATAAATATTTATAATAAATAAATAAATAAATCAGTTCCCTTCACTTTCTTATATCCGATGTGTATTATTCCTGCCCTCCTCTCAACCCAGGCATTTTCTAGGAGGAAAAACCACCCAGGAACCCTTTTACTCGGCTCTTCTGTGTTATCTAAGGGGAAAGAGAGGAGAATTGGAGGAGGCAGGAGAGGGGAGTGGCCTTTGGGGAGCTCTAGGTTGGGATATGAGGACCCCCCGTAATAATAATAATAATAATAATAATAATAATAATAATAATAATAATAATAATAATTTATATTTGGATACTGCCCAACATCCATAGGTCTCAGGGTGGTTCACAGCATAAAAATACAACATAAAACCACATATAGGCCTCCCCTCACTTTCACGGGGGTCACGTTCTGGGCCCTTGTGCCTACAAGTGAAAATTGTGCTAAGTGGGGAGCCTGTTTATTCCTGCTCTCCATCTGTCTCACCTACTTGATCTCTCCTTTCCTTCCTCTCTACCATCTTGGAAGTTTAGGCCTTGCCGCCAGGGAAGAGGAGGTAGGTGGCAGGGCAATTTTACAAAGGACTGTTTATTCCATGCTTCTCTCTTGGATTTAATATACACCATAAGACTAGTTCCCTGGGGGAAAGGGAGAATAACTCAAAAGGATTACCAGTCAGGGGCTTGGACAGTCATGACAGGCAAGTATAGAGTTGCTGTATTTTGAAGAGCAAAAAAGAGGACACATTTGCCAACTTCTACTCTTAACCATGGATCGCTATGTTGACACTCATTTTAAATACCCCTGCTCTATGTAGGCTTTCAAAGCTGTGATATACTGCTAGTAGCAATGTTCTTAATACATATTGCTCCCTCGCTTGCCACATTTGGGTATTTGGGCTCATGTTCCCATCTTTGTGAATGCAAGTGTGCACAGAACAATTTATTAAACTGTTAAACATGTACATATGGACTTTCCTTAAGGGCAGGGGGGTGTTAACTCTTGCCCTCCCAGATTCCTCCTCCAAGATCTTGTAGCTGAGCCAGCGTCCTTTTAGTTCAGCCACAAGAGAAGGGTTTTATACAGGATGTGGCTAGCTTAAGATGCTGCTCTGTTGCCATTCTCTGCTCCAGGCTAGCTTAGCTGGGTGCCTTAGATCTGAGTCTAATGCACTAGAAATTTTTTCACGGGTTACTGTAAACCAAACCAAACAACTTGAGACATTTTGCCAAATTTTAAAAATCCGCTCAGGGGAGAAATTTTAATCATGAAAATAGAGGACCTGTCTGAGAAAAAGGTCACATGGAAAAGCAACCCAACTCTCTCTAGGCAGGAATGAAACTCTTCCCTCCTCCAGCTGATCCTTCTGGGCAGTTTCTCTCCCCTCCTCCTTCTGCACCTTCAAGTCCACCCTCTCTGCCTTTGTGGTACAAACAGCAAGGCCAGAGTCAAGCTGTACAGAAGAGACTCTTGACCCCCGTGAAACACTAGTCCCCCCCTCCTGTGAATTGGGATCTCCATGTGAAATTTACCTCTCTGAAGATTTCTGAATGACTGAACATCTGAGGAAGCAAAAAGACAGGCTTAACAGGTTACAATGCAGTAGCTTAAAAATAAATCTTTTTTTACAAAACATCACCATAACATAGCACCTGTTGTTTCCTTATTTCAAGCAAAAGATTACCGCATTTTTCGCACCATAGGACACACCGGACAATAGGACGCGCTTTGTTTTACAGGGGGGAGAACAAGAAAAAAAAATTCTCCCTCTCTCTGCCCAGCGCCCCTTCAGCGAATAAATAATAGAACACATAATAATAGAACACATAATTGCAAAGACAACAGCTGTAGGCCTAAGTAGTGATGTTAACTATTGTCCAAAAGATTATTCCTAAGAATGTAATATCACTAGGCCTAAGGAATTAAAACAACTACCGTATTTTTCGCTCTATAGGACACACTTTCCCCCCTCCAAAAATCAAGGGGAAATGTGTGTGCATCCTATGGAGCGAATGCAGGCTCCTTGGCTTCAGCAATAGCAACGCAAAGCCTCCAAAGCGCAGAGGGAGGGCTCCCTCCGCGCTCCAGAGGCTTCGCATTGCTTTCGCTGAAGCCTGGAGAGCAAGACTCTCCTGGCTTCAGCAGAGAGGGAAGAGCTGCGCAGCGCCCCTTCAGCCAAGCAGGAGGAGAAATGGAAGGGGCTCTGTTTCTCCTGCGGCTTCACTGAAGGGGCGCTGGGCAGAGAGGGGGAGGATTTTTTCTTGTTCTCCCCCTCTAAAACAAGGTGCTCCACTAGGGGCACCACGGAAGATGGCTGACAATACCATCTCTCCAGCTCACACAAGGTAATTTAGAGGCTGAGATGGGAGTAATCAGCCTCCCAAATTCTTCCCGGTGGAAGGGAAAATGCAGTCTCATCTGCGGCTGCCCACAAACCACCCCCGAGTTCGTAAAGAAGGAGGGGGTGGGGGCACTGGATGGAAAGCCCTCGAGAGAGCTCGGATCTCCTGGACGCTGTCTTCATTCCATTTCTTAAGATTAAAAATTGGATTTAAGATTGTACATGCTTTGGGCGAAGGAAGGGTATTTAATCTGCCAACTACAGCCACTGAGGTGCTAAGAGTGACAGAAGGAAGAAGATAACATCAAAGAATAACATCTAAGCCGGTATGTTGGAACGAAACGGAAAGGGGGGGGATAAAACTTTTTCTTTTTCTACTACAATAATACCCCCCAGAAGAACTGTCTACACTACCTATAGCAAGTGAGATCAGAAAATATAAACTGTGTGGAAATAATAATACTAACTGAAGCCTTTGTTTTTTAAAATACTTGGAAGAAGATAAATGACTCTCCTGTGACACACTATTTAATCGGGATCTGCCATGATGAGACAGACTGAGTTGCAGAGATTAATAGTCAGAGGGGGAGGCGAGCTCTTACTTTGTTATCATATCTGTACTTCAAGTCTGACTTGGCAAACCTCCCCTGGAAAGACTAATGTTTGGTGCAACCTGTCTGAGAAAATTAATGAGCAAACACCTAGATTTTATTTCATCGGAACTGGGAAAAGATGGTGTTTGCCACCAGAGAAGGACTTTTGGATGGATTCGGCATAAACACCAGCGTGTGAGGACATACTGCAAGTAAAAGACTTACCAGCTGCAAAAAAAAAAAAAGAGTCACACAAAGTTCACACAGAAGCATATTATTGCACAACTCAGAGGCTATGAAAGAAAGAAGGATAACAACAAGAAGATATAAAGAAGGGACTATTGGAAACTTAAGGCAGTAAAAATATAAGATGATTGGACCCCACTGAGCTTGAAGCATGGGAACCCCCAATAAAAATTTATAATTTGGCAAAATATTTTATGATATGTATTTGTACAATTTGGAATATTTAATGTGATTTGATTGGATTGTTAAAATGGAAAACTTAATACAAAACTATTATTTAAAAAAACCAACAAGGTGCGTCCTATGGTTGGGTGCATCCAATAGAGCGAAAAATACGGTAACGTGTTTAGCTGTAATTCCTGCATTGCAGGGGGCTGGACTCGATGATCCTTGGGATCCTTTCAAACTTCGCTATTCCATGATTATATGGAAAAATCAGAAATGGTAAACCATACTAGAAAATGGCGGAATACAATCATTCAAAATCCACAAATGAAATGGGGGTCTGAACTGGATGGATGAAGAAAGGTTTAACATCTGCCCCAAGTAAACTGGTGGGGAAAAGCTGTTGAAACTGGAATTTCCAAGTATGCTGACAAACCAACTTGCAGAGGAAGAATTGGCAGAGCTTTGCACTGTACTTCCAAGAGTCTCGTGCAATGGGAAGTCATCTCTCATGGAATGGGGCTGATCTCCTAAGAACTGTGGGAACTCTGAGGAGATGGGGATGGCTGAAGCACGAGAAATGGCTGGTGAGGTTGAAACTCTGAGGAAGAGGCGGCTCAGGCCTTGCTCTGCTGCTGGGAGACCATTGGACTGACCCTGCAGGATTCTCCTTAAGGGCTTTTGTAATATATCGTAAGGCTCTGAGGCTTTTCCCCACAATCAAGCAGTATATAAATTTTATGAAAGAAAGCAAAATCAATAAAATTAAGGGGGAAAGCAGGATAATAGTCTATTGGCAGGAAAGGAACTCAGACTGGTGTGCAGGTTCTTCGCAGGGACAAGCTCTGCCCCCAGGCCAAGCCTTCAACCTCCTGCCCAGTTCATTCATAGAAATAACCCAAACACCAGTAGAGGACTGTTACCCAGAGTTATGCCATTGATGGGGGTCCCAAAGTCTGCAGAACAGATGGTTCAACACCCATGAAATATCAGTCCCTATCCCTCCTGTGAAATTGTTCCTCCCCTGGAAATTTACCTTTCTGAAGCTGTTTTCTGTATAACACAGCATCTGAGGAAGCAAAAAGATATAAAGCGTAAGGGCAATACTCTTCCACCTGAAATAAATCTCCATACAAAAGTAACACTTCATAACGTGGCATCCTTAAATTCAAGTACAATTATTAAATATTAATTAAATTGTACATAAATAATTATAAACATGAAAATCATAGGAAGAATCTATGAAAATAACTAAAGCTTTCAAAACTCAGCGATCATAGTACGAAGATTGGGAAAGATTGTGGAAAACAGATTTAACATTTACAGGTTGTTCCCTTTTAAAAGAAAACTACATGAAAATGATGTATAGATGGTACATTACACCAGTACAGATTGCAAAAATGTACAAAACTGGGTCAAATATATGCTAGAAATGCAAGGAAAAAGAAGGGACTTTTTATCACATGGTCGGATTGTAGAGAAATTTTAAAAAAATCGGGAAATGATATATAATGAGTTAAAGAAAATGTTCAAATTAACATTTGTAAAAAAGCCTGAGGCATTTTGTTAGGGATTGTAGGTAGAGACCTGCCAAGGAAAATGAAGAACATGCTTATGTATGCGAGAGTGGCGGCAAGAGTCTTAATAGCACAAGGATGGAAGAATGAAGAAACCCCGACAAAAGAACGGTGGCAAGGGAAACGGATGGAATATGCGGAATTGGCAAACTAACATACAAACTGTGTGATAAGGACAACTGTGACTTTAAAGAAGAATGGGAACCTTTTACAAAGTATTTAAAGAAACAACAAAATGAACTGGACTCCTTGGCAGGTTTTGAATAAACATACACATTTTTTTTATTGTTAACATAATAGATAGATAGCTTAAGGATCTTTACCATTTTATAAAATGCAGAGAATAATATGTGTTGGAAAACCAGAGAGAGGAGTTGAGGGAAGTCCGGGTGGGAGGGAGGGGGGAAATGGGGGGGGGAATAAGGATGATATGTTTTTGATAATTTGTTATGTTGAAACTTTTAATAAAAATCTTTTAAGAAAACAAACCAAAAAACCCCTCAGCAATCATAAAGCAAGCTTACAAATAAGAGAATAAAAAGATTCAGCATGAATCCTGCTGGTCTCTGAACTTTGTCCCTAAATTGGGCTCTACATTGGAGGACTGGAGGGGAGGCAGAGCAATAGGAATCCCGTAAAAGGAGGCGAGGGGAGATGGAGGCAGCCTTAACATCTTCCCCAAGTAAAGTGGTGGGGGGAATCATTAAAGCCAAAATTGTGAAATATAAGGAGAAGTGAAGTTTGATGAGGAAGGATTGGCAGAGCTCTCAGGCAACAGGAAGCCCTTTCTCACAAACCTTCTACAAATCTTTAAGGTTGTTAACAAGCATAATTGTGCCCTTTGGGGCTCATGTGCTCTTGCTTCCACTCTCAATGGGGGAACTCTCAGGAGATCTTGAAGGCTGAAGCCCTAGATATGGCAGCTGCAGGGGGACGTCTGAGGAGACGACGGCTCAGGCCTTGGCTCCAGGGCTGAGAAAGAAGCCTGAGCAGGAGGCAGAGGGGGAACTGGGGGCTTCTTAATGCCCTTTGACTCCATTCAGAGCAGGAGAACCTCCAAAAGGACAACCCCAGACTTGTGCAGACAGGGAACCACAAGGAAAAGGAGGTTTCGTATAACTGTAAACAGAAGCACATGGGAGGAAAAAATCCTGACTTTGCTCTACACTCTGGTTCAGGCTTTCTTTACAGGATCCAGCGTCACAATATACATGGGCCATTCTGGGGGACAGGAAATGAAGGCTGGAGCACCAAGAAGGAAGGTATCCTGGGCTTACTCAATTCCATGCAATAAGAGCCTGGCATGTTCACTTCTGAAGAAGTAATAGAATTCCCAGTGTGAAATCCTGGCATCCAGTTTTCATTACCTTTCCATTGTTTCATTGTATTCTCCACAAGGTGATTTAGATCACAGGATTCCAAGATCCTGTTCCTCAGCTCTGGAGGGAAAGCCAGTGGCTTCTCTGGACTCTCTCTTTTCTCATACCTGGTGAAAATAAAAACAACGAATGGCCCCATTGTGGCCCCTTCTCCCTAATTATTGCAGGTGATTTCAATAAGACGAACAAAGTGGAAGTTTATTTCCCAACAGGTTTATTTCTACCACAGATGAGACCTCAGTCCAAAACCCCTGAGGACAGCTGTCAGTGGCTTCATAAGGATGCTCAACAGCACAGGGGACAAGATGTAACCCCAAGCGACACCACCGGAGGGCTCCCATGGCTTCCAATGATGCTGCCCCCAACAACTTTCTGGGAAGGTGCCAGGACTTAAGAACCAAACCCCTGAGGTGGAATGCCTGCAACCCCTCCCTCCCTGAGCTTCTCCAGAGGATGTGAGTGATGTCCAAAACTGCCCAGTGGTCAAAGAGAACAATCTCCACCCTCCCTTCACCCCCTCTCTCACCCAGGAAGGGCACAACCCCATGTCCCATTGGACTCTCCCTCCAGAGGCAGGAAACAACTAGACTTTCACCCCCCACTCAAGACCACCTTCAGCCTCTCACGGTGGAAACACTCCCAAGAAAAAGATCCCACCCATTCTAGATCAACAGACCTTCCCTCCCTAAGTGCCTCAAAGGAGCTGAGTTACCAGAGTTGAGGGGCTTCTAGTTGGACACTGAAATATGTCCTAAGCTCTTCCAAAGCATCTTTGGGACTTTCTCTTCTAGATGTTTGAAATTACCAAAAAGTCCATGAACAGAAAGTGTGAGGTGCTGCAGCGAGTGAGTCCTACAGTCTCCCCCCTGCAGCCACTGGAGGGCCATGTTTGAGGTTCCTGCATCTCTGCTTCAAAGAATGGAAATGAGCCAGATCCACTTACCTCTGCAGGGTCCTTCTCACATCCTAGAGGGGAAAAGAGAAGGGAATTCACTGAACACCACAGGCCACACTAGGAAGACCCCATCAGACCCTGGGGTGGAGGAACAGCCTGGCCCTCTGACGTCAGTCTGCCTGACACATGCCAAGGGTTGGGATAGGAATGGCTGAATCAGCCAGTTTTTGTTTCTAACAGCTTTTATTTTTCCAGTCTTAAAAACTTAATTGTTCCGATATCAAGTTCTCCACATTTCTACATCAGTTTGCCATTATTGTTTAAAATCCTTATGAAAATCCACCAGCATTTTAGGGAAATTTCACATTTGTGGGTTCAAGAGACGATTCACACCATCTCTAGTCTTAGATTATAATTTAGTAACTTTAATTCAGTTTGCATTGTGCAATTCAGATGTAAGTAAGCCTACAGGATAATCCTACCAGGGCACTGTCTTCAATAGAAGTCCCAAAATTTCAAATTCTGTTTTCCATCTGGAAGTAAAAAAAGCACCTGCAGCATAAAATGCCTCCAAAGGGGTAATAAAAAAACAGCTCAGTGTTTCTTTGGGCTTGTCCACACTTCTGCTTTTCCTGTGCCCAGAAAACACGAGTCCAAGTGGTTTTGTCTTTGCTCTGCCGCTTTCCCTCAGGAAAAACCTGCTCCTTAGTGCAACATCAAAGCAAACGTCAATCCAGAGAAAACTGGCTGAGGTTTGCTCTAATTCAGCAGTAAACAGTGGGTTTTCCTGGAGGAAAGGGGTGGGACAAGCAGCAGTCTGGATGAGTCCCTCTGTCCTGCTCTTTGGTCACTGTGACTGAGCACCATTTTGGGCCGATCTGTATCCATGGGGAAGGGGATCAACCCAGAAGTTGTGGAGGGAACGGGAAGAGAAGCTTGGTCAAGAGACTGGCTCATGTCGGAAGGAGGCCTGAACGCATCCCAGACGAAGCCCCCCACAGCTGAAAGGCGTTCGGAGACAAAGCATCAGCAAAGATCAGAAGACCAGCTCCTGTTCCATCAAAAATCTCTAGTCTGCATTCAGGTGAGTTAAGCATCCCAGGTCTCTTGGGTCTTCCTGTCCATTACAAACCTGACTAGAGGCTCCATCATCTCAGCCCCTGCACTCCTTGCATACATGAAAGGGGCAGCCTTTTCCTGGAGCCTTGGGCTGTTCCTGCCACCATCTTACCTGCAGGAGTTCACTCGCTGGCTGCTGACTCTTCTCCTCCATCTCCTGGATGATCCTCTCAAGAGAGGAGAGTTTCCTGGAGAGTCTGGCCAGCTGCTCATCCCTTCTCCCTGCAATCTCCTTCTCCACCTCTTCCATGTGTGTCAACAGACGTTTTTCTTGTTCTTCCAGGAACTGGCGCAGTTCTCTGAACTTCTCCACGGCCTTCAGCCTCTCCGTTTCTGTTAATTTCTGCGAGAAAAGAGGAGGTCTGAGTGTGGAAGGTGATCAGCCTTCAAAACATCAGGAAGAGAATAGTGAGAATTCCACAGGGAGGACACTTCCGATTTTTAATAGACATGAAACCTCCAGTGGCTAACGAAGTAAACCTTTATTTTGAGGGGAGGCCCTCTCCATTGCTGTTTCTGTTGACTTCTAATTTGGAGAGGGCTACAGCCTAAAGGAAGGAGCATTTTTTTCTAGCCATGGATATGTGGGATGTAAAAACGTATTGCAGTCAAATACAAGAGTCCTACAATGCACATGCTGGGGAATGCTTTGTATCACTCAGGAGAAAACTTGCTAGTTCCTCCTGAGCTGAGACAGACTTCCTTTGCATGTGAGTGAATGTGAGTATGGCCTGTTCTTGGGAGAGGAGCGCACGGCCTCCATGTTCTGCTCTGTGTCTTCTCCATTGTGTGTTCCTAAGAAGTGACTGCTCAGTCACGGTCACTTGACACTATTTCCCTTATGGGATAGTTCACAAAGTTATATGTTGTTCTGTAAATTAAGTCTGCCTTCAGGAATCTCACTGTGAACTGGATGATTGTAAGTAAACTAGTTTTATGATAACTTTAATCAGATGGTCGTGTCTATTCTTTTAGGAGGGATATAAAATAGGGAAACCAGGAATCCTAAATAGTGAGGCTCAGATGAGCCTGCAACTAGCTAACCGCTATGTAATTTGAAAGGGGGATTGTTTAACAACTCTGCTAAGTTATAGAACTTGCTGGCGAAAGTTATGAAGGATATAATAAAATAATATATCCTCTCCTGCCTCCCTGAACATCCCCACAGGATATTCCCTGCATGTTTTGGGGCATGGCATAACCAGAGTTCAGAGTTGTTCAGAGAACGTCCATGGATATAAAACACCCTCAGTTTAGACTGGGACCATTGAGGTGGAAGGAAAGTAACAGAAACGGAGGAGGATGAGGAGAAAGTGCAGAGTTTATCCCCATAGCTCCCTGAATTTCCTAAAGATGAACAATAGCGCACATTTAGAAAGACAACTCTTTAGTAATATTGATGGTAAATCAGGATTTGGATTGACCTGCTTCCACCCTCTCAGCTCACAAGTCCTCAGGCTTCTCCTTCACTGCTATTCATGTAATAAACAACAATGGAAAATAAACCCAAATTAGCTGCATTCAAAAGTGAATTTACCTACTGTAATTTACTATTGCTGAAAAAATATGGAGAATGAAACAGAGCAATCTTTTGAAATTCACACCTCTGAATTTTTCAAGGTTGAACAACCCAGGTAATGTTCACAAAAAAATGTATTTATGAAGGTAAAGTACATTTCAAAATATTTATACAAAGGAGGTAGCCACCCTAACATCTGATTCATTTTCAGAATAATAAATTAATAAACAGATTGATATGGAAAAAGGAGAAATGGGGAGAAGTTGAAATGGGCAGATTTCCCCATCCCTCCTCAGTCCTGACTCGACTCTTCAAGTGCTTGTTCCCTCCCTAGTAACAACAGAGACACTTACAAGGAGGTCTTTGCTTTCCTTCTCCAGGGCTGCTTGATAGGCCAGAATTTCCTCTCTCTCTTTCCTCAGAATCTCCAGGTGGCGACAGATCTCTCCCTGAAAAGAAAAAGGAAAAACTCATGTTTGATAGAGACACACAAAGAGAGGAATATTAGAATGGCTTCTTGCGCCCAGTGGTCTTGCTATAATAGCAAAGTAGTTTACTGGAAGAAATAAAAGTCCAGAGGTTTTCAACCTTTTTGGGTCCAAGGCTCCCTGGACCAGCTACCTTTTTTCTGTGCCAGCCCTGTGGGGCTCAGGGACCCAGTTAGGTCACCCCTTGCTTACAGACTTCAATCTAGTCTTTGCAGATGCTACTCAGGGATATCAAGGGAGATCCCTTTGTCCCCCTGGAAGAGAGAAAGACTTCATCTCCCTCCTCCCAGCCATGCCAGGAGCCCTCAGGCTTCCCCTTGGCTGCTTTTTACATAATAAACAACCACCAATTCATCCCATGCCTACTTTGGACCTGAGAAGTAAAAAGAAAACCTCCCAAGAAAAATCCACAGCTATTTCTCCCCCTCAAGATCCAGGGATCTCCTACCTTGTACTCCTGGAAAGCCTCCTTCAGAGGAATCACCTCGTGGTGTTTGTGCTCCTTGGATCTGTCACACACCAGGCAGATGGGGGCTTCATCCTCCTTGCAAAAGAGCTTCAGGGGCTCCTGGTGATCCTCGCAGACTCCTCCTTTCCCTCCTTCCTCCTTTCCCTCTTGAAGGCTGAGATTCTGGGCTATTTCTACCATATTAGCCAGTTGCCGGTTGGAGACGAGGCTCCTTCTCTGGACTCTTTCTCTGCACTGAGGGCAGGAAGCCTCTGCCTCCGATTCCCCCCAGCACTGGATCAGGCAGGATCGGCAGAAGTTGTGCCCACACTCTGGGATGGTCACTGGATCCTTGAAGTAATCCAGGCAGATGGAGCAAGTGGCTTCATCACGGAGACGCTGGATGTGACCCCCTGCAGCAGCCATGGCTCCCTCGCACCAAAGATCCAGTTAAGTTTCACTTTCTCCGTTTTCAGCCACTGGGAGTTTCCCTTCCTGGAAATGACTCAGTGATCACATGATCTTTATTTTATTTTTTAAAACTAATATGTCTCCAGGGCTTTGCAGTTCCTGAATGTTTTCTCAAGGAGCAGCGAATGCTTTTTGATTGTGTTATAAGAATTTTGAGTTGAATAAAGGTTTCTTTTCCTCTGTATCAATAAGGGAATAAATATTTGCTATCAGTAAAGTCTCCCCACTTGTCTGCCCCCCTGCATTGTACCCTGTGATGCTCAAAACCACGGCATAGTCTGCTGTGTTGCTTCCTTTTACAGCCACAGTGAGATATTATAATTGTGTTCACCGTCTCTGTACTAATGTTATTTCTTTAATGTTACTTTTATGTTGTCTCCCTACTGAATGTAACTTTGTATCTCTGAACTAAATGTAACTTTTTTTTAAGTGTAAAATGTACCCACTGTCTTGCAAAAGGAGAAAATAATGAAAACCTGTCAAATGTTCAAACCAGTGAATGCTTCTCTCTGTGAGGGAGCCTTCCCAGACCCGCTGAAAGAGGCGGTTATCAAACCGCTTCTTAAAAAAATATCTTTAGATGCTGCCAATAGGGCCAACTCAACCCAGTCTCAAACCTTCCATTCTTGGGCAAGCTGATTGAGCGGGTGGTTGCTGAACAACTCCAGGCACGCTTGGAAGAAGCGGACCATTTGGATCCCTTCCAGTCGGGATTCAGGCCTCACCATGGGACTGAAACTGCCTTGGTCGCATTGGTTGATAATCTCCGGCGGACTAGGGACAAAGGTGAGAGCTGTTTCCTAGTTCTGCTGGATCTCTCAGCGGTCTTTGACACCATCGACCATAACATCCTTCTGGACCGTCTGGTGGGGCTGGGAGCTGGGGGCACTGTTATGAAGTGGTTCCGCTCCTTCCTCCTGGGCTGTGCCCAGAAAAGTGGTGTTTGATTTCTGTGACCCAACTTTCCAGTCACACCTTGTGGCATCCTGTTCTCACTGCAGCCAAGCAGATGCCCAACGGGAAGTCCAAGAGCCCTCTCCCCTCCTGCAGATCCCAGCCACCTGGATTCAGGGTATTCAGAAGCAGAGGCAGAGCACAGCCATCATGGCCAGGAGCCATTAGTAGCCCCCATGAATTTGCCTAATCCACTTTTAAAGCCATCCAGGTTGCAGTTTTGCAACATGAGGAGGGGGCGGCAGCAGCAAGAGGGTCCTTTGTGGCAAAGCAGAAGTCCCACTCTTTCTCCCCGGGACCCTGGGAACGGTAGTTCTGCGGGTGAAGGTTAATGGAGTTCTTGGGTGGCTCACAGAATTGTAGATTTGGAAGGGACCCCAAGGGTCATCTAGCTCAACCCCCTGCAATGCAGGAATCTTCTTGCCCAACACGGGACTCGAACCCACAACCCTGTGATTAAGAGTCTCACACTCTATCAACTGAGCTACTCATTCAGTTCAGTAAGCTTTAGTTGAACTTCCTGCATTTCAGGGGGTTGGACTAGATGACCCTCAGGGGTCTCTTCTGTTAACAGAGAAATCTGAGGGCTCCCTTGGACAAAAAACAAGGACACCAGCCAGGAATACCAGAGTAAAACAGCAGCCAGTAGGCTTGGTCTTTGCTGAAGACTGTCGCAACAGGATTCCCACCTGCCACAAGCTGGAACAAGATGGAAGCTCCGAACAAAAGAGCCCCCAAACTTTTATTAGCTGCTAATCCCCATGTTACCCCCCCCCAAACTACATCACTCATACATCACGGTTACATCATGAAAGGGGAGGTCTGGTGGCAGTAATCTGAGCATCCTGGACCCTGCCCCATGGTTCTCCTTGCCCTCCACCAAACACCCATCAAGTATCACAAAAAATATCTTCACATTTCCCTGTTTCCCAGCCAAGTTAATCACACCCTTTCGTCTTCATCTGGGTTTGTTATTTATGGAATGGCTACCTGTCTGGCACTCAGGTACAGTGGTACCTTGGGTTAAGTACTTAATTCGTTCCGGAGGTCCGTTCCTAACCTGAAACTGTTCTTAACCTGAAGTACCACTTTAGCTAATGGGGCCTCCTGCTGCCGCCGCGCCGCCGGACCATGATTTCTGTTCTCATCCTGAAGCAAAGTTCTTAACCTGAAGCACTATTTCTGGGTTAGCGGAGTCTGTAACCTGAAGCGTTTGTAACCTGAGGTACCACTTTATCAGGATGCCAGGGATTATCACTCAGGCAGAGGGGCTGCTGAGTAGCTGAGGTCACGTCTATACGAATTTCTGAAGTTTTCCCAGTGAGCCAGTACATTTATCAGTGAATTCTTACCTTTGGTATTGTGCAGCAGAGGCCCTTTGAATAGTTTTGTGGGGACAAAAAACAAGTCACAAAAGCGATTGTGCTGATTTTGGTAGTGGGCTGCATGTGCATGATATCTGCTGGAGGGGCAACACCCCCACAACCTATACATAAATTCCTGCAACACTTTCAATTGGAATTGGAACAGTGGCGTAGCGTAGGTTGTCAGCACCCAGGGCAAGGCAAGTAATTTGCACCCCGTAACCCGTGGATTTGCGCCCCCTAACCCTAACCCCCAGATGTTGCGCCCGGTGCAGCCGGCCCCCCTGCACCCCCACGCTACGCCACTGAATTGGAACCTGAGCAACCTTGCCACTGTTTTAGGACTCCAACTCCCGTCATCCCTCAGCACTGGCCATGGTAAGCTGGGGCTGATGAGAGTTGGAGTCCAGCAGCAAGAAAACAAAAATACTGTATATGGGGGGTGGGGGAAAGACGCGCGTTTCCAAGCCAAGCCTGGAATGCAAAATCCCCCTTTCCTTTCCCAGGAATATCCTCCATTTCCCGCACCCCCCGCCCTGCCTCGCGGGCCTTTGTTTCTCCCAGGGTCGGGGGCGGAGATGATTCTGGGATCCACCCCAGTTTTGTGCAGGTTGCAACCTCCAAAGGGGCGACGCCGAAGAGGGTCGATCCTCAGAAAGACTTCCTCGCAAACGGGTTGCGCCTGTGCGGAGTCACTTCCTGCTCCGCCTTCTCCCGGGGGAAGCCTGGTGGGAGAGGGGAGAGCCAAAGTAGCTTTTTCATATATATATACTGTATATATTGCATCTCCGGAAAGCGGGAGGATCTCCTGGGATTTGAGGGATCAGGTGAGTTAACTCGCTTGCAAGGGGCTGGGAGGTGGGGCTGCATGCAGTGCAAAAGAGAGGAGGAGGGAAAGGGAAAGGAAGATGTGATTTACGAATTTCTAGATCTAGATCTAGATATATATAAATAAAAAGAAGCCACAAAAGGGGGGTGGGGAGTCAAATATAAGTGTACTAGAAATGTATGGGATTTTTTTCAAAGATACGCAGACAAACAAATTACAAAAATACATTTCTAGTACACATATATTTGACTTCCCTCCCCCCCGTTTTGTGGTCTCTTTTTAGTTTTGATTTTCAGACTGCATTTTCCACATTACTCCATCTTTAAGTTATTCTTTAGTTTCTCTGAATAATACATCTAACTGCTTGTTTTACGCTAATCCTGCTAATGAGCTTATTTGCATAAATGAGTTTTTTCAAATATTCCACAAATTCTCCCCGATTTTTAATTTAAAAAAAATTATTCTCGGTTTCTTATGGCACCCGTTAACCTTGCCATTTTGGCATAATCCGTTAATTTAATCAGCTACTTGGCTGGTACTGCAACTTTTTCCCATCTCTCGGAGGTGATTTATGAATTCCTAAACCACACTTTCTTCAAAACATTCCAAGCGGCATGCGACATCTGGGAATCAAACCAGCAGAAAGCTTCAACTGGAAAAAATAATCAGTAAATACTGATTGATTGGCAGGGGGTTGGACTCGATGGCCCTTGTGGTCTATTCCAACTCTATGATTCTATGATTGATTGATTGATTGATGCAGGCAGGCAACTCTTGTGGTGGGCTTCAGAGCACAAATGGTGCTACTGGGCATTTCTTTCATTTTTGTAAAAATAATAAATTTCAGGGCTGCCTTTCATTGCAAAGAAATAGCAGGTCACTTTATGGGGACGTGAAACGTAACAAAACATGCCGATTGAAGCCATTTCGAAAAAGTAAAACAGTCTCAGTCCAGGGGGTGAGGAGCGGTTTGGTTTGGTTTTGAAGAATAATACATTTATGTGTTTTTCCTTTTCCCTCAAATATATTTAATTTTTCAGATTTTGAAATTTACAGACATTTGTCAAACAACCAAAATAAAAAGAGAATTTCTTGGGTTCCCCTGGACTTCCCTCCTCCCCATTGTGGGTCCTTATGTTAACTTTTTTCCTCCTGCATCTTCTCTATTAATCCAAATCTATTAAATCTCCATTATAACCATAGTTTGACGTTAAACTACAAGTTCCATTCCAATCCTACTAATAATTTTAATTGTTTACAATGATTTTTAAAGTAAATTACAGTGGCACCTCGGGTTACAGATGCTTCAGGTTACAGATGCTTCAGGTTACAGATTCCGCTAACCCAGAAACAGTACCTCGGGTTAAGAACTTTGCTTCAGGATGAGAACAGAAATCGCATGGCGGCGGCAGCAGGAGGCCCCATTAGCTAAAGTGGTACCTCCGGTTAAGAACAGTTTCAGGTTAAGAACGGACCTCCAGAACAAATTAAGTTCTTAACCTGAGGTACCACTGTATATATTTCCCCCATTCCTTATTAAAATTTTGCTCCTCCTGGTTTTTAATTCTTCTGGTCATTTTTGCTATTTCGGAATACTCCATCAGTTGAATCTGCCATTCTTCTCTGGTAGGGACTTCTTTCCACCTCTGGGCTAGTAACATACATTTATTTGTGTTTTTCCAAGTCACTTGGAGACCTCCGGGCAACAAGCAAATAACAAATCTAAAGAAGAAGCAATAATCAGCATTGATTGGCAGTACTCTTTGCACCCTGGGAGAAGGAAACCCATGTTATAAGTTCCCAGTTGGCGCTACAAAATTTTGTTGCGGGTCCTGCTTATCCCCTCTGATTCAGAAATATTCTTTTGTTCTTTCTTTTTTCCTCAGGCAAAGGATCCCGACCTAGAATCCAGCTGTGAACTCTGGAGGGCCTGTTATTTCCGCACTTGATTTGGTGGGAGGCTCATTTCACACACCCCAGTTCAGGCCACCAGGAACCAAAATGGCGGCAGATCGTGGCGATGCGTCCGATTTTGGTGCAGAGACTGTCAGAAAGTTGGGTGTGAAGACTGAGAAACAGGACCCAGTGGATATCGAGCCAGGGAACGGCACAGCGAAAGAGCCTCGTGCCGCCCAGCCTGAGAGTCCCAAGGGATTCTGGGAAGGTGCCGCACTGGACCATGTCAAATGGGAGCCCGAGGGGGCAGCGCAAGGATGCTGGGAGACTCAGTGGCAGCGGTTTTTGAAGGCGGTACAGTCCCCGCACTTGGAACGAGGAAAGGTCCCCCAGCCGGGACCTGCACTGAGGGATATTTCTCAGGCCGATCTGCCGCCCTTTGAGGGAGCGCCGGAGAGAGGCCTGCAGCTGAGGAGGCAGGAAGGGGCTCAACTCCTGCCTAGTGGTGAAGCCCATAAGAACTCAGGGGCCGAAGGCGAGGTCCTCGTTCCTAGGATGGTAAAGGAAGAGGACCTGGATGCGGAGAGTGTCCGCCAGCACTTCCGGCAGTTTTGCTACTGGGCGGCTGAGGGCCCCCGCGAGGTTTGCAGCCGCCTCCGGGACCTTTGCCGACAGTGGCTGCAGCCGGAGAGGCACACCAAGGAGCAGATCCTGGAGCTGCTGGTGTTGGAGCAGTTTCTGACCGTCCTGCCTCCAGAAGTCCAGGCCTGGGTCAGGGAGGGGAGTCCAGAGTCCTGCGCGCAAGCAGTGGCCCTGGCTGAGGACTTCCTGCTGCAGCAATCCCGAGAGGAGGGGAGATGGGAAGAGGAGGTGAGCCAGGTGGTTTCAGCCAGGTCATTTTTTGGTTAATAATAATAATAATAATAATAATAATAATAATAATACAGTCATACCTCAGGTTAAATGTGCTTCAGGTTGAGCGTTTTCAAGTTACGCTCTGCGGCGACCCGGAAGTAACAGAGCGCAAGAGCGCATTACTTCCAGGTTTCGCCTCTCTCACATGCTCAGATGCTAAAAATGACGTCACGTGCATGCGCGGAAGCGGCAAAACGCGACATGCGCAGGTGTGCAGTCATGTCTGACGTTCTACTCAGGATGTGAACGGGGCTCCGGAACAGATCCCATTCGCATCCAGAGGTACCACTGTAATAAAATTAATTTATAGACAGCCGTAGCTTGGTTGACTAATGCTTTGCGACTCAAACATTTTGGCTCCCGAACGCCGCAAACCCAGAAGTGAGTGTTCCGGTTTGCAAAGGTTCTTTGGAACCCGAATGTCCGGCGCAGCTTACGCAGCCTCTGATTGGCTGCAGGAGCTTCACCTTGGTTTATGAACGTTTGGAAGTCGAACGGATTTCCGGAACGGATTACATTCGACTTCCGAGGTACGACTGTACTGCCCTATACCCGCAAGTCTCAGGGTGTCTCACAGAATAAAATCAGAATATAAAACCACAGAATACATAATCAAACAAAAACAACAACCCAATAACCCCCCTCCCCCATTTTAAAAGGACATAGGATGTCAATCAAATCAACCAAAGGACTGGTTAAAAGGAACGTTTCTGCTTGGCACTTAAAGGTATACAGTCATACCTCATGTTATGTTTGCTTCATGTTACGTTCTTTCAGGTTACGTCCCACGGCGACCCAGAAGTACCGGAAAGGTTGCACTCTTTTCATATTGCGAACGGGCCTCCCGAAATGGATCCCGTTCGCAACCAGAGGTACCACTGTATAATGAAGGTGCCATGTGAACTTTCCAGGGGAGAGCATTCCAGAGATGGGGAGCCACTGCAGAGAAGGCCCCATTCTCGTGTTGTCAGCCTCTGGACTTGAAAGAAAAACCTGGTTAATACAGATTTAGAGCAGCCATGGCTTCTCCCGAAGACTCCTGGGAGCTTCAGTTTTCAGGGGCGCTGAGAGCTCTTAGGAGGCTGCCTCCCTTTTCCCCTCCCACGGCCACAATTCCCAGAGTGGTTTATTAACAATCCCTTTTCCCTGGAACTCTGGGAATTATAGCTCTGGGAGGGGAGTAGGGTGTCCCCAAGGAGCTCTCAGCAGCCTTAACAAATTAGACTTCCCAGGATTCTTTGGGGGAAGCCAAGACTGTTTAAAGTGGTATCATAGCACTTTAAATGTATGCTGTGGATGAACACTCTCTTCCAGGACAAAAACAGCAGACAGCTTCACTTTTGACTCTTAGGGACCTTTTTATGCCAACGGGCCTCAGCAGCTGCTTAATTTCTATTTCTGCTTTTATTTTTCCAGGTCCCTGGGGTGTCTAAGGAGGTAGCGGCCGAGTCTTCAGAGGCAGAGCGGGTGCCGTCAGATACCTGGAAGGCGGTGCTCAGCAGAGAGGTCAAGCAAGAGGGGGACGGAGAAACCACCTGTGCAGGTGAGGATGCTTTGCACCCGATTACCAGCTACAGTTACCCCAGGGAGGTGGTCGAGAAATGTGTCCCTCCCTCCCATAAGAACTGCATAAATTGCCTAATGGGGCAGTAACCTCTCCCCGCACCTAGCCAAACAGAGAGTGAGCGTGCTCTGTAACTCACCATAGAGTGTCTGTTAGAAAAGAAACAATGGAACACTAGGAGCGGGGCAAGTCGAAGTGGCCGGCTGGAAGAGATTTGGCTCAACAATTTTTCAGCGTGTACTAAATCTGTGTAATTTGGCGTTTTCAAGGTCTGCCTTTAAATTGCTATATTTATTTCTATTATAGATTTTGTTTTCTGATACTTCTGTTGTACTCTGTTTTGAAAACATGTTTTGGGAAGAAGTTTACTTACAATCTTATTGGAAATTTATTTACAATCTTAAATAAATAAACAAACACACACATTGTAATGTTTTGTTGTAGGTCCCATTTATTATTACTGTGGTACCTTGGTTTACAACCATAATCCATTCCGGAGATCCGTTTGTAAACCAAAACAGGTTGTAACCCAAGGCATGCTTTCGCCAATGGGGCCTCCAAATTTTTTAGTTCGGAATAAATAAAAATAAAATAAAATAAAAAGGGTTGTAATCCAAAACAAGTTTGCAAACCGGGACACGCATTTCCAGGTGTGACATGTTTGTAATCCAAAACGTATGCAAACCAGACTGTTTGCAAACCAAGGTACCACTGTATTTTCATATTGATGATGGCGATGATATAAATTTTTAACTTACCTGTTGCTAATAGTAGTCATAATTCACATCAGAGTTGCATCAGAGTCGGGTTAGAACCATTGGAATGAATGAACCTGTTAGTCATGTCCATTAAATTTGGTGGCTTTACTCTGAGTAGGACTAGCCTTAGCTACAACCCCTTTCTAACTCGCCTTTTAGGAAACCTCCTAATTAGCATTTATCTAGAATTTTAGGGCAAAGGTTCTCAAACCATTCAGCCCCAGAACACGCCTGAGAGAGCTGAAGGCCCACCAGTCACAAAGTAGTGGTTCAAGACTGAAGCCAGGAACAAAATGGGGATTGGGTCTGGCATAATCAGCTGGCGGCAACTGACTTTACTGATACCTAATCCCTCTTTGGCGCCTGTTACTTATATCGCCACAAGGATTCCCACTGTGGCAGGGAGTACCATGGCTCCATTTTCCTCAGGAAGCTGCTTTATACTGAGTCAGAGCATTGCTCCATCTATCTCAGCATTGCCTGATCTGACTGGCAGCAGCTCTCCAGGGTTTGGGCCGGGTGTTCATCAGTATGCAGATGACACCCAGCTCTACCTCTCTTTTAAATCAGAACCAGTGAAGGCGGTGAAGGTCCTGTGTGAGTGCCTGGAGGCGGTTGGAGGATGGATGGTGGCTAACAGATTGAGGTTGAGTCCTGACAAGACAGAAGTACTGTTTTTGGGGGACAGGAGGCAGGCAGGTGTGGAGGATTCCCTGGTCCTGAATGGGGTAACTGTGGCCCTGAAGGACCAGGTGCGCAGCCTGGGAGTCATTTTGGACTCACAGCTGTCCATGGAGGCTCAGGTTAATTCAGTGTCCAGGGCGGCTGTCTACCAGCTCCACCTGGTACGCAGGCTAAGACCCTACCTGCCTGCAGACTGTCTTGCCAGAGTGGTGCATGCTCTGGTTATCTCCCGCTTGGACTACTGCAATGCACTCTACGTGGGGCTACCTTTGAAGGTGACCCAAAAACTGCAATTGATCCAGAATGCAGCAGCCAGACAGGTGACTGGGAGTGACCGCCGGGACCACATAACACTGGTCCTGAGAAATCTGCATTGGCTCCCAATACGTTTCCGAGCACAATTCAAAGTGCTGGTGCTGACCTTTAAAGCCCTAAACGGCCTCGGTCCTGTATACCTGAAGGAGCGTCTCCACCCCCATCGTTCTGCCTGGACACTGAGATCCAGCGCCGAGAGCCTTCTGGCGGTTCCCTCATTGCGTGAAGTGAGGTTACAGGGAACCAGACAGAGGGCCTTCTCGGTAGTGGCACCCACCCTGTGGAACACCCTCCCTTCAGATGTGAAGGAAATAAGCAGCTATCTTATCTTTAAAAGACATCTGAAGGCAGCCCTGTTTAGGGAAGATTTTAATATTTAATGCTGTATTGTTTTTAACACTTGATTGGGAGTTGCCCAGAGCAGCTGGGGAAACTCAGCCAGATGGGCGGGGTATAAATAATAAATCATAATAATTATTATTAATATTATTATTATTCAGACAAAGAATCTTTCACAGCCTGGGACTTTCTGCATGCAAAGCACATGTTCTGCCCCTGATCTTCCTTCCTGATGTTGAGCTTGGCCTGTTGTTCCTTCATCCCTTAGCACAGAGAGACTGACATGTGGACGCTCTGCTTCTTCCAGCAGATGATCAGAAGAGGCCATTGGTGGTGGAGCAAAATTGGACAGGACGTCCCGGGGAAGACGATCCACGTGGGATGTTGGCAGAAAGGGATAAACGGAGCATTGCCCAATGCCCAGTTCGGGAAGTAACTTCTGAAATCCAAGAGGGAAAGGAAGGGGGTGCAGTCACGAATTCTTGGGGAGGTGAGAAAGGACCGGAGGGAAATGCCAGGGGGGCAAAGGCCGACCTTGAATGCGGGAAAGCGCTTGGACACGATTCTGAAAACGAAACAAACCTTGGGCAAGAGAAGTTGTGCAAGTGCCCAATCTGCGGGCAAAGCCTTAGCAGGAGAACCGGGCTCCTTATACACCAGAGGATCCACACGGGAGAGAAACCCTACAGCTGCTCGGACTGCAGGAAAAGCTTCCGGCACAAGTCGGTCCTTATTCGACATCAGAGAATCCACACGGGCGAGAAGCCGCACAAGTGCCCCGACTGCGCCAAAAGTTTCCGGGACAGATCGGCTTTGGATGTGCACCGGAGAACCCACACGAGGGAAAACCCTATCAGTGTTCAGACTGTGGGAAAAGCTTCAGCCACCGCTCCAACTTGATTACTCACGAGCGGATCCACACGGGAGAGAAGCCGTTCAAGTGCTTGGAGTGCGAGAAAAGCTTCAGCGACCGGTCATCTCTGACGGCACACAAACGGGCCCACACTGGAGAGAGGCCATACAGGTGCGCCGAGTGCGGGAAGAGCTTCTCCCAGAGCTCCAGCCTCCTTTCGCACCAGAGAATCCACACAGGGGAGAGGCCTCACGAGTGCCCGGATTGCGTGAAGTGCTTCCGCGACAAGTCGGCTTTCTTCGTTCACCGGAGGACCCACACGAGAGAGAAGCCGTATAACTGCTCTGGCTGCGGGAAGAGCTTCAGCCATCGCTCCAACCTGAACACGCACGAAAGGATACATACAGGGGAGAAACCTTACAAGTGCTTGGACTGTGGGAAAACCTTCGCCCAGAGACCAAGCCTTACTGCACATGAGAGAATCCATTCCAAAAAGACATTGCAGAGCTGATGAAAGGTTGGGGACAAATTCCGTGTCCAGAGGAACGCATAGCCGACATCATTAGGAAACGGCGCCTGTGTTTGTCAAGTGCCTTCTCCTGTGTTGTACCTCACCTGAACTTTTAAGATCCTCCTCAGAGGCCCTGCTCAGAGATTTCCTGCCAGATGAAGGGATGAGAGTCCCCACTAGGGACAGGACCTTTTTAGAAGTGGCACCCTGGTACTTGAATAGCCTTCCCAGAGAGGTTTTATTTGCCTGGTACTACCTATTGGGCCCTTTAAATAACTGACCTTTTATTGTCTGGGCATCTCAGTTATAAACTGAGTTTTAATCGGTGCTTCTTAATTGTGTTTCAGCTTTTTAATTAACTGGTTAGGAGTTTTTGTTGTTTGATATTGTATTTTTAATGTGCTTTTTCTTCTTCACCACAACATGCCCAGGGACCTCTTGTCATGGGGTGGCTATATAAATGCAGAAATTAACAAATGAAATGGTATATGGTTTCAGGAGATCTGAGGTTCAGTCCTCATTCACCCAGGAAGCCCTTTGCATGGTGCCTGGTCTCTCTCTCTCTCTCTCTCTCTCTCTCTCTCTCTCTCTCTCTTCTCTCTCTCTCTCTCTCTCTCTCTCTCTCTCTCTCTCTCTCTCTTTCTCTCTCTCTTTCTCTCTCTCTCTCTCTCTCTCTCCCCCCCCCCTTACTTCACAGGGTTGTTGTGGACATGAAATGGGGGAGGGGCCTTGCATGCTGTCTCTCAACCTGTTTGGAGGGAGAATGGGATAAAAATGTTAGAAAGTAAATAAAGATCAACTTATTTATGCAAAGAAAAACTGCTTGAGTACTAATAGTGTCTGTTTGGAAGGCAGGTATTGCCCCTTGTTGACAAATTTTGTTCCAACAAAATTCCCTGCCCCAAATCCTTTTCCCAACTATGCCAAAAATTATGTGTTAGATATATACAGTTGTGCCTTGGAAGTTGAATGGAATCCATTCCAGAAGTCCGTTCGACTTCCAGAACATTCGACTTCCAAGGCGCCGGCTTCCAATTGGCTGCAGGAGCATCCCTGCAGCCAATCAGAAGCCACGGGAGCCACGCCAGAGGTTCGGCTTCTGAAAATCATTCAAAAACTGGAACAATCACTTCCGGTTTTCTATCGCTCGGGAGCTGAAACATTTGAGTTTACAGACGTTCGGCTTCCAAGGTTCCACTGTATCTAGAATATTTTCATCTATTTTGCTTAATCCTTTTTTGGTTGTTCCCTTCATAATCAGTGAATCGTATTCTGTTGGTGCCCACAGAGGGGTCCATTCTTTGCAGTCAAATGAAGACTACAAGCCTAGCGTGTAAATATTGGGGAAATGGAGGTTGGGTCTGTCCCATAGCATTGATAATGTCAGACTTTGTCTTAACTGAATTCCCTAATTAAATTACGATACGATAATCTTTATTGTCATTGTCCCATACAGAACAACGAAATTGAAAAATCTACATAAGACATTCAAATCCCAGCTATCCCAACCTGGTTAGCCCCCTAAAAACTCTGCTAACCCATTTTAAATACAGTATACTTCCCATACAGACTCCTTACAATGCGTTTAAACCCCCCCCCCCAAAAAATTCCCCAATTCTTTGCATTTCCTTGTTGCAAAAAGCTTTTGTCAAAGGTGAAGAGACTTAATTTTTGCTTGTAATTATTCCACACCTTAATCAATTTTTGGTACATGGATTAACTTTAGTAATATTTTTAGTAGGTCCCGAACAATACCATAAAGCAGGGGTTGCCACTGTGGTGCCCTTATCTCTGAGCTTTCATTTAATAATTATAAACCGTCTAGTTCAGTGGCGCACCACCTGCTTTGTCCCAGGTTTAATCCACAGTATCTCGAGATTGGGCTGGAAATGTCCCCGAACCATAGCTGTCAACTTTTCCCCTTTCTTGTGAGGAATCCTATTTGGAATAAGGGAATTTCCCTTTAAAAAAGGGAAACGTTGACAGCTATGCCCCCAACGCCATCCCCGGAGAGCAGCCGCCAGTCATTGCAGTTAACACTGAGCTATTTGGATCTGGGCCCTGACTCGGTTTCTGTGCCCTGTAGCCCCCTTTTTCTCCCCTGGAGCAGGAGAGTGCTCACCTTTGGGATTTATATTTCTCCAAGCAGGTGGCAAGAGGTGCTGGGAGGAAGAGACGGACCGTCCAGAAACGGCCAGGGATCTCCATCCGTACTGGGTCCTGCCGGCGAACGTTGAGCCAAACCTTTCCCAGCGTCCGGATCAGGGCGAAGCTTCGGCGGGCCGGCGAGGAGGCCCCTCAAATAAGGAAAGAGAGGCAGCCTCCGTCGTTTGTTACCAGCACTTCTGTGAGCCGTGCGGCGACAGACAGGTACAAGAGAGGCTCGCCAAAGGCGGAGAGAGAAGACATGCCTAGAGTGCGGGAAGGCCTTTCGGCGGAGGGCCGAATTGGTCGCCCACCAGAGGATTCACCCCAGAGGGAAGCCGTACGAGTGCCTGGACTGCGGGCGAAACTTTAGCTACAAATCCCGCCTCATCACCCACAAAACGATGCACACGGGAGAGAAGCTGTACAAGTGCCCCGACTGTGGGAAGAGCTTCAGCCGGCAGCCGCACCTCATATCGCACGAGAGAGTCCACACGGGGGAGAAGCCCTACACGTGCGCCGAGTGCGGGAGGAGCTTCAGCGACAGGTCTAACCTGAACACGCACAAGAGGACCCACACCGGGGAAAAGCCGTACCGGTGCTCGCACTGCGGGAAAAGCTTCAGCCAGAGCTCCACGTGCATGAAGCACGAGAGGATCCACACGGGGGAGAAGCCCTACAAGTGCGGGGAGTGCGGGAAGAGCTTCTGCCAGCGGTCGCAGCTCACCAACCACGAGAGGACCCACACGGGAGAGAAGCCCTACGGATGCTCCGTCTGCGGGAGGGAGTTCAGCAGGAGGATGGTCCTCGTCACTCACCAGAGGAGGCACACGGGAGAGAGGCAGAAAGCGCATCGGGGCTCGCACTGCGAGAAGAGTTTTGCTCATGCTGCTGACTGTACGAGGCACGAAAGAAGCCACGCGAGGCAGGGACCGCAAACCGTTGGGTTGGTCCCAGGGCTGTCGGTGGGCACTCCGTGTTTAAATAAATAAACAACACCGCTGTTTCCACCTTAAGCTGAGTTCTGCAACGTGTGTTGTGAAAATTTTGCATGTCATTGCTCTTGTTTGCATATTCCATTTTTTTCCCACTTAAGCACGCATAAAGGTAAAGGGACACCCTGACCATCAGGTCCAGTCCGTGGCCAGACTTTGGGGTGGCAGCGCTCATCTCGCTTTACTGGCCGAGGGAGCCGGCGTACAGCTTCCGGGTCATGTGGCCAGCATGACTAAGCCGCTTCTGGTGACCAGACCAGCAGACGGAAATGCTGTTTACCTTCCTATTTATCTACTTGCACTTTGACATGCTTTCAAACTGCTCCGGTTGGCAGGAGCAGGGACTGAGCAAGGGAGGCTCACCTTGTCGCGGGGGATTCGAACCGCCAACCTTTCTGATCGGCAAGCCCTAGGGTCTGTGGTTTAGACCAGGGGTCTGCAACCCGTGGCTCCGGAGCTGGCATGTGGCTCTTTTACACCTTTGCCGCGGCTCCGGGGCGGATACTAGCGAGGGAGGAGGCGCATTGTGCGCCCTGACACTCCCCACTGGTGGCGGGCGCTGTACTGGCTGTGACGTCGCATGGGGGCGGTGCGTGCATTAGTCAGCACTGTCCCGACGTCACCTCCCGCCCGCTGTCAGATCACGGCTCCGGAGACATAATTGTTTTAAATGTCTCAATGGTTTTGCGGCTCCCAGTTTTCCCCCCTTCGGAAACGAGTCCAAGTGGCTCTTTTTGTCTTAAAGGTTGCAGACCCCTGCTTTAGACCACAGCGCCACCCACATTCCCCTTCCACTTAAGCACGCATTAGAAAGGTAAAGGTAAAGGGACCCCGTGGCTGACTCTGGGGTTGCGACGCTCATCTCGCTTTATTGGCCAAGGGAGTTGGCGCATACACACACACAAATGTGTGCTGACCTGAAGAAATCCTGTTCAGCTTATAGAGATGGGAGACACAGAGGCATACCAACAAACGAACGTGTTTGCATTAGGAGATGTCCTGAATTAGAGGACCTTATGCATTATATCTTGCGCTGCCCTTATATAATGAAGGAAGAGAAGATTTTTAGCACCTATAATGACAAGGTCCCCTGGCCAGAACCCCTTCTTGACATGATTTTATATCTCCTCGCAGACACAGATAAGTATGTGACCTGGCGTGTAGCACTCTTTGCAACTGCTGGCTAGGAAAATTAGAGCAATTATATAGCCAAGGTAGCCACCAAACTGTAAAGGAGATGAATTTATTTGACCCTATCTACATCAAGCTATATTCTATCTTTATCACCAAACTCCAAATATAATTGCACACTGTATTAATTAACATTATTTTTTAAATACATTAGTGGCCATGTGATAATTTTAGCTTACTCGCACCCATAAGGACCGAAACCTGAATTTATTTATTTTTAAGGAAAGAAAGTGGAGAGCCGCAGGAAGCAGAATTCTGAAGCCAGTGCTGATCTGATCCCGTTCTTGCTGTGGCAGCACTCGGCCCTGGTTGTCCCGTATTACAATAACTATCCCTTCATTTGGGATACATTTTCTGTCCATTTTAAAGAATACTTGTTTAACCCCCTTGCCCCTTATGTCAGTGAGAAATTGCAAGAGGAGGATCAAAACAGCCAGAAAATTCCAGAGGGCTGGAACTTTGTGGGATGTTCCTCAGAGGGCTATAGGTTCAATCCCTGGCATCTCCAGACATGCCCTTGCAGAATGGGTGAGAGTCATGCTGGCTTGCCTTACAGGGCTGGTTGTGAAGGATTACATCTAGATGACGGGTATAAAGCACTTTTGAGCACTTGAAAGTGCTATACCATGTTAAGTAGTATTTATTATAAGAATGGATTGGTATTATTACAATGATAAGCCGTTTTCCTCTGAGAAATGGCACGCTGGTTCTCTCTCTTTCCCTGTTTTATCCTCAAAATAATCCTGTAAGGAAAGTTAGGCTGACTGCCCCAAGTTCACTCACTACCTGGCTGAGTTAGGGTTTGAATGCTGCACCACACAACCTTGAACTGAAAGGGCGTTTTTATAACCCAAAGAGCAGGCTGGGAGTGCAAAAAAAAAAGAAGGGGGAAAAAAGACTCATTTGGTTAAGGGGGACTTTGCTTCCTATAGTAATACCTGTCTGCTTGGAAGCAAGTCTCACTTCAGTTCTGTGGGGCTTACTCCACAGGCAGCAATCCTACACTGGTGCAATCCACTGGTGACAGCAGTCACGAAATTAAAAGACGCCTGCTTCTTGGGAGAAAAGCAATGACAAACCTAGACAGCATCTTAAAAGCAGAGATATCACCTTGCCAACAAAGGTCCGTATAGTTAAAGCTACGGTTTTTCCCAGTACAGTGGTACTTCAGGTTACATACGCTTCAGGTTACATATGCTTCAGGTTACAGACTCCGCTAACCCAGAAATAGTGCTTCAGGTTAAGAACTTTGCTTCAGGATGAGAACAGAAATCGTGCTCTGGAGGCGCGGCAGCAGCGGGAGGCCCCATTAGCTAAAGTGGTGCTTCAGGTTAAGAACAGTTTCAGGTTAAGAACGGACCTCCGTGAACGACAAAGGTCCGTACCCGAGGTACCACTGTAGTGATGTATGGAAGTGAGAACTGGACCATAAAGAAGGCTGATTGCCGAAGAATTGATGCTTTTGTATTAAGGTGCTGGAGGAGACTCTTGAGAGTCCCATGGACTGCAAGAAGATCAAACCTCTCCATTCTTAAGGAAATCAGCCCTGATGCTCAGTGGAAAGGACAGATCGTGAAGCTGAGGCTCCAATACTTTGGCCACCTCATGAGAAGAGAAGACTCCCTGGAAAGACCCTGATGTTGGGAAAGATGGAGGGCACAAGGAGAAGGGGATGACAGAGGACGAGATGGTTGGACAGTGTTCTTGAAGCTGCCAACATGAGTCTGACCAAACTGCGGGAGGCAGTGGAAGACAGAAGGGCCTGGCGTGCTCTGGTCCATGGGGTCACAAAGAGTCCGAACGACTAAACAACAACAAGCCCCCACTGAATTTAATGAACTTGCTTCCGAGTAGACAAGTATGATAGGATTGAACTACAATCCCCAGCCCATAGGTCTAACCTAGAAAGTAAGATGCATTGTAGACAGTGGGACTACTTCCGAGTAAATTTGCACCTGAAATCATCAGAGATGCAATCAAAATAAGAGACCAGACATTAAATTGCAGGAAAAATTGTGCACCACTCAACCATAGCATTCAGCAAGCGCTTTCTGGGAGGTACAGACGGATCATAGCTAAGGGGCAAGTATCTGTGTTGCAGATTCAATCCCTGGCTGAGAGACATCCTCCAGTCGAGTTTGGATTTGATATCTCGCCTTATCACTACCCAAAGGAGTCTCAAAGCGGCTAACATTCTCCTTTTCCTTCCTCCCCCACAACAAACACTCTTGTAAAAGGAAGCTTCCTATGTCCCTATATTATATTTTCCTTTCAGAAGGCACTGGGAGCTTTGATCACTTTCAACAGAATAAAATGAATGGAGCTCCCAAACCGGAAGCCGATGGGGCAGTTTGTGACTCAACCCTTTTCTATCTCTATGAGCCAATAGCGGCTTTCTAGGTAATGTCTGCCCACCTCTGATTTGTGGGAGAGGCTGCACCGTAGAGATTTTCTTTCAAAAAGTGAAGAGTGGCGCAGCCTGCGTTTCTAGTTTCGAAGGTGGAGGGGAAACCTATAACCTGTAACTTTCATCTTTCCTGACCATTGGCCATGCTGAGTGATGTGAGACAGGAGTCCCAACAACTTCTAGGTGGGCCACACTCTCCACCCCCCCCAAAAAAAACACTGCCCAACCAATATTTTATTGTAGCTGTAATTGGTAATGCCCCCCCCATTCCTAAAGACAACCCACAGCATCATAGATGGGCCTCGTTTGCATGCAATAATAAGAGCCTTGCTGGATGAGAATAAAGGCCTCCTTAGTACCCAGTTTCCAACAGTGGTCAGCCTCTGGGAAGCTCGAAAGCAGAACCTGACCCTAGGAGTGCTCCACTTCTCCTGATCCTCAGCAGCGGGTACCATTTCTGATCCTGAAGAGGTAGCATATATGACTACTGTATCATTAACAGTGGCCGTTGAAAGCCGCCTCCTCCATCAATTGGTCTAATCCCCTTTTCAGCGCATCTAAGACAGTGGCAGTGAGTTCCACTGGTTAACCCTGTGCCGCTTAATATTTCATGTGACTTGAGTTCTTTTGGGTTTCAACGACAGCAGAGCAACTCTGCATTGAGAAGAAGCACAAAGCTGCTGTGTGCAGCCGAGAGCTGGATTTGGAGTGGGTCATAGCTGTCAACCTTCCCCTTTTTTGCGGGAAATTTCCTTATTCCAGCGCTGTTTCCTGCTGCTTCCTGCTGCTATCCCGGATTGTTAGATATCCCGTAGACTGTCCCCAGGACAGGTGAGGCTGCTGATCCCTTATTTTCAAATCTGAAAGTTGACAGCTATGGACTGGATAGGAGGAAGGAAGGAGGGCAGTTTAAGAAGCCTTTGCTACAGCTCGAAGGGGAGATTTTTTTGGCTGCAGATCCAAACCAGCCCCAGCCTGAGCTCCCGACCTAAAACCAAACTACATTTCAGGGTGGTTGTGTGCGGAAGTTTCATCCACTTGTGGCTGAAATGCAGAGGTCATTGCAGCACTGGACTCCACAGCAAGGCTTTTGTGTGGTCGCAACTCAGCTCCAGCCCCACCTTCAGCCTGGAAAAGGGATATGATAACAGTGCGCCTATATTGCAGGGTTGTTGTTGTTGCAATTAACCACCCATTGCAGGGGGTTGGACTAGATGACCGTTTGGGTCCCATCCAACTCTCCAGTTTTATAGTTCTGTGAGTCTGTCTCAGCCTGGCCCCCAACCTGCAACATGAACATTGGACTACACTGCAGGGTTGCTGTCAGCTAGAGCACCCCCGCCCAACAACCTGTAATAGTATAATAATAATTATTTATTTCTTATACCCCGCCCATCTGACGGATAATAGGCTAAATTTGCATTGGGATTATTTGCAAGGTCAGGCTTATTTTAAAACCCTATTAAAAACCCTCACAACCTTGAAATTTTATGCACCAAATAAGAGAGGAGTTATCGATCTTTTTTCCATTGTTACTTTTATGTTACCTGCTGGGAAACCGCGGTAAAATCCTGCATCTCTCCATAGGTATCTATAAACAGGGCGTTGGCACCGATATATATATATTTAATGGTTTCTCTAACGGGAACCCGGGAATTTGCTATTCGCACCATGAGATGTGTCGCTCTTCCCTTTTCTCTATGTACTCTGTGGATTTTTGGCGAGGGCATCTCTGTGATCATTTCCTCCTTATTCTACTGGGGGAAACCCAAGCGGAGTTTGAATTTCCCAGGCGCGGCCAAGGCGAAATCGAAGGAGGAGAAGGGGCGGAAGAAAGCCTTGCAAAAGGATCAGGTGAGAGCATGGAAGTGCACGGGAGCTTCTCTTTCCAAGCCTGTTCTCTTTCCGCGCCCCCAACGGAATTCCTTGAGGGCTAGTGCATTGCTCAGTGCAGCCTCCCATCCAAACACAAGATTCCTAATCTTAGTATACCTAATAGGAAGGGATGATTTGGTCAGTGGGCCTCACCTTTTGCGTTTTCTTCCTCCCCAGCTTTTGCTGGTTCTGAATGTATTCGGGTGACCTGCTGCAAAGACTGCATTGCTTTTTGCACCTTTAATAATTGTGTGTGCAAAAGAGGGCATGTCCGCTAACACAGCATGTCCTGCCAAGCTGAAAGAACCTCTTTTGCACAATTAATTAAAGGTGCAAGAGCCTGGTCCCCATTTGCAGCCAGCCCAAACCCCTCCAATGAAATATACTTAAATGTGGAACACTGTGACTTATATAGTATACAATGGTGATAAGTGATTACAAATATTGTGCTTTGTGTTAAGCTGGCTTGCATTGTTAAGTGTATTTTGTTTGCATATTGTTGTCTGCTAATATTAAACGAAAAGGCGAGGTTTAAGAGAGGGCAGCTGCCACCTTCGTTGCATAAGCTTTCAATGCTCCTCTTTTCCCTTGCCCTTCTGCACCTGAGAGGTGTGTTTCAGGGATTCACCCTGTTCTTGTAATGGTACATTATTTTAGCAGAAGTTTAATCCTGCGTTTTTGCTATTTTTGCAACCCACACCGGGAGCGTACTATGAAGGACAGGTGAGAAATCCTATAAATGATTAAGATAGTTCCAGTACATCATCATCATCATCATCATTTATTTCAATAAATGATGATGATAATAAATTATAGCTATAATAAGCCCAAAAAATGATGAGGAAGACTTTGAAAATAAATAAAATGAGGAAGATTTTGATAATAAATAAAAAGAATAAAAGTACAAATAAATAATGATGATAATGAATTATAACAATAATTCCAGTAGAGGATAATGAATAGTAATAATAATAAAAATAAATTATAGCTATAAGAAGCCCCAAAAAGATGAGGAAGATTTTGATAATAAAAATAATAAAAATACAAATAAATAATGATGATGATAATAAATTATAACAATAATTCCAGTATAGGATAATGAATAGCAATGATGATGATGATGATGATGATGATAATCCCAATAAATGATGAGGATTTGTATAATAAATAAAAATAATAACAGTACAAATAATTAATAATAATAATAATAATAATAATAATAATAATAATAATAATTTATTATTTATACCCCGCCCATCTGGCTGGGCCTCCCAGCCACTCTGGGCGGCTTCCATAAAAACCAAAAATACAGTAAAATATCACATGTTAAAAGCTTCCCTGAACAGGGCTGCCTTAAGATGTCTTCCAAAAGTCTGGTAGTTGTTGTTCTCTTTGACATCTGCTGGAAGGGCGTTCCACAGGGCGGGTGCCACTACCGAGAAGGCCCTCTGCCTGGCTCCCTGTAACTTGGCTTCTCACAGTGAGGGAGCCGCCAGAAGGCCCTCGGCGCTGGACCTCAGTGTCTGGGCAGAATGATGGGGGTGGAGACGCTCCTTCAGGTATACTGGGCCTTTGAGGCCGTTTAGGGCTTTCAAGGTCAACACCAACACTTTGAATTGTGCTTGGAAACGTACTGGGAGCCAATGTAGGTCTTTCAAGACCGGTGTTATATGGTCTCGGCAGCCGCTATAATTATTATTATTTTATAACAATTAACTATAATTATTATTATTTTATAACAATAATAATTCCAGTAGAGGCTAATGAGTAGTAGTAGTAATCATCATCATCAACTCTGGTGATGACAATCAGCTTGGATGGCTTTAAATGAGAATTGGACAAATTCAGGGAGGAGAAATCTATCTCTGCTGCTAGCCGTAAAGGCTGGAGGCAGAAATGCTTGTGAATTGTTTCTGAAACCACAGGAGGTTGAGAGTGCTTTTGTGCTCGGGTCCTGCTTCCGATTCCACCCTCCAAATGCCTTTGTGCACAACAGGAGAAGGAACTTCGTCTCTCCAGATGTTGCTACATCACAACTCCCATCAGCCCCAGAAAACATTGGCTGGTGGCCAGTGATGAAGGGAGTTGTAGTTCAGGAGCGTCTGGAGAACCAACGTTTCCCCACATCTGATTCTTTGCAGCTAAGAGGACCAAAAATCTTTCTCTGGGCACCCCTTTCTTTCCTGTGAAGTGTTGTAAACAAAACATCTGCCCTTCTTCCCTTATGGGTGACACAAGAGCCAGTATAGAGTCCTTATGTGGGTTCCCTATTGCTAGGAGAAAATAACAGAGGCCAACCAGAGAATATTGAGAAGCAAAGCAGCTAGTAAGCCTGATCTTTATTGATCTGTTGCAACAGGGTGCTCTCCTCACATGCAGGAGGACGGAGGAGGAACCCAGAACAAAGGTGTGCCTGCCCTTATACAGAAATTTTAAATTCCCCGCCCTGGAGCTCCAGACCACCTCTCCATACATCATACATACATCACAGAAAAGGTGGTCTGCAGCAGAAATGCGTTGTTTATCTCCTGTCTGGCAGGTTACCTATTAATGTTCACTTGATTGGATACCCTGGGGAACCTGGCCAGTCTTTTGTAATGATAAATACTTAGTTCCTGAGCCAGGTCACAGGCTCACCCTATTCAAACACAGACAGACATACCCTTAAGACAGGATTTCTGAAGGAAAAGACGATGGGGAGGCTGTTCCATTTTCCTTTGACCTTGCAGAGAAAACATTTGGTCAGTTTGGGAATCAAACATGGTTTCAGGTCGGTCTTCCTGTGCTGATCTATGTACGTGCTTGTTTGGTACATTTATGAACATTTATTATTATATCTTAAGACTTTTAAATTTTTATCACAGAAGCACCTGGGTTCTTTCTTTTTCCCCCTGCCTTTTGCAGCAAAACCTTTTTTGTGGGACTGGCTAGCCACAGCTTGAGCTTCGCCCGCCATTGGCTTGAAAAAGGAAAATGGCCGCCGAGCCAGGAGATACGTTGACCTTGAGCCTACCGCCCGGTGCTGTGCTGAAGCAAAGGATGAAAGTGGAGGAGCCAGACCCAGACGAAGTGGGGAAAGGCTCTCATGCCATGCAGGATGGGAGTATGAGGGAATTCTGGGAGAGAAACATGTCGGGCCACGTCAAGCAGAAGCCACAGAAGGGACCGCAGCAGCCATGGGAGGCCCAGCTGCAGGAGTTCCTCAGAGCGATGGAGTCTTCCCACTCCGACGGTAGAGACCAGCACCAGAGGACACTGGCGTTACGGGATGAGGCCCAAGCTGGCCTGTCTCCAGGTGGTGCCAGGCCACGCCAGATCCCTTTCCTGCCACATCCCAGGAGAGAAGCCAACAACCTGCTGGCCAAAGAGGAAAGAGAGAGTGGGAAAGTGAAGGAAGAGGAGATTGGTCCTGACGCACAGCGGCAACACTTCCGGCAGTTCGCCTACCAGGAGGGGCCTCGAGAGACTTGCACCCGCCTCCGGGAGCTTTGCCACCAGTGGCTGAAGCCCGAGAGGCACAGCAAGGAGCAGATCCTGGAGCTGGTGATCCTGGAGCAGTTCCTGGCCGTCCTGCCCCCGGAGATGCAGAGCTGGGTCAATGAATGTCGCCCGGAGACCTGCGCCCAAGTCGTTGCCCTGGCAGAGGAGTTCCTACTGAGGCAGCAGGAGGATGAGAGACTTGGAGGGAAGGTGAGAGGTTTTAGCGTAATAAAAGGCCCATACTGAGTCAGACCCAGCTCAGTATTGTCTACACGGATTGGCAGGGGCTCTGCAGGGTTTTCAGGCAGAGGACATTCCCATCTGCTGCATGCAACACAGATGCTCTGAGCTACAGCCCTAATATGGTTCATTCCAGTGGCTTTGTACCGAACCATAAGGCCGCATCTGCTCTATGTACCATATTTTTCGCTCTATAAGACGCACCGGACCATAAGACACACCTAGTTTTTAGAGGAGGAAAACAAGAAACAGGAAAGCAACGCAAAGGCTCTTGAGTGAAGAGGCAGGAGCGCTCCGGCTGCGCTCAAGAAGCCTTGCGTGGCTATCCCTAAAGCCAGGAGAGCACACATTCTACTCATGTAAAAACACGCTGATTCTCAGACCATCCGTGGGCCAAATTTAGAAGGCAATTGGGCCAGATCTGGCCCCCGGGCCTTAGTTTGTCTACCCATGAATTACAGTAAAGAATTACTGTAATCAATAAAAATAACAGCAAGTCACAATGCATAAAATTTCACAAAACATACAAAACTATGTAAAAGAATCAAATTGAGAAACAAGGATTCCCGTTGGGTAGAGGGCAGGGGTGATTGTCAACAGAAACATGGCACCCACTTTTTGTTTGGAGGAAAAGCGAGCTGCGGGTCCACCAATCTGGAATGCAGATGTGATCAGAGGGCCTGCGGACACTTTTTCTCCGAAATAAAAGTAGGGCTGTTAAGCAGGCTAGTTTTCAACACAATGTGTAGCTTGGCCCTGCAATAAGAGGATGGGCAGGCATTTTTAGATCTTAACCCGACATTCTGAGTGCTTTTATTTATTTATTTAAGTGAGACCCTCACTGTTTCTGTCTTATGTGCTGTTCAAGGAGGCAGTACGGGCCTTTCCTGAGGCAGAACGGGCTCCACCAGATACCTGGCCGAGGCCTCACTTCAGGGAGATCAAGCAAGAGGCCGACAGAGATGCCACCTTGCTTGGTAAGGCTTTTGTTTTTATTTCTTTGTCTTCTTTTAAAAAAAAATTGGTGCTCTGAAATCGGAAAAGGGAATGTTGAAGCTGCAGCGGCTTGCTGGGAGAATGGGTGGCAAACCCAGATACAGTCGTATCCTGGTTCTCGAATTTAATCCATTTGGGAAGTCCGTTTGACTCCCGAAATGGTTCGAAAACCAAGGCGCAGCTTCCAGTTGGCTGCAGGAGCTTCCCTCAGCCAACCAGAAGCTGCGGAAGCCGTGTCAGATGTTTGGCTTCCCAAAATCATTTGCAAACCGGAACACTCACTTCTGGGTTTGTGAACATTCGGGAGCTGATTTGTTTGACAACTAAAGCGTTCAACTACCAAGGTACCACTGTATTCTGATTAGGCCCTCTCAGAGGTCCAGAGATGCCCGGCCTGCTTCCAGCTTTTGAGACCGCTAGCCATAAAAATAAAAACCAAATGTCTCACACACGTGATCCAGCACCAGCTACAAGTAGTTGTCTATATCATCAGCTAATCTGAGAGGACATGTTCATCCTGGTCTAATTTTGTGCCATCAGGGCCCATATATTTTTATTAGTATTTATGAACATTTTTAACTCCTTAAGGTAACAAAATCTGTATCAGTTAACATTTTTTTGGAAACTAAATGACATCTCTTACTTACTTAAATGTGCAGCTCTGAGCTGAGAGTGTGTGTCAAAGGACAAGTTGCAAAACTTATTAAAGACCCCCAAATTTAGGTACCGCTTTGAAATCCTGTTTCAAATACCGTTTTGTACACTGAGCTGACGAACTTTGTCTGTGCTAGCTATGTTGTCGGTTAAGTTTCATATTTACAAGTATAAAATCTTTATCACACACACACAAAAAACCCCTCCAGTGAAGGTGAGTTCAACATCTCCTGAGACATTAGTAGGATCTGCATATGGCATTAGGGGGAAGGAGAGGAGCAACCCTGAAAAGCTGGTCTACCTTCCTGTGGTTTTTAACAAATCTTTTTTCCCCCAGCTTCTAAAAATACATAAAACGAACAAACCCCCAACCCTGTCAGAAACAGTTCATGCAATATAAATAATAAACATTAAGTTTGTCAATCATTTAGAAATAATTACATCAGTCTTCTGCTCTCCATCTTAACAGATTGTCCCAAAGTGAGTGATGGGCAGCTGGCGGTGAGAAGATAACTTTGTCTTTTCCAGAATAATAATAATAATAATAATTTATTACTTATACCCTGCCCATCTGGCCGGGCCTCCCCAGCCACTCTGGGCAGCTTCCAACATAATATCAAAAACACAATAAAACATCAAACATTAAAAACTTCCCTAAACAGGGCTGCCTTCAGATGTCTTCTAAAAGTCAGATAGTAGTTTATTTCCTTGACGTCTGGTGGGAGGGTGTTCCACAGGGCGAGCGTCACTACCGCACCATTCACTTCCTTCCTGTCTTGAGCCTGATTTTTGCCCACTTTCTCTTTTAGCAGAGGATAATAACACCTGGATTATTTCCCCCACTCTAGCATGTTCTGCGGGGACACGTCGGAAGGAGAGGAATCACCCGGGCAACACTGAGGAACTGGCGCCGTTTGTAGCGTTGTCAAGGGAAGACGAGCAAAACATCGCCAGTCCAGCAGAGGACTCTGAGAGCCTGCAAGGAAACGAACCAGAAGCACAAGGCGGGAAATTCATTAATTCTCAGGGTGGGTACGAGGACCTGGACGACAGCATCGCGCCACAGCCAGCCGCCCTGAAAGGTGAGCAGGAAAACGCAGGGGTTCAGTTGGGGCAAGTTCTCAGGCTGCGGTCTGATCTCATAGTGCAGGAGAGGACACTGACGGGTGAGTCCCAGTACAAATGTTCAGTTTGCTGGAAAACCTTTTGCCGCAGGAACGTCCTCATCACTCATCAGAGAATCCACACCGGGGAGAAGCCGTACAAATGCTTGGACTGCGGGAAAGCTTCAGCCAGCGATCGCACTTGATCTTGCATGAGAGGACTCACACCGGCGAGAAGCCCTACAAGTGCTCGGACTGCGGGAAGAGCTTCAGCCAGAGGCCCCACCTGGTCAAGCACGAGAGGATCCACACCGGCGAGAAGCCCTACAAGTGTCCCTACTGCGGGAAGAGCTTCAGCGACCGCTCCACCCTGACGACCCACAAGAGGACCCACACGGGGGAGAAGCCATACTCGTGCGCCGACTGCGGGAAGAGCTTCAGCGACCGGTCGTCCCTCATCGCGCACAACCGGACTCACACGGGTGAAAAGCCCTACAAATGCTCAGAGTGTGGGAAGAGCTTCAGTCACCAGTCGACCCTCATTCGACACGAGAGGATCCATAACGGGGACAAGACTCTGAAGTGTTTGGAAGCTGGGAAAAACGCAGTCTCCGTCTTGGGGGCAGATAAGAGACCCCGCTTGGGGGACAAGCCCCCAGTGCCGTTGACCAATTCTGTGAGTTGGGGGGAGCCTCTGTCTCTGAGCCTCAGCAATGCCCCTTCTGAAAAATGAAAATATAATCTCCATCAGAGGGTTGTTTGGAATAAAATTAAATTAAAATTAAAAAAGGTAAATAAAATAAAGATGATGAAGCATTTTGGAAAACGAAAAGGGTGCTTGTAGTCTTTTTTTTTTTTTTTGCAGATTTCACCCTGCTAGTTTGCTAGCAGTTATTTGGACACTTAAAGGTAAAAGGTAAAGGGACCCCTGACCATTAGGTCCAGTCGTGGCCAACTCTGGGGTTGCGGCGCTTATCTCGCTTTATTGGCCGAGGGAGCCGGCGTACAGCTTCCGGGTCATGTGGCCAGCATGACTAAGCCGCTTCTGGCGAACCAGAGCAGCGCCCGGAAACACTGTTCCGAGCAACAGGAGCTCACCCCATCACGGGGATTTGAACCACTGACCTTCTGATCGGCAAATCCTAGGCTCTGTGGTTTAACCCACAGCACCACCCGCATCCCATTTGGACACTTACTTTATGGTAAACTTTATGGTGACAGTAGTTTTTCAAATAGATTGTAAAATAAAGATGGTCTTCCTCAGGACTTTTGCAGTTGTCTTGTAATTTTTATAGCAGAGATGGGAAACCTGCTGTGGCCCTGCAAATGTTTGGGCAGATTCGCACCAAATGCACATGATTTGCTGCAAAGAATCCTGGTTACTGCCTTTTTTAAGGGGGCTGGGAATTGTAGCTCTGAGGGGGAAACTACAGTCCTGAGAATTATTTGGGACTGGTGCTCATTAGGACTGGTAGGGCTAATGGCAGGGAGACCAACAGTAGGTGGTGCCAGAGAGCCAGTGACAGGCAGACCCAACTACAGTTCTAGTTGTCACAGAATCATAGAGTTGGAAGTGACCCCAAGGGTCAACTAAATAGAGATTTTGTCCCAATCCTCTTCCCTGCAGATCTGCATACTGATGGCTTGTCTACTCTAGCATCCTTTGGACAACCAGAAGCCTCAATGGGAAGCCGCCGCCCCGCCCCCACCAGCAGGACCTTGTATTCAAAGGCATATACAACCTCTGACAGCGGAAGAAGAACCTAGCTGTCAGGTGTCTTATCTGTTGAATACCCTCCATGAATTTGTCTAACTTCCTTTCAAGAGGGCCTTCTTGGTAGTGGCTCCCGCCCTGTGGAACGCCCTCCCATCAGATGTCAAGGAAATAAACAACTATCTGACTTTTAGATGACATCTGAAGGCAGCCATGTTTAGGGAAGTTTTTAATGTTTGATTGTGCTTTTAAGAGTCTGTTGGGAGACTGTTTGGCTGGGGAAACCCAGTCAGATGGGAGGGGTATAATAAATGATGATGATTATGGTGATGATGATGTTGGTGGCCATCACCACCTCTTGTGGCAGTGAGTTCCATAGTTTATGCTCTGCGTGAAGAAGTCCCTCCTTTTGTTAGTGGATCCATGCTGTACTGTTAAAGCACACCCAATGCACCTTTAAAAAAACACAACTCCTGCTCCCCCCCCCCAACAATCCTGGGAACTGTAGCTTCACCCTGGCAGAGCCCCAAATTAAATTAAAAACTAATTTAAATTTAAGAAATAAATTAAAAAGCCTCTAATTAAAAAGCACCTTTCCCCATAGGGGAGCAATATATAATTCTATAAAGCAAGGATTTCCCAGACTGGTCCTTGGAGGTTTACGCCCTCATATTGAAGCTAAGGTGAGCAGATGCACGAAGGAGTTAAAGCTAACGAGTCGATGCCCAGAGGGGCTAGATTTTTTAGGCGAGGAGGGGAGGCTGGCTGCGAGCAACCCGTGAGGTCATTTCCTGTTCCGCCCACCGTGGGAAAGTAGCGTTTGAATTTCCCACGCGGGGCAGGCGCAGCCGGCTTGTGGTTTCCCTCCTTCTTGGAGCTCAAGCAGAGGACGGGGAAGGCCAGCAGGGGGGAAAAGACGAGCCCAAAGGAAACTGCACGGGATGAGGGCAGGAGGAGGCAAGTCAGATGGGAGGACAGGACGCTGGTCTGCATCATGGCATTGTAGAGGTGGAAGGGACACCGAGGGTCATCTAGTCCAACCCCCTGCAATGCAGGAATCCAGGACAGATGGCCTGCCAACCTCCGCTTGAAAGGTTGCTGGCAAGGAGAGAAGAGTTCAGACTCTGCCCCCTTCTCTCCCTCAGCCTGTGTTGTTTGCATTAGCTCCGTACTACGTGCCGTTGGTCCACCCTCTGGGAAGTTTATCCCTTGAGAGTCTGGGCTCTGATGTTGACTAAGTTCCCCTAGATGCTCAAATAGAAAAGCGGGAAAGGGGGTTAGGAAGCCCAGGGGCTACTTGATGTGGTCTACACTGATGGACAGTGGCTCTCTGGGGTTTCCTATTCACAAAAGAAGAACTTTTTCACACAATGCATGCATGCATGCATGCATGCATAAATAAATAAATAAATAAATAAATGTAAATCAAAGCCTTTAACTAACGAGAAATGGACAACTTGTCGACATCTGGCTCCAGAAGAAACGGGCTCTCCTACACCCCCACCAACAGCCCAGTCCAAATTGCAACAAATCGAACTAGTGGTGCCAGCGCCGGGAATTGGCTCAATCTTCATGGACTGCTGGGGAATCCTAGAAGCTATTCATGCAGAGGAATGAAATAAGGTCTTAGCGGGTGACTGCCTGAACAGACAAATTAATACCCCCAAATTAGCCTTTCCCCCAAAAGGCTCACCCATTCCTCTGCATCGCAGCTCAATCAAGCCAAACCCAAAGGACCGGAGGAATCAGCAGCAGAAAACAGCTATGAGTGGAATCTAAAAACCTAAGAACCAACTACTGCCCTAAACATCATCTCCTGGAATGTTGCCGGCTGGTCCAGATGCCTCTCCCATTCTACAGACATTCCCTTCTACCGTCAAAACTTTAATATCATCACTCTCCAGGAGAAGTGGGCGGCCGAAAATCCATCACCGGAAGGATACTACATATATGCAGCAAATCTGATGGGCCTGTGCACATCGCTGCTCTTCACAAAGTTTGACCGTGATAATCGACACCTGAAGCAGATATTGCCTGGAATCATGCAATCATCTCCCTTAATCATCTGTCTTAAACCAAACCCTCTTGTGGCTGTACTTACATGGTGCACTGGTCATTTGTGATCTCTTCTGCCATGAAGTGAGTTGAGTTATTACCTTGCTTCAGTAATTTGTTGGCAACCTGAAGACAAACAGGCTATAATATGTCCAGAGGCTACAGACGACCTGATCCCCATGAAGTCTGAACTGCCATGAGCTAACTTTTTAATAAAGATATATGAATTTATTTTTTAAAAAAATACAGTGCAGAGCATCACAAGTCCATGTCTGCTCAGTTGCTAGCAAAATCTGGGAGTGGGCGGTCCTTGTACCTTCCCCAGCATAACAGTCGTGTGACCCCCATCCTTCTCCTCCTCTCTCTGCGCGCAAACCTACTGCGCACTTTGCTCAGGCTCTGTGTTGAGGCTCTCCCTAGCATCTTCTGGTCCCTGCGCCCCTTCCCCACTGGAGGCGGGGCTTCCCTCCTCGCCAGAGGAACAACTGCTTCACAAGACCTTCGAAGGCTCCCTGTAACACAACTGCTCTTCCACCTCTCGCCTCTGAGCTGATGGCAGTTCCCTGACACCGCCCTTCCCGGTTCAGAAAACTGGGCTCAGGGTGGCTAACAACAAATTTAAAACACTTAATTGATGCAACAAAAAACCCCTTAAAATACAGTATAAAACGTGAATAACAATAAATTCAGAATTCAAAAATCAATTTAGGGGGAAAATCCATCCAATAAATATTAGATGACATTAGCAGACCTATGGAACTCACTCCCACAGGTCGCAGCGATAGCCACCAACTTGGGGGCTTTAAAAGAGGATCAGACAAATTCACGGAGGTTATAAATGGCTGCTCAGCTATGCTGTGCTTCCACAGCTGGGAGGCAGCAATGCCAGTTGCTGGAATACCAGTTCTGAATACCAGTTGTTGGAAGCCACAGGAGGGAGGGGCCTCTTGCGCTCGAATCCTGCTTGCTGGTCTGGTTGGCCACTGTGAGAACAGGACGCTGTACTAAACGGGGCATTGGCCTGATCCAGCAGGCTCTTCGTATGTTCTTAGGACAACAGAGGCTGAGTTACTTGACCAGATCAACCAGTGTTTTGACCCTGGAAAACAGCTTCATATACTGCACTTACAGTGGTGCCTCACAAGACGAAAAGAATCCGTTCTGTGATTCTCTTCGTCTAGCGGTTTTTTCGTCTTGCGAAGCAAGCCCATTGACGGATTACCGGATTAGCGCTATTAGCGGCTTTTAACCGCTTATCTGCTGATCGGATCAGCTGATAAGCGGCTTAGCGGCTTAGAAAAAGGGGGAGGAAAGGGGAAAAACCCAGCAGGAACTCGCAAGACATTGTCGTCTTGCGAAGCAAGCCCATAGGAGATTCGTTTTGCGAAGCACCTCCAAAACGGAAAACTCTTTTGTCTAGCGAGTTTTCCGTCTTGCGAGGCATTCGTCTTGCGGGGCACCACTGTAATTTGTTTACCAGAAGTAGGGAACTATGAACCTACAGATGTTGTTGGTTTGCAGCTCCCCTCAGCACCAGCCAGCATGCCCAGTAGTCGAGGATGATGGGATTTGTAGTCACACAACCACCAGCGCTCTTTGGATCTGGTGGGCCAGGGTTCAAATGCCCATTCAGCCATGAAGCCTACTGGGTGACCTACCTCACAGGGTTGTTGGGGCGATGAAATAGGGGGAGAATCAAAGGTTTGCGACATCCCGGTCTAAATATAGCCAGCTGACTCTCCGCAGGGAGGGAGGAAAACCTTGCTAGTCAGGGAGGTTGAATTTCACCCCTTAGAAACACACACACGTTGTCGTTACACAGTTAAACAGCAGTCCTGTTTTTCAGGTTGGCTTTGGTCTGGGAGAAGGAGAGGGAAAATGGCGAACAAAGGAGGGGGTTCAGTTAGTGGCGTCCATGTTCAAACTGTGGTGGAGAAGCGGGTGAAAAGAGAGGAGGAGGGCGGAGGAGAAGAATCGCGGCTTGACTCGAGAGAAGACCCACTTGCTCTCTGGAGCGAGCACACGAAACCATTCTGGGTGAGAGCCAGACTGCATGAGATCGCAAAGGAAAACTGTAAGGGACCACAGCCACACAGGGAGGCCCAACTGCAGGAGTTCCTGAGGAAAGTGGAGTCTCTCCACTCGAGAGAGGACAACCCTTGGTGCTGCAGCCTCCCATTTCAAGGGATGGTTTTCTGTCCTCTACCAGCAGTGCAGCTGATATTGGTTGGCAGGAAATAGGAGAGAAGACTGTGAGCCGAATGATGCCAGGCTTCTGCAGGGGAGGCCAATGGTCTGAGAGCGGCGTCTTGGGCGAAGGCAAGGCCAGCCACAGGGAAGTGAAGGAAGAGATTCCAGGTGAGGCCGACCCAGACACCCTGCGGCAGATCTTCCGGCGATTCCCCTATCTGGAAGGTGACGACCCCCGCGAGGTTTGCCAAAGGCTCCGAGAACTTTGCCACCGGTGGCTGAAGCCGGAGAGAAGCAGCAAGGAGCAGATCCTGGATCTGGTGATCCTGGAGCAGTTCCTGGCTGTCTTGCCCTTGGAGACGCAGGGCTGTGTCAAGGAACGGGGCCCGGAGACTTGTGCCCAGGCTGTGTTGCTGGTGGAAAACGCCTTACTGATGCAGCAAGAAGGCAAGAGACAGGAAGCTCAGGTGAGAGATTGGAAGTTGCTCATTTCTGCAAAAGGAACCCGAAGCCTCCAGAGCCCAGCGGGAACTCTCGCCGCGCTCCTGAGGCTTCAGGTTGCCTTCACTGAAGCCTGGAGAGCGAGAGGGGTCAGTGTGCAGCGACCACTCTCACTTTCCAGGCTTCCAAGGTAGCCGCCTGAAGCGTCCAGAGCGCAGCAGGAACTCTCTCTGCGCTCCGGAGGCTTCGGTTGAACACACAGAACGCACCTTGTTTTAGAGGGGGAAAACAAGAAAAAAAAATTCTCCCCCTGTCTGCGCAGCGCCCCTTCAACGAAGCGGCAGGAGAAATGGAAGGGGCGCCGTTTCTCCTGCTGCTTTGCTGAAGGGGCGCTGAGCAGAGAGGGGGAGAATTTTTTTTCTTGTTCTCCCCCTCTAAAACAAGGTGCGTCTTATGGTCGGGTGCATCCTATAGAGCGAAAAATACGGTAAGCAAATTGTCAAATGGCACCTTAAACCTAGGTTGCAGTCACCACAATGGAAAGTCTAGGCACCATTTCCCCCTCAGTGAGACTTGTTATTATTATTTATTCATTTAATTTCTATACCACCTTATATTTTAAAGAAAAAAATCTCAAAGCAGTTCACGGCACATTGAAACATCAAATAAAACAACCCAGAAGAAAATAAATTCAAGCTTCAGTGAAAGTATTTCAGATCTTTCTGTAAGTGACATTTTGCTTTCCCCATATTTATGGACCGACTTAATTTATAGAGATGAAGAACTTTAGGAAGCCAGTGTGGTGTAGTAGTTAGAATGTCGGACTAGGAGCTGAGAGATCAGGGTTCAAATCCCCACTCAGTCATGAAGCTCAATGGGTGACCTTGGGCCAGTCACAGCCCCTTAGCCTACCGTACAGGGACGTTGTAGGGATTCACTGAAGAGGGGAGGTGAACCATAGATTCCTTGGAGAAAAAGGTGGGAGACAAATGCAATAAATGAGCTCTTCTGCTTCGCTGCTTAAGAAAGCTGGAAGGGGCCAGCCAGGTGGAGGTGTCACTAGCCAACCTGGCATACAGAAACCTCCACATGGTTGCAATTGGACCTGTGCCAGTTGTAAAATGTGCCTGGTGAATTTCAACTACAGTCATACCTTGGAAGTCGAACGAAATCCATTCCATAAGTCCGTTCGACTTCCAAAACATTTGAAAACCAAAGTACAGCTTCTGATTGGCTGCAGGAAGCTCCTGAAGCCAATCAGAAGCTGCAGAAGCCCCGACAGACATTCAGCTTCCAAAAATCATTCGAAAACTGGAACACTCACTTCCAGGTTTTGATCATTCGGGAGCCGATTTGTTCAGGAGCCAAGGCGTTCAAGATCCAAGGTACGACTGTACAGTGGTACCTCGGGTTAAGTACTTAATTCATTCTGGAGGTCTGTTCTTAACCTGAAACTGTTCTTAACCTGAAGCACCACTTTAGCTAATGGGGCCTCCCGCTGCTGCCGTGCGATTTCTGTTCTCATCCTGAAGCAAAGTTCTTAACCTGAAGCAGTATTTCTGGGTTAGCGGAGTCTGTAACCTGAAGCATATGTAACCTGAAGCGTATGTAACCTGAGGTACCACTGTACTGCAGAGGAGTATCCTTGCCTGCAACAGCAGCTATTGTGATTAGTAGTCACCAGCAGCCTTATCCTACCTGAATTTAAGAACCTGCAGAAGGCCTTTTGCGCCTGAATCAGGCCAGAGGCCTACGTTGTCCAGCAGCCTCTTCCTACAGTGACCGACCAGAGGAGCAAAACCAGAGCACAGTACAACTACTCTTCCCAACCTGCAGTTTGGAGCAACTGGTATTTGGTGGCATCGCTCCTTCCGCCATTGAGAACAGCAGCCATTGATAGCCGTCTCTTCCCTGCATTTGTCTAGTCCTCTTTTAAAGCCACCGAATTTGGTGGCCGTCCCTGACTCTTGTGGCAGGGCGTTCTGTAGTTCAGCCCTGTGCTAAAGAAGTCCTTCCTTTTGCCTGCCCTGGATCTCCTAACTTTCTGCCTCAATGTGGTTCCTGCCCCCTGGGGTTCTGGCGTTAGGAGAGAGGGAGGGGAACCCTGCCTTCTGGGACTGCCCTCTCCAAGCCTTGGGCCTGTTCCCTGAATGGGATCCTCACTTGTTCTTTTTTTAAAAAAAATATTGGAAATTTTATTTACAGCATAACATAAATCCCCCACCCCCTAGTACAGAATTACAATAAGCATAACATACAACCATACAAACAACCAAATAAAAGACTTCCTTTATCCTGTATCTGGCCTCCTTATTTACTTCTTATAAGCTGTTTCCTTTATGAATAATTATTAAGATTTTTCTAATTATAACTTAAACATCCACAAAGTCTCCTGCAGACATTAATCGAAACAAGTCCAGGTATGTATTTAGGGCACTGTTTTCTGAAGTATTCTCTGCATTTCCCCCCATGCTTTTTGAAACTCTTGCCTCACTTGTTCTTCCAGGTACCGGAGCTTTGCAAAGCAGAGAAGGCGCTTCTATCTGAGGCCAAGGAGGATCAGGCGGACACCTGGCAGGGGCCGGTTTGCATCAAGGAGGAGGACGAGAGTGCGAGTGCCATTTCCTTGGGTAAGAATTTGCTGTGGCTGGGATGGGAGAATTGCTCTGTTGCCTTAGAATGTGTTCCCCTCTTTTCCCCTTTCTCCAGTCAAAATGAGGAAGAACATCCAATTGACTCTGGTGAATTTTCGTAACTCTCAGAAAAGAACTTACATTATTTGTCGTCCCCCCCATAATATTCTTTATTGGTTTTCATTTGCACACTCCACATACACATATTGTATTACATTTGACATTTACACCTGCTCCCCAGAGCTGACTTCCCTCCTTCCCTCTTCTGGCCTTTTATATCACATCTAACATTTTCACATTGTCTATATTATTTGTATATTATATTATATATTATTTGTATATTATTGTTCTTCTTTCGTATTTGTCCATAGAGTGTCTATAGTCAAATAAATCCTCCTGTATATACAATTTTTATTGTCTGTCTATACTCATTTACAACTACCATCGGTTACATTGATCACACAAAAGATGAAGAAATCAAGAGTGTTATGATTAAATGGGCAATGGATGTCGGCCATAACACTGAATATGAGAAGTGGATAAAATTATGGAACACTGGGCTAAAATTTACAGCATGTACCTTGTTAAAAGAAAATCTGTTAAAAATGATGTACAGATGGTACCTCATGCCAATTAAATTGACAAGGATGTATAAAACAGGAAACAAGAAACAAGAATTGCTGGAAATGTGGGGTGAAAGAAAGTAGTTTCTTTCACATGTGGTGGTCATGTGATAAGGTAAAAATGTATTGGGAAAATATATATAATGAATTAAAGAAGATATTTAGATACACGTTTTTGAAAAAGCCAGAGGCATTCTTGTTGGGAATGGTAGGAGAAGACATTACTAAGAATACCAGAAATTATTATATGCAACAACAGCAGCAAGGTTATTGTTAGCCCAGGTTTGGAAACAACAGCAAGTGCCAACAGTAGAAGAATGGCAACAGACGGTAATGGAATATGCAGAAATAGCTAGATTAATGGGGGGAATTCGACAACAGGGTGATGAAACATTTAAAAAAGAATGGGAAAAATTTATGTCATATCTAGGAAGGATAAGGTGAAATAGTGAAACCAGTAGAACTGAAATAAACCTCATACAGAGGTACCTTGGGTTACATACGCTTTAGGTAGCGGAGGCAGCAGGAGGCCCCATTAGCTAAAGTAGTACCTCAGGTTAAGAACAGTTTCAGGTTAAGAATGGACCTCCGGAATGAATTAAGTACTTAACCCGAGGTACCAGTGTAATGTGAAATACAAAGAAAATTTCTGGATAAAGAACTTACAGTATTTGGACGCTCTTTTGCATGTATTGCCTAAACACCATCTTCTAAGGCAGCCCTGTTTAGGGAAGTTTTTAATGTTTGATTGCATTTTTAATATTCTGTTGGAAACCACCCAGAGTGGCTGGGGAGGCCCAGCCAGATGGATGGGGCATAAGTAATAAATTATTATAATTTTATTATTGTTATTGTTTCACCTCTTGTTTAGTTTAGCCTGCTTCTTGGTGTTCTTTCTCCCCTTGATACATGGAATGACTCATGTTGGGAATCTCTCTTTATGCTCCTAGGCGATGAGAGGACATGGGAGATGGAGCAACATCGGCCAGAACATTGTGGAGTGGTGGAATTGCTGGGAAGTACCAAACGGAACATTCCTCACTGTCCTGTTTGGGGGGAAGGCTCTGGAAGCCCACAGCAGAATCCCCTAGTGAGGAAAGAGGACGAAGTTGCTCAGTGCAGGCCTGTCTTTAGACAGAAGCCTCACCTGACTTTGCACGAAAGCCCCCATTCAGGAGAGAAGCCATTCAGCTGCTCAGCTTGCAGGAAGAGTTTCAGTCGCCGCTCCAACCTTGTCATACATCAGAGAATGCACACGGGGGAAAGGCCGTACAAGTGTCCGAACTGTGAGAAGAGCTTCAGCCACCGCTCCAACCTCAGCGCCCACGAGACAGTCCACACCGGAGAAAAGCCCTATAAGTGTGCCGACTGTGCGAAGAGCTTTGGCCACCAGTCGCAACTCATTGCTCATCGGAGAATCCACACGGGAGAGAAGCCTCATAAGTGCTCGGACTGTGGGAAAAGCTTCAGTAATCCGTCGCATCTCAAAGCCCACTGGAGGGTCCATACAGGAGAGAGACCCTACGCGTGCTCCGAGTGCGGGAAGAGCTTCAACCAGAGATCTATCCTTATTGTCCATGCAAGGACCCACACGGGAGTGAAGCCGTACACGTGCGCCGCCTGTGGGAAAAGCTTCAGCCAGAGCGCAAACCTTACAGCTCACGAGAGAATCCATACCACACGGACCTTCCGTTATGCAACAGAGCTCTCTGAGGAAAGGAACTGTCTCAGTACCATAAACATGGCAACAACCTCAGTTGGGGAGGCCACATAGAAGAGCTCCAGTACCTGTTTGATGCTTCTTCTTTTTCAACCTCGCAGATTGTTACGTGGAAAGGAAATGTTTAAAGTTGATAATAAAACTGTAAGCCCTTAAAGGCAGGGCGGATGTGTGGACTCTGCCCTGTGGTTCTGTGAATTCTGTGGCAAGAAAACAGGAAGCGTTTGGGAGGGATTTTCTTACAACCTTTTGTCAATTGTTTTTATTTATTTCATGAAATCCATACACCACCAATTACGGATTCGAAAATATTACCATCGAACTTAACTGTTTAAAATATCTGTGTAAATCAGAAATGATACCCGTGGATGGGGAAAAAACAGTGGTTAAAAATACAGTGGTACCTTGGGTTAAGTACGGTGCCTAATTCGTTCCGGAGGTCCGTTCTTAACCTGAAACTGTTCTTAACCTGAAGACCACTTTAGCTAATGGGGCCTCCTGCTGCCGCCGCGCTGCCGGAGCACGATTTCTGTTCTCATCCTGAAGCAAAGTTCTTAACCCGAGATACTATTTCTGGGTTAGTGGAGTCTGTAACCTGAAGTGTATGTAACCCCGAGGTACCACTGTAATGCAAATTAATTAAAATTCTGTTTATATTTAATTTTAAAACTCACCCAGTTAAGTTAATAGATTGTTAAATTATTTAAACTGTAATTTGCTTTGAGACTTTTCTTTTGGTAATAATAAATATAATGGATAAGGATTATTTATTATCAGGCCCAAAATTATATACAGGGGAATCCCTGCTTACGCAGGGGTTCCATTCCTGGCTGCTGTGGGACATCATTGGGACATGTTCATTCTGCTCCTGCCCCGCCCCTTTCGGCACCCAAAACTGCACATCAGCAGACAACCATGTGCTGATTGCACGTGAGTGGCAAGGTGCCTGTATTACTATATCAGCACTGACTCTGAAGCAAAGCTGCAAGCTGCCCTGCAGGTTGGCACCTTTCATAGAATTAGAAATACAGTGGTACCTTGGGTTACATACGCTTCAGGTTACATATGCTTCAGGTTACAGACTCCGCTAACCCAGAAATAGTGCTTCACGTTAAGAACTTTGCTTCAGGATAAGAACAGAAATCATCCTACGGCGGCAGCAAGAGGCCCCATTAGCTAAAGTCGTGCTTCAGGTTAAGAACAGTTTTAGGTTAAGAACGGAACACCGGAACGAATGAAGTACTTAAACCGAGGTACCACTGTACATTCAAAATCAGTTCTTGTATGAAAAATATGTCTTGCCTATGAGACAGCAGGGACTATATAATTTTTCCAAAATCAGTGCTGACTCATAAATGACTCATAAAGGCAGCTTCAAAGCAAAGCTCTTTTATATATGCCTAAAGTCGCCCACAGGTGTTGTTACTGATACAGAATTATGAGAAACTAAACTTTCCATTACAGGTTCCGTCACCCTTCTGCTGACTGAAACAGGATAACAACCCAAAATCCTGGAACGTATAAGAAACCCAGAACAAATAATAGCCAACCCACACAGCCCAGCTGCAAAAGCTAAATCAGGTTATTCTGCAGAAACACTGAAATAAAATAGCAGTTACGTAACAGGATGAGAGAGATTGAAGGACCTGGGGAAACAAAAGCAAGCTTTTGCTTGGTGCCAGGAAAGCACAAAAACAGGGTCTGTGTTAGCCTTTCTAGAGAGAGCATTCCTCTCCCCTCAAAGCCACTGTCAATTTCATTTTCAAAGGATGCTCAACAGAAAAGGCTATAGATGGCCAATAGATTGATTTTTACTCTACTGTCTCTAGGATCAGATGCAGCCCATTTCTTACTACAGTGGTGCCCCGCAAGACGAATGCCTCGCAAGACGGAAAACCCGCTAGACGAAAGGGTTTTCCGTTTTGGAGGTGCTTCGCAAAACAAATTTCCTATGGGCTTGCTTCGCAAGACGAAAATGTCTTGCGAGTTCCTGCTGGTTTTTTCCCCTTCCCCCCTTTTTCTAAGCTGCTAAGCCGCTTATCAGCTGATCCGATCAGCAGATAAGCCGCTAAAAGCCGCTAATCCGCTAATCCATCAATGGGCTTGCTTCGCAAGACGAAAAAACCGCTAGACGAAGAGAATCGCAGAATGGATTCTTTGCGTCTTGCGAGGCACCACTGTACCAGTTTCTGGGGTGCAGGAGCAAGAAAGGACTATTGTGCATATTCCCTGCTTGTCAGCTGCTTCACAGAGGTGTCTTATCGAGTTGGCCACTGTGGGGAACAGGATGCTGGACTAGGTGGGCTATTGGCCTGATCCAGCAGGCTCTTTTGATGGGCTAGAAGTGTGGGATAACCAGCCTCATAACCAACATGCATGTCTAATTAGTGCATGAAGGGGTTAAGACCGTAGAGAAAGCTATCCTGCCAGGTTTAGCTCAACCTGGGAGGAACTAGGTAATCAAGCCTTTGTCCTCCTTCCAGTCTACCTGAGAAGCTCAGAGTGTAAAGAGGTCTGAGCTGGGGCTAGAAATCCAGCCAGATGGGTGGGCTATAATAATAATTTAATAATAATAATTTATTATTTATACCCTGCCCATCTGACAGAGTTTCCCTAGCCACTCTGGGCGGCTCCCAACAGAATATTAAAGATGTGATAAAAGATCAAATATTTACAACTTCCCTAAACAGGGCTGCCTTCAGATGTCTTCTAAAAGTCAGATAGTTGTTTATTTCCTTGACATCTGATGGGAGGGTGTTCCACTGGGCTACCAAGAAGGCCCTCTACTTGGTTTCCTGTAACCTCACTTCTCGCAGTGAGGGAACCGCCAGAAGGCCCTCGGAGCTGGACCTCAGATCTGGGCTGAACGATGGGGGTGGTGGTAATAATAATAATAATAATAATAATAATAATAATTATTATTATTATTATTATTATTATTATTATTCCAAACTCAGACCGCATGGCTCTAAGAAGCCATTCATGAGTTCCTATACCCATAATTTAGGAACTTTGTAACTGCCTGTGCAATCTGTTCTGAAGCACATGAGTCTCAACTTCAGAGAGGTTGTAAGTAAACCATTAACTTACCAAATGTGTCATCTTTTTCTATGTTGGGGGAAGGGGAAAACTTTGGAGGGAACTCACAAGGAATTTTTTTTTTTGCTACTCTACAGCAGGTATGGAGAACCTTAGGCCCTTCAAATGTCACCAGTAAGCATGGCCAGGGATGAAAGGATTTGCAGTTTAGCAACATCTGGAAGGTTGAAGGCTCCTCCATGAATGCTGCAGGGGGTAGGAACCAAACCAGTGGGTTCAAATACCAACAAAAAGAAATTTTGACTTAACGTTTGGAAGAACTGAAATGCTAAGTGCTACTTTTGACAGTGGAAAATACCATCTTGGCATATGCCAAGCTCCTCTGTTAGAGGCCAGATACCAACTTAGCCAGGATCATGGCTGTCAACGTTTCCCCTTTTTAAAGGGAAATTCCCTTATTCCGAATAGGATTCCTCGTAAGAAAAGGGAAATTTGGCAGCTATGGCCAGGATGCTGTAGCTGTGACTTGCCCCTGCCTTGCCAGGAGGATGGACTAAACAGCCTTTGAGGATCCCTCCCCAAGTCTATGATCCCAGGACTTTCAAGGTTTTGATATCTAAATTTAAAAAGGTACTGCCACTGAGACTCCAGAGGGGATGCAGTTAAGCCAGGGATGGGGAACCTATGGCCCTCCAGACGTTGGGGGACTCCCGTCGGCCAAAACCAGTATGGCCAATGATCAGGGATGATGGGAACGGGGAGTCCAATAATATCTTGAGCACCACAGGTCCTTCGCCCTTTATATAAATGACAATGATCGCAGCCAACAGGGGACAGATGAATGGGAAGGCGGTTGTTACACCAGAGACCTTCAGCTTCTTCCGACTCACAGTGCAATTGTTTAAGAAAGGCATCATTTTTATATTTTTATGCTGTGAACTGCCCTGAGATCTTCGGGTGAAGGGCGGTGTATGAATTAAATCAGTCTATCAAATTGAAATATCAGAAGGGGGAGCGTGGAAAAGGCGTACAAAGAGCCCCCTGGATCAGGCCAAAGGCAGTCAGCATCTGGTTCTCACAGGGACCGACCAGATGCCCGGGGGGAGCCCCAGAAGCAAGGCTTTTCTCCCGCCCTACGGCCCCCAGCCCTTCCCTCCTCCGCCTGACACCCTGCAGCGCTGCTGCCAGCCAGAGCAGGCAACACTGGGTCAGGCGGACAAGGATTCTGACCGGCACAAGCAGGCTTCCTATACACCCCAAAAAGAGGCCCTGCGTGGTTCTCTCTCGCAGTTCACAATTCCAGAGATGCCAGGAAGAATGTATTTCAGCCATCAGTAGCAAACCCCGCTTTGTAATTCACTTAATTGAATTATTCGCTTTCTAAGGGGTTAAAACGAACAAGAGGCGCGGTTGGGTTTCCTAGAGCGGACCGGATGTTGTGGCCGGAGGGCGGGATGTAAACAGTGGCGGTCACTTCCTGCCCCGCCCACCGTGGCTAAGTGGCCTTTGAATTTCCCAGATCCTTCCGTGCTTGTTCCTGGGGAGGGGGAGATCAGGTGAGTTGGGGTGGGGCGGAGCGGGAAAGTGATCCTCTTGGGGGGCAGTTGCGGGGGGAGGGATCCAGGGTGGGAGGTGGGACATGGGCAGGAAGCCCAAGGGAGCGGGGGGGGGGCTACTTTGCAAGCTCAGAGGGTTGCCAACTTCTCCCTTTAACTCCTGCTCCTCTGCCTTTTAACAACTGCTTGATTTGCAGAAGGCGGTGCACTTTCCTCCCTCTGTGCTGTTTGATCAAGGCAATATGCAAATTAATTAACATAAAAGCCCTCAAACTTCAAATGCTGCTGGTAAGTTCTGGGCGCTGCTCTTAAAGGAGGATGTGGCCACTTTTGCAGTGGGGTGGCAAGAGGTCTTGGATGGACCCTGGCCAGGGGGTATGAGTTGTGGACGCTGGCAAGTTCAGGGCATAGCTGTCAACTTACAGATTTGAAAATAAGGGACCAGCAGCCTTGAAAATAAGGGATCAGCAGCCAAAATAAGGGATTTTAGACAACCTGCTGAAATACGAAGTTAAAAGGGACCAGATTTGGGAGAGCAGCATCGCTTTTTAGCCCTTCGTTTCCAGAGGTCCTGTCCTGTGCTCACAGGGGCTAACCAGAATCCTCATAGGGAAGCCGAGAAGCGGGACTCGACTGCGACAGCACTGATCTCCTCAACTTGTGATTCCCAACAACTGACATTCAGAGGCACAAACTACCTCCGAACATAAGAGCAGCTTGGCAGTGGGGCCGATTTCCTGGTTTGAAAATGGAACCAGTTACAGCAGGGAAGGGCATCTGCTTTGCATGGAGAAGTTCCCAGCATCGAAATCTGATTATCTTTGGGTAGGGACGCTGGTGGCGCTGTGGGTTAAACCACTGATCCTAGGACTTGCCGATCAGAAGGTCGGCGGTTCGAATCCCCCGACAGGGTGAGCTCCCGTTGCTCGGTCCCTGCTCCTGCCAACCTAGCAGTTCGAAAGCACGTCAAAGTGCAAGTAGATAAACAGGTACCACTCCTGCGGGAAGGTAAACGGGGTTTCCGTGCACTGCTCTGGTTCACCAGAAGCGTCTACGTCATGCTGGCCACATGACCCGGAAGCTGTACGCCGGCTCCCTTGGCAAATAAAGCGAGATGAGCGCCGCAACTCCAGAGTCGGCCATGACTGGACCTAATGGTCAGGGGTCCCTTTACCTTTACCTAGGACTGGGAATAGCATAGAGAGCTGCTGCTGGCAAGTTTTGACAACACTGAACTAGATGGACCAACAGTCTGACTCGAGATAAAGCAGGTTTGTACAGGGTGAGTCTTTTAAAAAGAGGCCTCGTGGAACATGTGTACTCCGTATCCACAGGGCCTCTTTTAAAGGACTCACCCTAGAATCATAGAATCATAGAGTTGGAAGAGACCACAAGGGCCATCGAGTCCAACCCCCTGCCAAGCAGGAAACACCATCAGAGCACTCCTGACATATGGTTGTCAAGCCTCTGCTTAAAGACCTCCAAGGACGGAGACTCCACCACACTCCTTGGCAGCAAATTCCACTGTCGAACAGCTCTTACTGTCAGGAAGTTCTTCCTAATGTTTAGGTGGAATCTTCTTTCTTGTAGTTTGGATCCATTGCTCCGTGTCCGCTTCTCTGGAGCAGCAGAAAACAACCCTTCTCCCTCCTCTATATGACATCCTTTTATATATTTGAACATGGCTATCATATCACCCCTTAACCTCCTCTTCTCCAGGCTAAGCATGCCCAGCTCCCTTAGCCGTTCCTCATAAGGCATCGTTTCCAGGCCTTTGACCATTTTGGTTGCCCTCCTCTGGACACGTTCCAGTTTGTCAGTGTCCTTCTTGAACTGTGGTGCCCAGAACTGGACACAGTACTCCAGGTGAGGTCTGACCAGAGCAGAATACAGTGGCACTATTACTTCCCTTATACAGTGGCACTATTACTTCACTTAAATATATACTGTATATACCCTGTATATACCTAGAGCAGTGGTGGAGTCTCCGTTACTAGAAGTCTTCAACCAGAGGCTGGGCAGCCATATTTTTGGGGAAAGTTCTAGTTCTGGATTTCTGGCACCTAGCATGACCCACAGGTCTCTTTTCACTTCCATGATGTGGATGTGGAGCCTGTGCTTCTCTAAATATTGCCGGACCACAACTCCCATCACCTCAGATCATTGGCCAGGCTGCTGAGGCAGATGAAAGTTGCAGTCCAAAAAAACCAGCTGGAGTCACAGGTTTTCTGATCCCTGCATTATATCTTGGTAGAAATTAGTTGGGCAGCAAAGCCAGTCCAGTAATTGACAACTGTCCTTGGAAGAACTAGTGGAGATGAACATGACTCCCAGATAAACATAGAAATCCAAGGGTTGTGGGTAGTGCAAGTTGGATCTACATAGTTACTTAGGTTCTGAACTGACTCTTGAGTAACTGGGAAAGAGATCTGGGAGATCTGTTTCTTGTATGCATTTGTTTGCTAAATAGGTTAAAATGATGGTTTGCTGTATTTGTATTGGGTTGACCTATGGGGAAACAGAGTTTTATTCATTCAAAATTCAGTAGTAAATAAAAATAAGGAGTGACGTTCATAAAATTCTGCATAGTGTAGGAATTGGATAGCTATGTCTCCGCTCCTATTATTAGAAGGTAAGGTTATTTAAGGGACACGGGTGGCGCTGTGGGTAAAACCTCAGCGCCTAGGACTTGCCGATCGCATGGTCGGCGGTTCGAATCCCCGCGGCGGGGTGCGCTCCCGTCGTTCGGTCCCAGCGCCTGCCAACCTAGCAGTTCGAAAGCACCCCCGGGTGCAAGTAGATAAATAGGGACCGCTTACCAGTGGGAAGGTAAACGGTGTTCCGTGTGCTGCGCTGGCTCGCCAGATGCAGCTTGTCACGCTGGCCACGTGACCCGGAAGTGTCTGCGGACAGCGCTGGCTCCCGGCCTATAGAGTGAGATGAGCGCACAACCCTAGAGTCTGTCAGGACTGGCCTGAACGGGCAGGGGTACCTTTACCTTTACCTTTAAGGTTATTTATGAGTCAAGAATCAAAAGAGTTGAGAGGAGCTTTGTATGCCATCTAGTTCAATTCCCTTGCTTGAAGCAGGAAACCCAGAACTAGATTATTCCCAACCAGCAACCTCTGCTTGAAAACCTCCAGCCGGAGGGAGCGGACCAGCCTCTCTAGGAATTGGTCCCATTGTGCGACTGCTCTTACCATCAAGAAGTTCTTCCTGTCCTTCAGCTGCAATCAGCCCTCCTAGAACCTGATCCCATTAGAGCTAGTCCTCCCCTTTTCTATGCGACAGCTTCTCAGGTGTTTGAAGAGGGTGTCTTGTTTTCTCAAGGCTAACTGATGCACACCACACTATTTAAAGCTCCTGGCTCCCCCTGCGGAAGAATTCTGGGAACTGTAGTTCATTTAGGGTGCTGGGGATTGCAGTGCTGTGAGGGGAGAATTACAGGTCCCAGGATCCTTTGGGGGAAGCCCTGTGCTTTAAATGGATGGTGTGGCTGTGACATCAGCTCTTTCGAGGGTTCTCCTTAGGACTTATTTTCCAAACCCTTGGCCACACTGATTGTCTCTAAACATGGAGGAGAAGGCTACCAGCCATGATGGCTCTTGTCTGTCTCCACGGTCAGTTGCTTGAAACTACTAGTGGGTCCTGTTTGCTTGGGTCCTGCTTCTTGCAGGTTTCAAACAGGCATCTGGCTGGCCACTGTGGGAACAGGATGCCGGACTACAGATGAAACTCGAAAAATTAGCATATCGTGGAAAAGTTCCTTTATTTCAGTAATTCAACTTGAAAGGTGAAACTAATATATGAGATAGACTCGTGACATGCAAAGCGAGATATGTCAAGCCTTGATTTGTTATCATTGTGATGATCATGGCGTACAGCTGATGAAAACCCCAAATTAACCATCTCAGAAAATTAGAATATTCAATGAAATCAGCAAAACAAGGATTACAAACAGAGCAATATTGGACCTCTGAGAAGTGGAAGCATATCTCGCTTTGCATGTCATGTGTCTATCTCATATGCTAGTTTCACCTTTTAAGTTGAATTACTGAAATAAATGAACTTTTCCACGATATTCTAATTTTTTGAGTTTTACCTGTAGATGGGCCATCAGCCTGATCCGGACTCTTCTTATGCTCTTAAATTCTCCAGAACAGTAGCTTTTTCTATTGAACTTAAAAAAAAGGCATCGATATGCTTTTCTGAGAATCCCAGCACTCCCAGTGGGGCTTACTCCTGAGCAGACCTGTGTAGCTTTATGAACTGTAATCTGAGCTGGCCATGGGAAGAATTGGAAACTGGGCAGTTTTTATTCCACATTAAATGATCTATAACATTATTTGCCTCTGGCTGTGCCCATCATCAGTCCTGGCTCTGACCACCTGCAAACCACAAAGGATGACCTCTGAGGGAACCTGGCTTTTGGATAGAAAAGGCTGCCCGCCCTTGACTAAGCTTTCTCTGATTCTGGCCTCTGGTTTTTCTCTGTTTCAGGGGCCAGGCCTGTTCGTCGTTTGCTTCCCCCTGCACACAACTTCCTTGCGTTGAGAGTTCAGGACTTGGTGGCGCTGCCAGGGCTGACCGACAGAATCGACCGAGGGTGGGGTGGGGGTGAAAATGGCTGCGGAGTCCAGAGATACGTCGGCGCCAGGTCTTCAGCAGGCCGAGCGAGAGAAGAGGGTGGGAGAGCAGAGCCCCGCGGGGCCCGAGGCGGGGAAAGACGGAGGGAGGGGGCCTTGTGTCATCCGTGCGGAGAGCATCCGGGATTTCTGGGAAAGAACTGTCCCTGAGGAAGCGATCCGGGAGCCCCGCAAAGGCCTGCAGCAGCGGTGGGAATCTCAGCTGCAGGAGTTCCTGAAGGCCTTGGAGTCCCCCCATGCGGTGGGGGGCAGCCCGCAGCTCCCGAGAAACAGTGCGCAGACTTCCCTGACCCCTTTTGACAGGATGGCTGACACCAGCCGACGGCCTAGGTGGGAGCCAGACTCCCAAACCCTGCCTGGTCTGAGCGGAGGAGCCTCCCAGGCCGAGAGGCACCTCCTGGCCAAAGACAAGTCGGACTGCAGGAAGGCCCAGGAGGCTGCCAGCTCACGTGAAGAGTGCCGCCTCTTCCGGCGGTTTGGCTACCAGGAAGCGGAAGGGCCCCGCGAAGCTTGCCGACACCTCCGGAGGCTTTGCCACCAGTGGCTGAAGCCGGAGAGGCACACCAAGGAGCAGATCCTGGAGCTGGTCATCCTGGAGCAGTTCCTGGCCATCCTGCCCACGAAGATGCAGAGCTGGGTGAGGGATTGCAGCCCCCAGACCTGCACCCAGGCGGTGATTCTGGCGGAAGATTTCCTGCTGAGGCAGCGCGAGGACGAGGGGCGGGTGGGAGAGCAGCAGGTGAGTGTGGCTGGCCCTGGAAGTGGGGAGGGCATTGGGGACCGGAGGTTTCTTGGGAAGAGGGGAGGGGCAAGCTTTGGGTTTAAAGGGGGATGGGGCGCGAAGAAGACTCAAGAGGAAAACGAAGGCAAGAGGAGGAGGAAGACTTGCGATTCTGGATATTATAAAGTGCTGATTTAGACTCAACTGAAATATGCCTTGCGTCAAGTCAGGCATTAGTTTTTCTAGCTACGCATTGTCCACGCTGACAGCAGAGCCTCTCCAGGGTTTCAGGTGGGGGTATCTCCCAGCCCTCCTGAGATTCCAGGGCTTAAAACTGGGATTGTCTGCACAGAGAGCAAATGTTCTACCCTTTGAGCTGTAACCTCTTTCCCTCGGTTTCCCCTCCCTTAGCAATGCACTTGAATTATTGAGGGCTGCTAGTTATGCCACTAGATGCAGGCTAGATGCTGCTTAGTTATGCCACTACAGCTAGGCACCTAGTGGGTTGCTGGCCTGACTTTTTGCTTGAAAGCACTCCTTGGCTACACTGATCTAGAAAATGCTATTACAGTGGTGCCCCGCAAGACGAATGCCGCAAGACGGAAAACCCGCTAGACGAAAGGGTTTTCCGTTTTTGAGCTGCTTCGCAAGACGATTTTCCCTATGGGCTTGCTTTGCAAGACGAAAACGTCTTGCAAGTGTTCCGATTTTTTTTCCGCTCCCCCCCTTTTTCTAAGCCGCTAATAGCCTTTTAGCCGCTAAGCCGCTAATCCTTTAATAGCCGCTAAGCCTTTAATAGCCACTAAACCGCTAATAGCGCTAATCCGCTAAGCCGCTAATAGGGTTGCTTCGCAAGACGAAAAAACCGCTAGACGAAGAGACTCGCGGAACGGATTAATTTCGTCTTGCGAGGCACCACTGTATTATTATTTTTAAGAACCCCATTCTCTCTATATCCCAGTGCAATTTCCCATTGGTGACAGATCACGGCTCTGGTGTCACATTTTTATAACATACGTTTTAACGTTATAACTCACCAGTTGTCAAGTACGGGAGTTCCCTTCTCCCTTCTTGGTAACTCACCGATAAGAATTAATGAGCATTTGGTAGATTTGTACTCTTTTTATTGCAGTATCATGTTGCAAGCACAGAGTGGCAACTCTCTGCAAGGATAGCAGTTGCCTACTCTGACTCCTCCCCACTTCCGCAGCAAGAAGGGCTCAAATGGGATGTCCCTCCTCTGTTCTCTGACTCTCTCAGACTTCTGAGTTCGGGGGGAGGGAGGGAGCTCCCCCCACTCTCAATTGATGTATTACCCAGCTGCTCCCTCCCTTCGGGTTGCTTAGCTACTATCTCAAAGCTCGGTAGCTCCTCCCTCAACTCTGCAGCTTCTATCTCTGCCTGTTTCTCTGCTTCTGGAAACTCTGAGAATGGGGGGGGGGCAGGGATTGCATTCCCCAATCTTCCGATCCAGATCAGCCCCTGGCACCAGTAGTTCCTTGTTTGGATAAGCGTCTGCTCCAACACAAGGGCAGCCCCATGGGGAATGTAATCCAGTAATCCAGCTTGAGAGTTCAGTAGCGCCTGAACCCCTGCAACATGATTTCTGCTTTGTGGATGTGCTGCTGGCAAGGTAGTCGTGGGGGGGGGGGAGAGAATCCATCCACTGTTCCTGCCCCCTTGAACGAGATCCTATTCCCTGTTTTCAGGCAATCCGCCCGTTTGCGGAGGAAGACTCTGCAGAGAAGGCTCCTCTGAACACCTGGCAGAGGCCGCTGCTTGGAGGGATGAAGGAGGAAAGCGAAGGAGACGCCCCCTTGCTGCGTAAGGATCTCTGAGGGGTCATGGTTGCTCGGTGGCGAGCTGAGCATCGTCACGGCCTCCTTTGCACCCCAGTGACTGGGGACATGGGAGGCAGGAGGCTCCATCGGCCTACCTGGCTCAGAATTGTCAACATTGATGGCCAGTGGCTCAGTGGGCAGGGAAAACTCTTCCAGCCCTACCTGGAAATTTTGGGGATTGAACTTGGGACCTTTGGCTCTTATTTGGGTACTATGGTGCCCTGTGCGAGGCCAAAAGCTGGGAAAGCACTAACTGGGCTTTGGAAAGGAGGCAGGAGGACCCTAGCACCCTGTCAGAGCCTTCACGCCTCCTTCCGAAACTCCCCTGGGCTCAGTGCCCAGTTTGTGCTCCTGCTCTGATTCTTCCCCCCTTGTGGCCTTTGGGAGACGTCCTGCCAAGCCTGATAGCTCAATGCTGTCCTTGTTTTCTCGCGAGTAGGGAAGAAGGGCAGCCTAATGCTGGCACGTGCCACTTCTGACTGTGTATATGTGTTTGTGCGTGTATGGAATGCGGCAGAGGGAAGCTTGGAATCATAAAGTTTTACAGTTGGAAAGGTCCGCCAAGGGTCATCCAGTCCAACCTTGGATTGCAGGAATCACAGCTGCAGAATCCCAGACAGAGGACCAGCCAACCTCTGTTTAAAAACCTCCAGTGGTGGAGGGTCCATCGTCCCCCAAGGGAGCCCATTCCATGGTCAAACATTCTTCCTCGCAAAATTGGATGCCCCTTGATGCAACTCCCCACCCCAAATCTCAGTATTCAGAACAGCAGCATGGCAGAGAGAAATCTAGGCTATTGAGCCTATTTCCCTGTGTGCTTCTCTTCTATGTGTGGGGATTCATTATTACAGTGGTACCCTGGATGCGAACGGGATCCGTTCTGGAGCCCGTTCGCATCCTGAAGCGAATGCAACCCACGTCTGCAGGTAGCAATTTGCCACTTCTGCGCATGACATCATTTTGAGCGTCTGCACATGCGCGAGTGGCGAAACCTGGAAGTAGCCGTTACTTCCGGGTCGCCGTGGAGCACAACCCGAAAATGCTTAACCCGAAGCTACTTCAACCCGAGGTATGACTGTATTATCATCGTTTGTATTTTCATATTGAAAAGGACTTCATCCTAGAGCCACTGCCCACACTGGGGGCTGATGGGAGTTGGTGTTTGACAGACTCTTTATCTCACTGTTATGGGTTCAAGCCCCACATTGGGCAAAAGACTATTGCATTGCAGGGGGGTTGGACTAGATGGCCCATGTGGTCCCTTCCAACTCCTACGATTCTATGTTTCTATGAACATTTGGAGGGCTACAGGCAGTTCCCCACCCCTGTCCTTAATGAACGCCATTCCTTTGCCCTTTCTAGCAGGCGACGAGAAGTTGTGCAGCCCGGAGAAGAATGACCCGGAAGCTTCCGGAGAGCTGGAGCCACGTTGGATGTTGTCTGGAAGGGTCGAACAGACCGTTCCCCACTGCCCCGGTGCAGGGGAAGCTTCCGAGATGCTGTACGGCGGGAACTGCCTGGAGCGGGAAGCAGGGAAGTTCATCAACTCCCAGGGGACGTATGAGGACTTGGACGAGAGCGGCATGCAGCCGGGGACCCTCCTCTTCCCCGGCGAGAGGGACAACGCCTGCCATGTGTGCGGGAAGGTCTTCCGGCGGCGCTCCAACCTGATTGCGCACGAGAGGATCCACTCGGGGGAGAGGTGGTACAACTGCTCCGAGTGTGGGAAGAGCTTCGTCAGCCGGGCTGCCTTCCTCATCCACCAGCGGGTGCACACCGGGGAGAAGCCCTACAAGTGCTCCTACTGTGGGAAGGGCTTCAATACAGGCTCCAGCCTCATCCGCCACAAGAGGATCCACACGGGCGAGAAGCCCTACAAGTGCCCCGATTGCGGGAAGCGCTTCAACGACTACTCCAACTTCATCGTCCACAAGAGGATCCACACGGGAGAGAAGCCCTACGAGTGCTCTATCTGCGGCAAGCGCTTCAGCGACAACTCCAACTTCATCAAGCACCACCACTGAGAGGTCGGCGGGTTGTGGGTGGGGTGGGGTTTTTTGGGGGGACTGGGGGGTTGTTTTGTTTGTACTAAACAAAAACTGGTTACAGACTGTATAGCAAGACTACAAGGGAGCATCTCTGTGAGTGAGGGCCTTGGCAAAAAAGAGGCGCCCCAAAGCCTCCATTGCCTTCAAAAGCAATCGATCGGGTAGAGAGGGGATGTCTGGGAGCCGACAAGGAGAGCAGGTCGTTTGCAGATCAGAGAAAAAGGAAAGCAGAACAAAGAATACACAGAGTCTCCTAAAGGTTGCTCCTGTTTTGATGAAGCAGTTGCCCGGACTGGCCTGTAGCTCCCCCTTCACTCCTTGGCCCTCTGTGTCAGGCCCCTCCTTCTGTCTACGGTGAGCTGCAAGGGACCCTCTCTGTGTCTGCCTGGCTCTCTGCTCAGCAACATGCAATAAATGCCTTGTTCTGGGGCGGGAGGGACCTGCAAGCTGTCAGCAGAGAAGCTGTAAAGAGTGGCTCTGTGGGAGAACTGCCAAGTCTAACTCCTGATTCAGGTAGGTAGCCGTGTAGGTTTGATGCAGTCAAAATAAAAATAAACAAAGAATTGTCCAGTAGCACCTTATAGACCAACTAAGTTCGTTCTGGTATAAGCTTTCGTGTGCATGCACACTTCTGAGAAATACCCCACCCCACCCTCCCTCTCTCTATATATATAAGGGTCTGGTGACTTCTTTTTCAGTGTACAGCCGTACCTCTTGTTACGTTTGCTTCAGGTTACACAATTTCAGGTTGTGTCCCGTGGTGACCCGGAAGTACCGGAAAAGGTTACTTCCGGGTTTCGCTGCTCACTCATGCGCAGAAGCACAAAATGACGTCACGCACATGCGCAGAAGCGGCGAATCATGACCTGCGCGCGCCCAGGTTGCGTTCTGCTCATGTTGCGAGCGGGGCTCCGGAACGGATCCCGTTTGCAACCAGAGGTACCACTGTATCTGAAGAAGTGTGCATGCACATGAAAGCTTATGACAGTGTCGTATAGTGGTTAAGAGCGGTAGTCTCGTAATCTGGTGAACCAGGTTCGCTTCCCCGCTCCTCCACCTGCAGCTGCTGGGTGACCTTGGGCCAGTCACACTTCTGTGAAGTCTCTCAGCCCCACTCACCTCACAGAGTGTTTGTTGTGGGGGAGGAAGGGAAAGGAGATTGTGAGCCGCTTTGAGACTCCTTTGGGTAGTGATAAAGCGGGATATCAAATCCAAACTCCTCCTCCTCTTCTTCTTATACCAGAACAAACTTGGTTGGTCTATAAGGTGCTACTGGACAATTCTTTATTTTCTTTATTTTTAAGTCTAACTCCTGTCCCTGCCTTGTGCTGCAGCACCTGTCTGATTCTGCCTCTTCACCATCCCTCGAGCTCCTTGCCTCCAGTATTTCCCAGCTCGTCCCCTCCTCTGGGGTGGTGGCCGGTTTCCCACTACCAGGAGCCAGGAGCCAAATCCTCTCCCTCTGCACTTCCATGGAGGGGGGGACTCTTGGTCAGGCGGCTTCCCCCACTGCTCCTCATCCAGCCAGTCCTGACAGGGGAGCTGGTCCAAAAGAGGCTGTGGGAGGCGGCAGGCCAGAATCCTTCCCCACTTCTGTCACCTCCCTTGTGCTAGTTTCCTACCCACCCCCACACGCTCCCTTCCATCTAGGGCCGGCCCAAGACATGTTACCACCTGAAGCAAAACAGAAAATGGCGCTCAGCTGCCACCTGAGGCGACTGGAGGCAGGCCACGGAAACCCGTGTGCTGAAAGGGGAGAGAATACGATGCTGGAGAGGAGGTGGCCCCGCTCTTCCCAGGTCACACAACAGGAAGCAGCAAGTGGCGCACTTCTGGGGGAGGGGGCAGATCTGCCACCTCTCTCAGCCTATCTCCGGCCTGCCGCCTGAGGCGACTGCCTCACCAAGCCCAATGGATGAGCCGGCCCTTCTTCCGTCATGCTTTCTGTTCCTTTTTTCCACTGTCTGCTAATCCAGCCGCTTGTTCTGGCCAAGAGCAGCATTTCTCAATGGTTTGAAGGAGGAGGGAGGGACTTCTGTGCTTTCTTTGTGGTGTAGTGGTTAAGAGCGGTAGTCTCGTAATCTGGGGAACCGGGTTCACATCTCCGCTCCTCCCCATGCAGCTGCTGGGTGACCTTGGGCCAGTCACACTTCTCTGAAGTCTCTCAGCCCTACTCACCTCACAGAGTTTGTTGGGGGGGAGGAAGGCAAAGGAGAACGTTAGCTGCTTTGAGACTCCTTCGGGTAGGGATAAAGCGGGATATCAAAGCCAAACTCCTCTTCTTCTCTTCTTCCTCTCCTTTCTGAGCCCCTTAACGGCCAGCAGCCATCTCTCTTCAGCAGGTGAGCAAGCCTAATCTCCCCTTGCCCACCTGCCATGAATATCTGTAGGCCGGGATCACAAACCCAACACCTGTATGGGGGGCAGCTCAAATGCCTGCCAAAAATACAACCAGCCAGGCAGAGAACGGAGGCTGGAGGGGCCAGAACCTTCCTACCCCCATTCTGCCCCTTCTGGTTCCTGCCTCCTCAGTGGTGCACCTAGGCTGTTTAGGTTGTGGACAATGTTCATGCTAAAGAAGGGTGGTCCAGGGAACATCCATTTTGGAGGGAATGTGTATTTCTTTCATAGGTGGCAAGCCGGCCGCTGCTGTGTTTGGGTATCCCTCCTGCTCATTCTGCTGTGTGAGGCTCCAGACTGCAGGGCCCAACGGCCAGCCCTGATGGTGCCACAGTTCTGAGTCTCCCCATAGCGATTTCAGCACCTGGGGCGGCCGCAGAGAAGCTTGCAACTGCTCTGTGCTTGCTGCAGGCTCTTCCTCAGCCTCTGCTGCCCATACAAGGGTCTCACGGCCCATCGTGTTCTTCAAGAAAGAGGAAGGGCTGTAGGACCAGCGGTTAGAGTATGTGCTTTGCATGCAGAAGCTCCCAGCTAAAACCCTTAGCACCTCCACCTGTGTGGTAAGGTAAGAATTTGCTTCCACACTGCTCTGTTCGTGACGCAGGTGAGGGACCACCTTTTAAATAAAAAATGGGACCCAGGAAATTAATTCCAAGTCCAGCATCCAGGAGGGGCCTGGCATTTATTATTATAGATACAGTGGTACCTCGGGTTACATACGCTTCAGGTTACATATGCTCCAGGTTACAGACTCCGCTAACCCAGAAATAGTACCTCAGGTTAAGAACTTTGCTTCAGGATGAGTACAGAAATCGCGCGGCGGCGGGAGGCCCCATTAGCTAAAGTGGTGCTTCAGGTTAAGAAGAGTTTCAGGTTAAGAACGGACCTCCGGAACGAATTAAGTATGTAACCAGAGGTACCACTGTATTGCCATAGGGCAGAGCTCAACTTAACGTGGTTGTTCTAGCCGAACCGCCACCTAAGAAGAAGTTTGGCGCAAGGAGCATCAGAACAAGGGTTTCATAGGGGGCACACGAAAAGCCACTAAAGATCTAAAGATTCTTGAAACATAAATATCCTTCTACATACAACAGGAAAGGGTACAGGACATCAGAACTAAAACACACATGGCTCCATATCGGTATCTTCACCCCTGCAATCACCTTGGAGTGACCCAAATGTGCCCAGGCCATGGGTCTCAAATGTCCTCCTATCCCAGTTTCTCTAGCAACCAGGTCTTCCTTGGGCTGTTGACATTCTTTCCCTTATCTCACTTCCCTTCCTTCTCCTAGGAAGTTTCAATGAGAAGTTTGGATTTACACTCTGGTGCTAACTAGAACACCCTTAATGACGATTTGTAACACTTTCAGGGTTAGATAGAGGTGGAATGCAGAATAGGAGGAAGGCTTGCGAGTCTCAAAATACACATAGGAATCATTTGTGGAAAGGTTAAATGCAATTAATACTGAAATATTAAAACACTACACTCTGGGTCTCTTATTCTTACATCAATGGGAAGGACCTCCCCTTGCCAGAGACCCTTTAGAAGTACTGCCATTTATTTTTATTTATTTATACAGAGCCTGCTCTTCATCCAAAAAGGCTCCTGGAGTGGCTTTACACACAAAGAAAAAGTCAATCCTGACCCGGCAGGCTTGCAATCTTAAAAAAAAGCACGACGCACGAGGAAAGGGTGACAGGGAGGGAAGAGGAAAATCAAAGCTCAGGCTTTGATTTCTAAACAGTTGTTCCCACCATGACCAGCTGGCATGGTACAGGATAACCGACTTTTCCACAGCCAAAAGAGCTACGTTTCAGGACGTTCTTCCAAATGTTTTGTCAAAATCTCTCTTTGTTCTTATTTGAATCTGTTGGTTTGGGTGCTGTCTCCTAGAGCAGAAATGGAGGAGCCTTTGCCCCTCCCTATGTTGCTGGACTACAGATCCCATCATCCCTGACTGTTGGCCATGCTTCCCGGCAATATCTGGAGGGCCAAAGGTTCTCCATACCTGCTGTAGAGCAACAGAAAATAAATTGGCTCCATCGTCAACCTGGCAGCATTTAAGATTTTGCAGGATTGTCTCCTGTAATCACTTCATTGTTACTGGGAAAATGCCCCACAGGAACAAGGAAGTGGTTAACTGGGAACTGGGATCCAGTGCAGAACTGTGGGAGGCAGTGGAAGACAGGAGGGCCTGGCGCGCTCTGGTCCATGGGGTCACAAAGAGTCGGACACGACTAAACAACTAAAGAACATCTCTGCCATTGATCTCACTGGCCATGTTCAACGCTGACACAATCACATTGGCTCTTCTTGACTCTCGGCTGCAGAGCGTGGACAGTTTTGCTTGTGGATTAGCAATAAATTGACTTTTTTAAAACAGTCAAAAGGGTTCTACATACAACAAATCCCTTCTAGGCCTTTGGAAGAACCAAAGACATGGAAAAAAATAACAGATTAAGTACATATTGGGTGGTGCAGTGGTGCTTTTTAAAAATAAAATATAATATAGGTAGGCTGTTTTTTGTTTTGTAAGTCTACGCACTTAGCCCAGAAGACCTCCCTAAAAGCCACTGATGGAAAGCCC